CTCCCTTCCTCAAAGTTCACCGATAACGCATTGACCATTCTCCGAATAATCTTGCCAGAACAAAAGCTCCTTCTCCTTCGTAGTAATTCGTCTTTTTATCTTTATCTTTGTCCATTTGTTCCTTCGGAAAAAGAAGTCATTCCACGGACACTAGCGTCGTCGAGCATCTTCCAAAACATGTACAAGTGTTGTCACGAATGACACAAAACGAGCAAGAGAGAAAGAGGAACGGAGAGAGAGAGAGAGAGAGAGAGAGAAAAAGGGGGGGGGGTTAGGTAGAAAGTCGGGGTACTTGTCACGTTGAGATGTCCCACAGGTGGTGGTCGGCGAATGTGACACGAGAAAATCGTAAATACGATGATGAATGCACCCGGTTGTAGCTATTTTCTCGAATCTTCCTCTCTGTCGAGTAATTTCGTTAGTCGCGAGAAAACACGAAAGTAACGTCGTTCGACGTTCCTTTTCCCGTAAGCTCCGACACGAATCGTCCTTCTCTCGTTTGCTCGAGAACAACGACTGGTCGATATATCCGCGAGATCGTCGCGAGCCCTTGCGGTACTCTTTCAAAGTTCGAAGGGATGCATCAGGGTGATATCACTCGATTATATTCGAGTGTCAAAGAGTAAGGCTAAAAGTTCGACTTTTTTGAAAGTAAATGGAAAAAATGCAAAAATACTCGCATTGATTGGCAGTCGCTGCCTCGTAACGTCTCGTTGGTCTGGGAGGTGGTCGAGGAGGTAGAGCCGGAGGTTGATGAGTCCTCGACGTTACTTCGACGATTCCACCGTCGTCGGTCTCACCTTCCGAACTTCTTTTGTTCCCGCTAGCCTGTTGTACGGCGTGACACTGACACTTGCTGTTCTTCGACGGTGCTGACACCTGATGATCGTAAGTCACGAAGCGCGAAATACTTTTGTAGCGCGAGCAAACTTTTTTTTATCGTCAAAGAAAAAAAAAAAAAAGGAAAAAAAAAAGAAAAAAAAAAGAACAATACTAAATAATATGAACAAACCTGGATCGCATCCACCCTTATCAGGGATGAATTTTTGGTATCGTTGTTTTGCACGTGAGGATGACCATGAGCATGGACGTGCCCATGATGATGACCGTGATGTTCATCGAGAGGATGAACTAACGAGGCCGCTCTATCTCTCGATCTCGAGTCAGGGTGCAAAGAGTGGACCTGTTGCAGATGATGATGATGATCGTGAACGTGATCCAGCCTGCTATGAGTCCTGGTATTCGCGTTCGACGAAGAAGATTCGCAGGAGATACCGGAACTCACGTGATGATGATTGATGCTCGAGCGACCAGTCAAGCTACCGGTCGAACTGCCGTGATGTCGAGCGACCAATGGAGTAGCCGATAAACTGGTACTCGCGTTTACTACGTGCCGATGTACGCTCGGCGATCCACCGTGATTCATCATGCTCGAGTTAGAAGAGGTACCGCTGATTGCACTCGATACGGTAGGATGACGATGACTCGCCATAGGTGAACCCTTCTGTCCGGTGATCGATGCCGTCGTCGTTGTCGTCGCCGTCATCGTCGTCGTCGACAACGACGTCGTCGTCGTTGTCATCGTCGTCGTCGTCGTCGCCGCCGTCGCTGTCACCGTCGTCGCCAACGTTGTCGTCGTAGTGGCGATAGGATTAGCGTGATGATGAGAATTTGGATTATTGCCGCCAGCCGTATTGCCGTGATTGATCGTCGCCGGAACGTTACCGGATCCATTTAGACCCGTCGTCGAGCTTCCGTGTATATGACCGACCAAGCCGGTCGCGAGATTTCCATGATGATGTCCCCCCGCATGATGCATCATCGCGGGCCCGTGATGATGAGTCACGTTCGAGGGCTTTACTGTTCCGTGATGATGATGGCTATGCTGTCGCTGCTGGAATCCCTTAAGACCGTCGCTCGCCTCTAGATTCGCATTGGTTCTCGAGTTATCGACGTTGTGCTTGTGTAAATGCACGTGAGAATCGCCGTGAAAATGGCCATGAACGTTCCGTTCCGGCGTATTAGATTCCCCGCTGATAGGTATTCGATGATGCTGATAGGTGTTCAAAACCTGTTGTATGTTTTTCAATTTATCCTTCGAGATGTTTTGCTTCGGAGACAAACCACAGGGATCGTCCAATTGTTTTTCCGACGTTTCCTTCGCCGACGTTTCCATCGGATTCGTATTGATATCCGACGGATGACTAGGACTGGACGTCAAACTTTGTCGACTCTCCTGCAAATTCGATGATTCCTGGACTCTTCTCGCCGCCTCGAAGGCAAGATTTCGCGAAAGATCCAAATTTCTTGGACTACACGGAACGTTGCGAGCGTGTCGCGAAAGCGGCGTACTTTGATGTTCCAAAATCTCGACGTTTCTCGCCTTTTCCAAATTCAATTGTTGCGTTTCCTGATGAGACATCGGACTGTCCAATCTTCTTAACGGCTCAAACGCATTCTGTAGTACCTCCAATCCTCGAGGAATTTCCTGACCGCTCGAGATCCTTGTGTTTCCCACGCTTCTCTCCGTTCTCTCCCGTTGCGTCCTCATCGAATTAATGCCGCTCATCGTCGAGCATTGACAAGGATGTTGCTGCTGCTGCTGCTGTTGCTGCTGCTGGTGCTGCTGCTGGTGCTGGCTTCCCTCTAAATCGTTCATTGTGCCTTCCAAATCGTTCGATAACGATGCCTGAGACATGCTGAAATCTAATAGAGAAGAAATTTCATAATTAGTCGAATAAAATTATTTTTCGATCATTCAAAAGTGCAAATTGGAGAGAAAACAAATGTCGAATAAAACGCGTGTGTCAGCAAAAGCGAAAGTTTCTATCTTATAAATCACCCTCGACGATATCTCGTTGAACTTGATAAGTCCTTTCGGATTACAAAAGGTAACTAGACACCGGTTATGCATACAAACTAGTGGACAATAAATATAAAGTCAAATTCGGTATCTCCTCGCAATCCCAGAAGAGTCGTTTCTCTCTCTCTCTCTCTCTGTTATGACGTAATAATCGAGAACGAAAAAAGAGAGACCTCAACTACTCGTTCGTTTCGAAAGATGAAAATTCAAAACTGACGAAAGTTCTACGCGTGAGAGTTTGTATTTCTCTTTGATTAGTACGCATTCTTCACATATCTTTATACATGTCGAGGAATTCGGTCCAAGGTCACGGTCAAGTTCGATTCCGACGCCTTTTGCTCTCTCTTTCTTTTTTCTTCCATCGAAGAATAAAAGAAAGAAAAAGTTGCAACGAGAAAAAAGAAAGGAGAATATTGAGCCACCCTAAAGGACGAGGTATTCGCGGCTAAAACTGTGAGAATTTCTTCTATTCTGTTCGAGGAGACTCATGAATGGATACACAGAATAAATTTTCGAGCAAAAGATTTTGATCTACCTACGCTACGAGGTTTAAATTTCATGGGAAAGTCTTAACAAAGAAAGGTAAGGTACTCTATCCGCCGATTGAAATTCGCACGCGATGTCAAGAGTATTTCCTGCTGGTTGTTCGATTCGTTGCAAGTTAAAAGAAAGGAGTGGCTCACCTGCGGAAGATCGATCTCGACGAGTTAAACTTCTCGATCGAATTTCTCTCGTTCGCCGTCTCCAAAAAAGAAGAAGAAACAGCAGAAGACACCTTCCGCATGCCCGAAACTCGACGAATGTATCCTCAGCGGTAAGAACGTTCTATTTTCGACACGACGTTCACCCTCCTCGTCGTCTTCCTCCTCGTTGTTATTATTTCTCTTAAGAAGGAGCTTCCCTCTGGAAGAGGCCGAAGAGGGCATCTTCTCGAATCCACCCAAATAGCGTCGAAATAGACGCGTTATTCGCTCTATTCTTTCAGGGATGAGAGAAGAAGATTCCTCTCGAATGGATAAAAGAAGAGCATGCACATGCGCTCGCGTGCTCCTTTATTAAGTTTCAATCCGCCATCGTCGAACGCGCACCATCTCTTCTTGAACAAACTTTGATCTTTCTCGCGAATTCACTTAAAATCTATTCACTGATCGACATAAGTAACTGACAGAGAGATGAAATGAGGGTGAGAGAGAGAGAGAGAGAGAGAGAGAGAGAGATAGTGAGAGAGAATATAAAAGAAAGGCTGGCCGGCGATATCGTGAAAGACCGTTGGTGCCTTCCACCTTCACTGCCTGCTTCGTTCTGCCTTGGAATGTGCCTTTGCCCCCTTGCCCTCTTCTCTTCTTTCTCTCTCTCACGCTCTTTCTCTGTCTCTGTCTCTCTCTCTCTCTCTCTCTGTCTCTCTCTCTCTCTCCCCTTCTTAAGAGCGAGTTCGAGAGCGAGAGGACCCAAGGGCCCCGACTCTTGTCTCCCCACTCTTCTTGCTTTCTTACGAAGTGGGGAGTCGCTTCGGGAACGTGTCTGATCGCGCCCACCCACTCCTCTCTCCTTTTCGCTGGGACTCGATGGGTACGGCAGATCCTTCCTGTCCTATAACGCTACGAAGCAGGGCCGTATTAAATTTGTTCACGACTAGTTTTATAATGATTTACGCCAACGATGAGTACAAGTGTAATTCTTAAACGATTTTTATAAACAAAATCTCATTTTAAAGCTGAAAGTTTAAATGAGAATATGGTTTTTTTCGAATTTTTGAATAAGCTTCATCTTTTTTGGAAAAAATCATGTCAAAAAATGATATTTCTTCGAGAATAGTTTATGCGTAAAAATGTAACTTTTCCAAAAATTCGTAAAAGCCTTATCCTTGCTTAAAGTTTTACCTTTAAAACGATACATTGCTCATCAAAATCGATCAAGAATTATGATTAAATTAATTGTTCGTGTAAAGGCTGCTTTCAACGTTTTTCGTGAAAAATATATTTCGTATAGTGGTACCCCTTTGAAAAATCCCTTGAAAGAAAAATTCATACTCCTATTACTGATTTACATATGCACGCTTGAATCGTATTTTTTATTTCCGTAAATGATTGTTTGCTTGTCGCGTGCGATTCTCAAATTTTCTAATCAATTCCAAACGCAAGGAAATGCGTTTCGCACGGGAAACCACGATAACTCTTCCAGCCGTTCATTCCAATAGGTCTTGTTTTCGCAATTTTTGACGCAGTTTTTTTATGTTCTCGTTGTACAACAACGAAGACTTAAGTATATTTTTGAATAAAATATTTCTTTAATATTTTCAACAATTTCTCATTGCAACAATAGTACTAATATTGTTTTTATTTTATTTTTTTCAGAACTTCATTGCAATTATGAGTGGAGCAACGAGGGAATCGATTGTTGCAAGCAATGAAGTCAGTATTTGTTCGCAAAGTTTGTTGCTAAATTTAATGACCGTCGTTAATAAATAATTACCGCGTTTTAGAGTCAGTGCATCATCGAAGAGAATCTCAATCAACTTCTATATCGATCTACCTCAATTTCAACCACCATTAAATTTCGACCTAAATCGCGGATAAGTGATTTCGCAGAACTTTTTAAATAGTAAATAAATTTTTAAGTCCCTCCGATCATATCGAGGACAATTGGTATTGTATGATTTTGGTTGTAGTTATTTCGTAAAAAAGTATTGAGTGACCGCGATAAGATATTCTTTTTATCAATTTTTAGATATTTTCAGATCAACTATCAGATCAATTAATTACCTTTTCTTGTTCGAATAAGCCAGAGATAGGACGAGTCGGGTAATGAAAGCTTTTCTAAGAACGATCTTCCGTATTTTTAACAAAAAAGAATAGTCCCTATTTATTGAAAAGCATAGTCATATAATAATTAAAACGATTATACTAGTTCAATTATTCTAGTTTCTCTTTCTTCTTCTTTCAGCAAGGAAGTATCTCAAATCAAGTTCGATTTCTTTCATTATGCTCGGATAGAGCAATCTTCAAGATGTCTATCCATCGTTATATCACTTTTATCGTTTTCACGCTCGTACGTACGTTCTATCGCATTTTCCGGCTTTTCTTTTTTTCCCCCTTCTTTTTTTCCAGGCTAAATAATCGAGGGATGGATTCATCGGTGGGATAGAAGATAATCGGTGAGGTTTCGTTGTATAGTGCGGAGACTATTGCACTTGTAATTCATATTTTGTCCATATCCTCGTCGTTGAAGTCGCATATACTACGAGCGAAAGGTGGTGAATAGCCTCAATGCATTAGCGTGTCACCTTTTACTAACAGATGCCGGCTCGTCCGTTATGCATTTTTTTCCTTTAGACATTTCGCGTTAAGCATACCTGTATGTATATACTTACCTATCAACCGAAAAGTTTTCAGCTAACAAATTATTTGTTCTCTGTACAGTTATCGCGAGTGTATGTTTTTCAAAGTGGAAACGAAAAGATGGGTGCATAAATATATTATTTCTTATCTCTGCAATTATATAATAACGTAAGAGTCAAGAAAATATGTCTTTTATTCTTCCATTAGTCAGTAAGTATATCTATCTATATGTATATACACATATATATATATATATATATATATATATATATATATATATATATGATATACGTATGTGCTGACTAATAAATAAATGCGAGAAGATCAAAAATAATGTTTACTATAATAGTTATTCTGAAATTTTCATATTACTCGTTATATTCATTCATTAACTTATTCAACGCTTCCAATTAAAACAACATTTGAACAAGGCTGAATGGCAGTATATTCACAATTTTGCTAATACGTTAGTACATCTGTAAATTATTTTTAAATGTCTATTCTACGATACAAACTTATACATACATATATACAACATCGATCGGTATGATACACTCAGCCGATAGAATATGATATAATACAGAAACAGATTATGGCCTATCTTAATCGTATTCCCAAACTGATATTAGTAATGAAAAGAAAATATTCATCTTTAGGACACTTTGTGCATGATTAAGAATCATTAGACAAATGTATAATGACGAATGCAAGCGCATTTCAGATACAACCCAATGGCCTTGTAATTATTATATTAATATGCTTATTTGAACGTTTGCACTTTCAGTAAGCAACTTTATGCATAAATGAATATATAATTGACATGTGATATTATTAAAGTAGCATAAACGCGCATAATTAATTAATATTTCGATGAAATATTGCAAAGGAATTATATAGCATAGATGACTATTTATGCTATTATTTGATATATCTATCATATGCTTTAACATACGTAAAATTTAATTATCTCTATAATTTCAGTTAAAAGGAAATATTTCGTTATTTAATATAATCCATTCTCTGTGTTTGTGTGTGTATGTGTATGTTTTCTTTTTTTTTCTTTTTCTTTTTTTTCCCTTTTTTTTTTTTAAGAATATGACTATAATTCTTACGAGCTATATTGCTACTTTAATAGCACATACGGGCAAACAATAGTAGTACATTTTGTATTACAATAAAAATATATGTATGTATATATATATAAATATTGCCCCGATAAAAACATGACAAGGGAATCACTTTACATTTTTTTTTTTTTTTTTATACAGGCATACATTAATTTTATGTAATAATTGTACAAGTATATTTTGTTTAGAATTCGTGATTTTTTCGTATGATATGCAAGGTCAAAAAGTTGTTATCGTATAAACATTTAATATGCTTATTATATTTATCTTGCATCTATTATCTTTTGCAAACACGAGCAACAATTGCTAAACAAAATAAAAAATGTTGTTCTCGTTTATAATCCTCATATCGTTTTAGTATTAAATTATATCTATTATATTTTTAAATGTCTATAATAAAAATTATTGTAATCTATACTGCATAGTTTCACTTTCAAGTGACATTTAGGCATCTGAATTTCTTAATAGAAGAGATAAATTACAAAATTCTAATGGTTCGATCTTACATTCTACTTACATTCTTTAATTAAAGTCAATTGGATTAATTTTTTTTAATACAAATTATACATTCTTTCCCATAATCCGTCTATAAGTCAATCGTTACACGATAGATTTCTGATCAAAACAAGTTTGTTTTCTATTAATGCATAATGATTATTATATTATAATATCGTAGTTCTTCGTTTTTTTTTTCTTCTTTTTCTTTATCTCATAATACGTAACATCTAAATTTTTTTATCCGTTTAGCACTATCCTGATCTTTCGTTTTGTTTTCTTTTTCTTTTTTCTTTTCTCGAATATCTACTGTTCCGATAATATATGTGTAGAATGTCAAATGGAAAAAATTAAAAAAGAAAAGAAAATGTATCATTAAACAAGTATATCGCTAAACTGATTTTCCAAAATGTATAACAATATTGTCAATATGCGAATATTCAACACGGTATTTAGTGAAAGAGATGAAATCGATATATTATTGTAGACGAAGATATACAGGTAATGTGTTTATGCTTTCAATTTATAATATATTCCATGTAGTTGGTATTATGTATGACCGAGACAAGTTTATAGAGGCATTCTTTATATGTACATCCTATACATTTCAAATCATTTTTAATACTTATTCAATCATATTTATAAAATTTTTTCAGGGGAAACAGTATCTGCATTATCTTGGGAGTTGAATTATGCGTTATACATAATATTATAATAAACTCTTGTAAACGTACTAATATATAAATATAAAAAATCATGTATTTTTTGCTTGTAACAATCTATTGCACCATTTATAGGTAGTCATCGCTAAATGTTTTATAACTTGTTTTCATTTTGAAAAAATTTTACTTATCACGATGATCACTCTCTACCATTGAAAATGGAATATATTAAGCATTGTATAATATGACATATAATATGCGATTTAAGCAGATACAAACTTCCCTTGTTGCGACTACGAATACCTGTATTCCATATTTACACAGTGTTCAATTAAGTTAATGTACAGTAGAAAAAAATCATCTCACTTAAAAAAATACTACGTATCCTAGTCATGCTGGCGTCATTATTTAAGTATAATTACATTGAATAATATATAAGATAAAATTGGTTGATTTTCTTTCATTTCTATAAATATTGAACATTTTTTTTTCTTTTTATCCTCCTTGCTTCTTCCTCTTATTATAGTTACAGATTGATGTAAATGTAATTATAATATGTTATAATCGAATCGAGGAAGAATTTTTTATTGAAAACTGACTTGCTATCTTGAATTATAAAATATCTGTTAATTTTTCGTAGACTGATATAGTATAAATAAGAGTCTCTGCTACACCGGAATTAGCATATCTCAATTAATAGAGACAATATAAGTTGACTATTATCACTATACTTGGATGATCTTAATTTACAAAATTAAATATAGAAAGAAATTCTAATATGTATCATAGTTAGAGGCAATCTTATTACTCATAATTTCATTATGACACACATAAACAAACGATACTTTTCTCTTACGAATTAGAAATAATTTAATCCACAATCAATAGTGAATCGTGGACCTCTCGATATAACTATTTAATATTAATATCACAAATGTTTACATTTATGCGCTTTTGAACTAGTTCAAAAGTGTTGCGCTGTCAACAAACACTCAGTCATCTCCCCCGTAGAGAAACTTTGTAACTACCAGTAAAATATTTAATACCATGAAACAGTATTGTGCCAGATCACGAAGGTTTGCAAGATGGAAACTTTTTAATACCGATACATGATATTGGTTTGCGCCATCTTCTTTTGCTATGTGTATTTGATTTATTATTACAATGACTGTTACAAGTTGGCTTTTGATCTTCGCTAGTCCTATCCATTTCTTGAAGTCTTCTTTCCTCTATAAAAATGAAAGTATATTTATAAATTTTTATATATAACGGCAACATTAAATGAATCGTACATAAATGTAAAGAGGCAATTTCTATAACATATAGATATTTTTATTCTCTTAAGAAAGATATCACGCTCCTTGATAAAAATATCAAATTTCGCGTACCATTAAGTTGATGTTCCGTATAATATGTCGGATTGTCATCAATCCCATAGTGATATTCCATCAGGTACGGTAATACAGTCATACTGTGACATTTACTTCCCCTCAAGGGAGGTAAAGGCACTTCGTTTTCCGTTCTAGGATGCCTACATATGGTCCAAGGATGTCTTTTCACTTGTTGCAACGTAAATCTATCTTCCGCGTCTTTTTGCAACATCCCTTCTATAAGGGATCTTAAGGGTTCCTCTACTTCTTCCGGTATTGTATATTCACCTTTTCCAATGTTCTCATATAATTTATATATAGTGTCTCCTTCAAAAGGATACTGACCTGTTGTTATATTATATCTATACAAAATGGAAGTAACTATGTATTACTATCTGGTAAATATTTTAAGTAATCTCATGTTATTAAACTTACAGTGTAACTCCACTGCTCCATATATCTACTTTAAATCCTGAAAATGTTTCACAGCCATTTGCAATTTCGGGTGGTTGAAAGGCTGGAGAACCTTGACCCATTTTGCATGTATCATCTATAGAAAACATATCTAGTGCCTTGCAAGATGAGAAAGATATATCATTAAAATATAAAAAAAATAAAAAAGAGGAAAAACAGGAACAATTAAGAAATATTTAATTAATTTCTCTTTTGTAAAAATACATTTCCACAAGTTCATACCTCTGCAACTCCAAAGTCACTAATTTTTAAGGTACCATCTAATGTCAATAACAGATTTCCAGGTTTTATGTCTTTATGTACTATTCCTTTACTATAAAGATATTCTAAGCCATCTAACAGCTGACAAAAATAGTCATGTGCCTGCCAAAGTGGAAGCTTCTTCAGAGGTGTACTTTCCAACATGTCCTGTAAAGAATCTAATAAATAGAAATCTATTTGTTGTCAACTCCATGCAATCCTTTCTTCTAGTCATATATCTATATATCTATATATATATATATATATATATATATGTGTATATATATATATATATATATACACACACACGCACGCACGCACGCACACATATATACACATATGTATACACACATATATACACATATGTATATGTATATATATACACCCACACACACACACACACACACACACACACACACACACACACGCGCGCGCGCGCGCGCGTTTAATATAAAAAATTATTCTCTTTATAAAAGCAAACCAATATCAACAATTAAAAAAAAAAAAAAAAAAAACAAAATTGCTATTATGTATTTTTACGCAAATCTCTACTTTCTAATTATTAAATGCAATAGTTATTTCCTCGTGTATATCAAGATGAGGCATTTTGTATTAATATTTTACTTTAGAAATGTTAAATTAATATTTCATGCCTTCTATCATAAGATTACATTTATACGCATACTCGATAAATTATAAAATAAAAATACATAACGTATATACTATTTTTCTTTTTTTTCTTCGGTATGTATGCATGTATATGTTAAATAATTTTGCACAATAAAGTTTGAAATTCATTGAACTTTACCTGCAATCCACATACACAAAATTCCATAATTAGGTACATCTTTCTCTTTTCATCATTATAAAGAACATCTACAAGGTTAATGACGTTCTTATGTTTTAATATTCTTAATAGCTTTATTTCCCTGTTAATGAACATCAGAAATAATCAAAATGTATATACAAATAAATTAATCTATATGTGTATACGATCAGTGTTTGGTTCAACTATGAACGAATATAGTTATATTCTCTTTACAACATGATGCATGTTGTAGGAATGCAATATTATGACAAAAAGTCATGTAATATTACAAGTTTAAATTATTTAAAAGTAATAATATTATAATTTATTTGACACAAATAATTAATTTATTACTAATAATATATAAATATTATCATTTGTGTTAGTAACATTTTTATATATTGTTATGCAATATAGATGGCAATTGAAATCAAAGTAATACATCTAATTTATATAATCATATGTGTGAGAATGTTTAACAAAGGGAAAAATTTGTAACAATGAAATATGATAAAAGTAATTTACAAAAGGCAAGAGATTCCATGATTTTTTCAATCATTAAAGTAATCATTGCGGAAAAAGAAAATAAATAAATAAGTAAATAAAAGATACAACTTGGATTCTTCAAAATGAAAATTATTCCATAGAACGAGTGACAACTTCCATGGTGAATTGCAGAAGATAAAGAATAAATATGTGTAAATATGTATGTATGCTGTGCGCACCAACGTTTATACACATATACTCATATACTCATATTATTACATGCTAATATAGCATACCGTTGAATTTCTCCATTTGGAAGTTTAAGGTGCTTTTTCTTTTTTAGAATCTTAACAGCTCTTCGACACAGAGTTTCTGAATCCAGTACTTCTTTCACCTTACCATAACTACCTTCACCAAGTACATCCCCCATAACATATTTACCGATAAATTTACATTTTTTCTTTTTCTCCTCATATATGATCTGATCTGAATCCACCCTATGGAAGAACATGTTGATTTCATCCAAGCCATAATTTGGATCATCGTTAATCCATTTGACTGGCTCGATATCTCGAAATATTTCATTGTCCATTTCTTCCTCATCCGGGTCACATATCGTAATCCGATTGTCCATTTTCACAATTCTAAGTAAAACTAATAGTAAGTCACACAAAATCACACAAATTTAACCTATAATACAACCGGCACCACTACTGTTGTGAATTATGATCAGGGGAGCCAAACTCGTAGAAAAGGTAGGAAAGCAAGGGCTTCGAATAACGCCTCTCGTTCGTTTAATAGGTGCGCCCACGTTCCCTTACTATCTATGCGCTCCCTGGTAGTCGAATTTCAAAACTACATCCATACGAAATTATTTATCATATTATACGATTTATAAACATATCGAGAGATATTTATCGTATTGCTCGCATCGAAATATACCATATTACATTTGATATTGATTTTCGTTTATATTATAGCGATATATTATTATTAATAGCGGTAACGTTTCATTGAAACTTTCAATTTATCGCGCCCAACGCGTGTATTTGCCGTATCAGTAGAATGTCGCTGGAGCGCTAACGCCGCCACGCTTTTTATAAGCTTACCGCATACAATTTTTTTACATCCTGACATCACGTTCGGTCTATTCTTTCGTCCGGGTGCTTAACCAAATCTGATGGATGTAAGATCCGTCACGTAATTCATACAAGCGGTTACAATTTTATATTGGATACGTCTATTGCTTGACAACAAGAGTTTGTTTCAATAGATTTACGAAAAAAATGAGCGAACTCGTTTGGGGAATAAAAAATGGTGATCTCGAGCAAGTTCGGGATATCGTTGAGAATAAGGCAAATATGACATCTTCTTTCATAGACTTTAATAATCATTTTTACAAATTATAACTTTGCACGCTATATATTACAACGACCAATTATTTTTTTTTTTATCTTCTTTATCGCTTTATTTAACTAATCAGTAATCAGTGCATCGTTCACATGATGCAGCAATTTGCTAATCGCTTAAATAACAGCTGCCGACCAATTTTGCTTTGTAATTATCTTTTAAGATTAAGTGTAGCATCGATAATGATGCTACATATATTTTATTTTAATATATTCTACATTTTTTATATGTTATAAAGTATAATTTCATTCTATTGAAATATATTTGTTGCTACCTTTTGCTTCATCTCTTCAAATTCTATTTTTCATCTTATTTGTGTGTACACACACCACACGCGCGCGCGCTCGCATACACACACAGACACACACACACACTCACACACGCGCGCGCACGCACGCACGCATATATACATATGTGTTTACCCAACAGAATATCGATGTAAATCAAATGATAGATGGAAGAACACCATTACATTATGCTGCAGATTATGGACAATATGATGTAGTTAGATATCTTTTAGAGAAGGGTGCGGATGCTAATGTAAGTTATTAAATTTAAACCTCTCAAAACTTCTTAAAACGTCATAGAGAAATATATCTAAACGATTAAATAAATCTAATGTTGATGATAATTTTTCAGGCTACAGATAAGCATGGTATAACAACATTACTAGCTGCAATTTGGGAAGGCCATACTCATTGCGTTAAGTTATTATTAGAAAAAGGTGCTAGACCGGATGGATTAACTCCCGATGGGACAAGTTATTTGAATGCCGCTGAGAAAGAAGAAATCAAACAACTTCTCAGAATGCACTAGCAGAAATCCAAACGTATACAAGGCGATAACTTTTTTTATTCTAGTATGTTAATGTTCTTAATATAATATCGCGATTGCTTTGTTTTTAATTTCGTGCATACTTTTAACCATCATATTTATATATATACATATATTTTAAATGAAAGCTGTCAGAAATATGGGGGTCACAGTTTTATAACGATATGTCGCACATGAAAGATACATAATCAGGGAATTATTTTTTAGTAGATTTTCAATTATACCAATAAGTATAAGTTCTAAATTTATACTGTATAGTAACATCTTTTTATGTGTTATATGCATTGGAATTAATATTATTTTTCCATTTTAACCAAATTATACTGTAGAGAATATTTTGATACATTCTATAAAATGCATTCATTTTAATCTATTTATTATTTGTTTATTAATATCGATCATTCCTTTCACATATCTTTTACGAAGGCTGCTTTAATCTTATATTTATAATCACTAGAAGTAAAAAAAGAAAAGAAAAAAAAAAAAACAAAAAAAAAAAAAAAAAAAAAAAAAAGAAAAAAAAGAATTTAGTTACAATATAAACATTAAGTATTACTAAAAATGGAATATGTAACAATGTGAGTTTCCATTTGAATTATTTTTTGAGATTACTTTATTTTCAATCCTGGTTAAAAGTTTCTTTTTCTTAAATATAAACTATGTCAAAAAAGATTACGAATGCGTTTGTGAAGATCATATCTCATATATATTGTCTTGGAAGATATAAAAAAAAATGTACAATAATCAAAAATCATAAGTCATTGGAGCATTGTTATGAATTTTGTTGACTCTCTTGTCAACTTCATACACATGACTAAAAGTTTATTAGAGTGCTGCGCATTCAACTGGCCTATTCTGTGAGATTTAATACCAACTTGATTGGTATGGCATTCATCCACATACATTGCATCCCTTCTATTAGTAGGTGGTACAAAATTAAACAGATTGTTTAATAGCAAAGTTAGCAAAATATTATGACACATATGTAGATGTCTGCTTAGTGGAACAGGCTAAAGAGGAAAAGACTGTAATATATAATCGATGAATTTATGCAATATATAACATGCGTTTTGTATATTTTTGTTCTGTTTTAATGTTACGTCACATTTGGATGTTTGCAAAATGAATACATGTATACATTGATAATACAATTGTGTTTATCTTTTCCCTTTAGAATTTTTCTAAAGGACAGCATAATAGTCCCACCTTGTAGTATATAAAAAAATCTGCATTATTTAAAAATCTTCCTCCCTTTTTTCCATCACGTTTCCTTCACACTTGTACACATACGACGTGGACATCAGTTGCGTTATTGTTTAGAAAAAATGAACGTCTCTTAGAAAATTCTTATCGCTATTTCGTTTGTACTTGTAACAAATGTATATTGCTCCTCGTAGTAGTATTCTCTGCAATTAAATGTGACTTTGTTGTATTAAGGGGGAAGGGGAAAAAACGAAAAAACGAAAAAACGAAAAAACGAAAAAAAGAAAAAATTAATAAATTACAACGTTAATTAATCTTGTATGTACCTTAGAGAAGTCGTCCTCTGCAATTTGATGCGCCGCATTTACAAATAATTACTTTACCTGGTATGCTACCTACGTCATAACTATAATTCCATGTTAATTCTTGACCTGCTCTAATGTAATTTAAAGCAAAAAATGCCACCCACGGAAAACGTACATCGTGCGTATCTACAAATACGTTTTGGACAAAAACGTTTGGATCACAAGAATGCTGGAAAGAAATGATGTAATGGTTAATCTATGACAATGAGAACTCCAAAGAGAATTTGTAGATATTTACATTTAAGTAACGGCCTATATTTCCCGTTGTTTTGGCATCCATAATGTAAACAGCCTCATCCTCTCCATAAAAATCCCTTACAGATTTAAACTTTGGTCTATCTAATTGCATAGGCTCTACCGATGGATCAAATCTGCTTGGTTCGCGTCTACTACTTCGATTTTCTTCTTCGTCGCTTATTATAACTGTATCTTGATCCGTTGAACGATTTTCAAGCGTAGACGATTTTGTAGCAAGATTTTCTAAACTTTTTGTAGTACTTCCATCTTCGCTGTTTTCTTCCGAGCCATCTTGATTAGTTTCGCCTCTTTTACGTTTCCTAAGACGCTTTCTGAAATTACACATAACTGTAAATGTAAAATTTAATTGTTACAACGACAATAAATAGGATATAGAGTAATAGAGGATAAGATATATTTCTCTTATGAAATCATAGTTAGTATATTCTCGTGATATATTTTAATATACCTGATAGAAGGTTCATTTGAGTCTACAGAAAAATTTACGTATTTACTGATGTTGAAATCTTCATCAGAATCATTTGTATTGTTCTTAGTATTGTATTCTTCGTCGCTTGCAACATTTTCTTTTTTCTTATCTTCTGCAGGAGTTATGGGTATTTCTGGATCAAAAACATCACCTTCGTAACCTTCTTTCATACCTTCAACAACTTCAACATAATCTAATTCTGCAAGATACTCATCTCCATAATTTTTTCCACCTTCGTTTGCACCCTGCGTGCCATGGAAACAAAATATCAATGATAATATATTAATTTCATAGATTGAGAAAAATTTCATCCCAACTTGTTCACCTGTTCAGTCAATAGCCGTCCGGCATAGATACAAATAAAAGAACCAAGTGGAATGTCAGTGAGACACCTTATGCCCCAACCTCGAGGTGCCGTTTTGAAGACTTGTAATTTCAATTTAAGCGGATGCTGTACAACTCTGTTCAGACATGTTTTTACGGCGCACTTGCAACCAGAATTACACTCATAAATACCAGTGGTTACTGGTTCTGGTAAACGTTTATAAACATAACCAACAGCTGTATTTGGTACTCTTCCTCCCAAGGTTGCTCCTTGTATCGTTAGTTGCCAACATTGACATTTTGTTTTATCCTGTACAAACAGATTTTTATTATAAAGTATGATTAAAATCAATGATACTTAATAAATGATGCTTCATACAAGCAAATATATATATATATATATATATATATATATATATACATATATATATATATATATATTGCTACCTGGCAATCGTCTTCGCAATCACAGCTGCAAAGAAAATTTGGATCTAAATTTAAGTTTACACCTTCTGTAGGTTCCCTCTGAGTACTATATCTAATAGTATCGGGTAAAGCGTGATCTAATTCATTCACGCACGGTATTGGCACATTTTCTACTCCATAACTAAGATCCTGCGAGTACATATTTCAGATTATATCAACTTAGTAATTAATAAAATTGATCGTCAAATCATTTTAATCTCATTTATCGTGTGAAATTATATAGAAAAATAATTCTGACATCTACTTACTTTAATGTTAACAAAGCATTTGTCTAAAACAAACTCTGCCAGACAATGGACCCAATAATCAAAATCAAATAAATCTACTGACATTGGACTACCAGTACGACGAAGATAACGATGTAGCTCTTCCATGTTTCGTAATCTTACACCGCATGGTGCTTGATACAATATAACTTTTTTACCTTTAGGAAATTTACAGAGTTGTCTATTCCAACCACATAATAGCGGAATCGAAAGGGGCGAGTATCCTTTTAAATCATCTGGTGTAAAAGATATGCTTTGTATACATTGTGGTCCACATTTATGAGGAACGAATTTCTTCGTTTGAATCTCGTTTTGTGTTTGATAATACTATGAAAAGGAATATTTTCTATATTTTAATAACGTTCATTAATATTTCGGCCACGCACGCACGCACGTACGCACAATATTTTAATTGCATTTTATGCGTTGTTACTTACAACAATGCTATGAGCAGATTTCATTTCTGGAGTAGGATTACAAATAGCTGTATCTGTCCCTATTGGTTTTTTACTAGTACTTTTCTTAGCGACAGCACGAGACTGCGATGGTGCTATTGCAGAGGCTGATTTAGGTGTACTGAAATTTTGATTTTCATTAGGTACAGTGTCCGATTGCTTTCCTATTTGAATATTTTTTGCCTCTTCGTCTACTTCTACGTTCGAAGTATATTCGACATAAGGTAGATTGTTTTTCTATAAATAAATAGGAGTACTGATTGTAAAGGAAAATTATTTTAAACGGTATGAAAAATGCTTACATTAGTAGTAACAGGAATACGATGACGAGTAGACGTATTGATAGAAGCATGATGACCCTGCTGCCTAGCATTTGCTTTTAATAGTTCAAGATATAAGGGTCCCAATCTGGCAGAACCTCTATAAATCCATTCTGTTCTTTGATCTGCATCAAAGTACATTTGCACAAGACTCGCATCTACTTGTTTAACCCTTGCAATCCACCATTTAGCATTCCATTCGGTTTTTACTACCTGACCATTTTGTAATTTTACCATAGGTCTTTCTGGATATGTTTCCATATATTTTCTTACGAAATCTCGTGACTCAGTAGCTACGTCTTCCCAAACTCTAGGAGAACTTTCGGATACCACAAAGATATCTTTGTGTGTAACATACTGTACGTATCCGTCGTCAAAGAACACCAAGTATCTGGCAAGTTAATATTATCGACGCATAAGAATAATTATTCAAATAATCCAATTATATAAATAACATCTAAGAAATATTTCTTATTATCGTTAACCTGTACTTATTGGTAGATTTGGGAGGTTCTGCGATCACTCCGCTATAAAAATTGGAAGTATCCAATTTCTCAACGATTTTTTCATAATTTTCCGTATCGTGAAAGACAGCGATGACTCTGGTACCGACAGGAATAAGAACTTTACTTGGTACTGCTACAGCAATTTGTTTACCAAATACAGACTTGATAACTGAATTGTACTTTTTTTGCAATAATCTTACCCTACAGTGTAATGGACTTTTGGAAACTACATTTTGTACCTAAAAAGAGCATTATTTCCCAGACGGAATTGTTTGGGTAATCAACATTTTTTTCTTTATTATTTTATTTTTTTTTGTTTTATTTTGTTTCTGTTTACTTTTTTTCTTTTCTTTTCTTTATTTTTTGTTTTTTTTTTGTTTTTTTTTTGTTTTTTTTGCTTTTTTTTCTTTACCTTTGCTTTAATCCATCGCATGAGAGGATGTTTCATGATGTAAACGATACTGTCGATTTCTGGTTGGGCTTTGACAAGAGGACCATTAGGAGGTAAATCCAAAGCTATCGTTTGTTTATTATCTCTCTCAATGGGCAGTATTTCCGGTTGAGAATCTTGCTGCATTTTACAAGGTGACATACGTACTTGCGTGACTTTTTTAGTCGCCACAAGCGGATGAGCAATATTTTCTTCATAATCTGCATCTATTTGAAGTTCCTGGAGCATTCGAATTTGCGGCCTGAAGTCTTCGTATAAACTATTTCTTAACGTGTCCATATGGGAAGTTAATGTTTTTATCTGATCATCAGTGGTTTTATTTCTTTCTGTCGATAGAATTAAATTTATTAATACCGCAGTCTTAAGATCTTTATTGAGAAAGTTATTTATATATAGATACCATCAATTTGTTTCCACCGTTTTTTCAATTCATTTTGAGCTTCCTTTATTTGATAATCCACATTGTATCGTTTAAAAAGAGATTGCAACGTAATATCCAATTTTTCTTCTAAATCCAATAGTACTTCCGTTGGTAAATAAGTATCTAAGGTATAAGAGACAAAAAGATTTAAAATAGAAAAGAAAGTTAAATACAGCTTTTAGAATGTAGTCTTATTAAAAATAATATTTGAACATAATCTCACTGTTGTCATCAAGGTCTTTTTTCTTCTCATCGTCTGACTCATCGCTATCAGAAATTTCTACTTCCACTGTATAATCTGGAAAATCGCACTTCAATAAAGATTTTTGATCCAAAAGTGCTGCTACCAATTGCTGCCAAAGTAATAAGAAAATCCATGTAGTTTTGATTAAAGACGGTGATATAAGTAATAGAAATTTTTTCAAAATAATATTATATACTTTTTGGTGGTCCAAAGCAACATTAAAACATTGCTTGCATATTACTTTAGGCTTTTTTCTCTTTTCTGTATTGACACCATAATATGCACACGCAAAGGATGGCGCGGGTTTCATGTCAACTCCGGATTTACATCTAAAGTTTATACAATTATTATTACAAGCTTTAGAAATCTTGGGACTTTTAACTTTATTGTTAGGTAATTCTTCGTCGGAAACTAATTCGATTACTTCCATCTCTAATGTTTTTTATTCACTTTCACCTAAAAATATAAAATAATACATATTATTTTAACCGATATAGTTGTCTTTTACGCACACAAATATAATACAATGAGAAGAGCAATGATTACAGTTTTTTTCCATATTTTAAAAAAAGTTAATTTTATTACCCGATTATTGATATTAAATTATAGATTAAATTTAAAATCTGTATCTGCTCTGTGGAAGAAACAAACACTGCAAGCTATGTCATTGTTATTTCAACAATTGACACACTTTGATGAAAATGCACAATATTTTACAAGTCCCGGCACCTAAAATTATATCTTTTAGTCATTGATTTAGGAAAATATGTCTACTCGTACATTCTAATAAAAATATTATTTATAACGCAAAACAATCAAAGTTTCCTTCGAAATGTCTGTACTTGTGTGCTTTGTGGTTAGGTGATATGTGAAATTAGACGTTGGTGCCATCTGTAAGTAGCGGGAATAAAAGAAAGACAGACTAGGGATCTAGAGGAGGATTGAATTTGAATATCTAGAAATGAGCATCTAGAAATAATGAGAAAAAATTTCGACTGAATGTTTTCTACATTGGTTTTCTTTATATATACATAAATATATATATATATACATACATACATACATACATATATATGCATATATATATATATATATATATATATATATATACACGTTATATACTCTTTATTGATATTATCTCATATTATTATATCAAGTGTAGACGTAGAGAACATCAGAGAGCGTCGATCAATTAAAGCGTCGATCGGTTCGAGCGAAGATAAAAATGTCAGAAGAAAAGAAATCTATAATAATTATTTTAAACGATTATAGATTTCGTAGAATTATAGTTAATAATAGGACATATATTTATTTATTTTTCTTCATTAATTCGACATTATCTTCGTTCGTATATTATTATTTAATGTACGTCGTTGGTTTCATCTTTGCGAAAAATATCATGAAACCATAAATGTTTGTGGCCCATCACAAATCTTGTCTCGCTATCGATTCGCAAAGATAGATCTATAGGTTTCATCGACTCTACATCTCGAAGATCGTAAACAGTAATAATTGATAAAGAAATATTTTTCTGGGTTTTTCTTTTATCTTAATTGGCGTATAACCGATCGATCGATCGATGAAAAAGGAACTAATCTAATTCACCATTAGAAATTTCGAATAACGAATTCCATCTAAGGATTATAATCTTGATCATTTATGACAATTTATATCGGAACTTTTTACGTAATTTAAATATAAGATCGTAATAAATTTACATGTATGTACGTGCATATTTATCTATCTACGTTTATTATTGTCCTTGGAGAACTTTTTACATAATTTATATATTAGATCGTAATAGATTTACATGTATGTATGTGCATATTTATCTATCTATTATTGTCCTTGGCGAATTATTTTACACTTGTTTCTGCTTGATGTAGGCTTTCCTGTAGAAATTACCGAATAGGTACATGAAGATCACCACGTGCGTCATGAAGCAGTAAGTTAAGATTTTTGGCATTCTGCAGTCCATCACCAACGTTAATACAAGATAAACGATCATTATAACGAATTGGATCTACAAACGTGTTGGTTTTAAGTGAAAAATTTTCGTACTTGTCTACAAAATGATTCATTTATTGGATGACTTACCAGTTGGAACAAGGTCATATATTTCTTCCACCATAGATACTTTTTGTATTTTGGGCCCAATGCGGATATCAAGTAATACGTATACATAACGATGTGAACCATAGAGTTGAGTAGTCCGACGATGATACCTTGTTCACCGGGAAGTAGCTTCAGATAACACCACGCGAACAAGGCTGTGGCGCTATGATGATAAATGTGAAGGAAAGTCACTTGGTCCTGTTTCTTTCGCAAAATAAAGAATACCTGGAAAAAGAAAAAGAAAAAGAAAAAGAAAAAAAAAGAAAAAGAAAAAAAAAGAAGATTGGAATAAAAGGAGAAGACAGAAAAAAGAAAGAGATGAGAAAGTGAAAGAGACGGAAAAAAAGAAGAGCCTAGTTTCTTAGTTATCTTATTAAAATAAAGAAATCGCATTAATGATAGAAATCAATGTAAGCTAGATAAATGCTTTATGAGATAATTGAGACTAGTACAAATGAGTTGACACGAAAGAATTGAGAAATTTTCTTCCGTTTAAGAAATCCGTAACGATTGTTATCCGGCGACGTTTCAAAATTTATTTCTCAATAATACCTTCTCTTGTATATATTTGCACAGAATTTCGAAACTATATATTGTTCAATAAATTAATTAATTATTTCTTTGCTTTTTTTTTAAAGATGACGCAACCCTGACGCAACACATCATGAAATTTTTTACTCGATTCTTTTTTTCATGATATTTATCTTACCGTATCTACAAGCTCGATAATCTTAGCGAAGAAGTACCACCAGGCTGCCGTTGATAACTGCAATATTAAATGAAGAAAAGCAAGGCAATTAAAAAAGGAAAAGAACAAAGGAGGAATAAATAAATTCGATCGAAAAGTATTAATACTATGTAAAAAATTATATCGTTACAATTTGTAACTGTTCATCGATCGGGGTTTCTAAAGATTCGTCTTTGGACAATTGATGGGTTCGCAATCTGCATCCGTTCGAACGAATCAAAGCTCTGAGATCGATTTTTGTAGTCTGAAAGTGATCACATTTCTTATCAATTATTGCTATCGTGGCTAAATAATCGATTAAACGAATTCGATTGGAGTTACTCTTACCAAGGATGTTAACCATATATTAAAGACAATTAACAACGCGTTATACGCTATTAAAAAGCCTTTGAGTTCGAAGGCCGGACGATTTTCCATTATTTTCGGGCCAATTTTGATAACAAAAAGTAAATATAGTAAAACGATGCAGATTATCGGCCCTGGAGAGCCCATTAACGGCCATGTGTCAACCATGGGATCTAAACAGAAATTCAAAGTTCGTCTATATTTTCGTGATATGATATTCGTGCGTAGTGAATATTAGTAGAAAAGAAAATAAATTGTCAGAGTAAAAGCGTATATCTGATCTATTGTTACGTTAATTTCCGTTTAAAAGTTATTAAAGCGTTCATCGCGGAAATGTTTGTTATTGGATCTGGATCATCTTTCATTAAGTTCATAAAAGTCAGTTTCATAAAAGTCAAATGACTCGATATATCGAGTTGAATAAAGTTTTGGAGTGATCGAAGAGAAGTCTTTAAGATAGAATTACCTTTTATGTTTTCAAAAATTTCTTTGTAATCAGTCATCTTGGTGCTTTGGAGTCGATGAATTTGTTCGCAGCTACGATACGATACGATAGGTCGATCGATTCGCAAAGAGCAACTGATCGTGCGTGTGCGTTTTGAAAAGGAGAACGAATCCGGTCGGGAAAGCTTAGCATGTAAGTAATTTATACGTGCGGATCTTCGTACGGTTTAAGTGGTGCGCGTGCGCGAAACAGAAAGAGAGAAGAATGATGAGAAGAGTCCGAGTCTATATCAAAAACTGAAGGTATCGTTGTGGCAAGTGCGCCATTAAAGAGATCTTTACCACCGATCCGATACCATTTGATCGTTTTTCTTAGTTCTCTCTCTCTCTCTCTCCCCCCCCCCTCCCTCCCTCCCTCCCTCCCTCCCTCCCTCCCCCTACGGCCATCCCTCTCCCTTCTTCCCCATCCGTCAGTCCCTCTTGTCCCTGCGTGTATGCGTGCGTTATGATTGTATAAAGTTTAAAGTTGCTTTCATGGTCATGGTTGCGCATTGATTATGTAACCCTAAAACAACCCTGATAAAATCCAAGATACCCTGGTTTTATCTCTCTGTAACTTTTGTCAAATATAAAAAAATTGAATACTAGTTAAATGATTTTTGCAACTGATAAACGCATGTATATTATCGAAATCGATCGAATTCATACAAAAATAAAGGAAAAAAATTTTACAAAACTTTTCATATGTTAATTCGATTACATTGCATAATCAAAATAAAGGTTAATCGGTACAATAATCTTTTACTGATTACAGTAAAATAATCTTTGCGAAATATTTGAACGAGGTAGACAATTTTCTTAGAAAAAAGCAAAAAAACGTCTGCGACACAACGAAGATCGAGGTATTTGCCAAGCAAGCACAAAAAATTTTATTTGTCCGGAATAAAGTAAGCGACATTGAGAGGGATCTTTTTTACGTCTTTACGTAGACCTTTAATGTAAAATAAAGTTAATTTTTTCGTAATTCATTATGAAATCGTTGTCTTCACGTTGAAAATTCGTTTTTCTATTATATTTCTATAATTCTGATTTAAGAAGGACACTTGTGTAAAGAAAAAATATGTAAATGTGCACCAAAGATCGTAGAAGCGCAATTACTTCTTTTTTTTTATTCGATTTATATAAATTATTAATGAGCTTACAATCGTCAAGATTTTTTACGTATCTAACAATAGCTGTAATTTTCATTCACATGGGCTTACAATTTATTGAGACTTTGATAAGTTATTTTTGTTATTAGCGTAAATTTCACGAAGCCCGTGTTAAGAAATACAATCGACCGTATGAAAAAATAAGAAAGGATTGACAAACATCGCTTATTCATTTCAGATCTTGGCTGATATAGACGGAATTATAATGTCGATATTTGATGATTGGCGCAACTACCAAGGAGAAATATAATTCCCTGGACATTACGGTCGATTCGATCCAAACTTTATTGTTTTTCGCCAAGACTTACTATGAGATATCCTAATGAGGATGTCAATCAGTTAGTTAAGTAACGACCGAACTGACCTCGAATTTTCATTACTGCTCTTTAACGTTTTTACGGCGGTATAATAAAGCCGCACGTAATTTCTTCAAAAAGAAATCATTGATAGGATCTCTATGGTTTTTTCTAAAATATTAATGTTCCTGTCCCATCAAATTTTTCCTAGGTGTGCGGGTTTTCTTGTAAAAGCGGTCACAAACAGAGAATTTGGTATGGACCTTTCGTCGATAGCTTTCTATCTTCTTTCGAATCAACGAATGGACCAAAGTATAACGGGACATTACCTCTTATCGAAACTATAGTTGGTTAAACGGAACTTGTTCCATGCATCAATATCCGTTCTTTTTTTTTCCTTATTCACCGCTTCGATCCTTTCGACCGTCGGTGGACCGAAGAGAGAGAGAGAGAGAGAGAGAGAGAGAGAGAGAGAGAGAGAGAGAGAGAGAGAGAGGGAGAGAGAGAGAGAGAGAGAGAGAAACATTCGAAAATAAGTAGGTCGGCCGGCTTTTTTCCGAGCAACGGTGAATTCATTCCAGACTGTTAAGACTCGACAGGTAGCTTGTACAATCTTCATACTCTTCTTCGTGTTTTACTATAGAAGTCGACAAGAAAATCATCCAACGCTAACGATTTCGATTAAATGATATATTTCTTTTTATGTCAAGCCTCAATAATATTTTGAACGATTTTGGTAGAGAAAGTTATTCTTTTATTGTTAAGTCATTGAAATTAATATTTTACATAGTTTCAATGACAAATACGTTCATTTATATTCCATCGTTTATTAAAAAATTTTAACCGTCCTCATTTTGAATAGAATGCCTTCGCATTAAAAATAATCTATTGCTTTTTATGTACTTTTTTTATTCATATACGAAGAAAGTAGATATTTTTACATATTATAATTAATCAAAATTTATAGAATTTAGTCATATGTAACAAACATTTTTCTGCTTTTCTGCTATTTATTTTTTTGATCATTCATGCTCAACGAATGGCAGTGATTGCTAATCGTACGAATAGGTGTACGAATAAGTGTTAAAAGTATTTTAAAAATATAAGTATTCACAATTAGTTAATGTATACAGCTGTGCCGTAGCCGTTTTGGGTTTTTGGTCATGCGAAAATGGTTACCATTTTACAGTGGAAGAATCTTTTAAAAGCAATTTTAAGAGCAATTTTAAGAGTTATTACAATAAAATTAATTTTCATCAAAAAATCCAAGATTCATCCTTCATAGCATTCTACTTATACATATACATATACAATACAGGATTAATAATCTAAATTCTTAAAAAAGTTTCTCAAGACTTCAACGAACACGAACATATAAGCTCGGGGTAAATTAAACTCTGAAACTCTTATCTAAATTAGCTATAAATTCGTAATCGATTTTTATTGTACTGTAATTACAAGTTTTTACTAAACCTAATCATCCTAGAATAAGCATGTGATATCATCGGATAAAATTTAAAATAGTCGATGATAGGAATCTTAGTATAATAATAATAATAATAATAATAATAATAATAATAATAATAAGAATAAGGTAATATCTGTAAAAATTTTCGTATATGACAAAAGTATAACATCTCGACCAAATATGTATTTTACTGAAGAGCTTCCATAATGTAAAAAATGTACAAAAAAATCGCTAATAAATCTATAATGGTTAGAAAAGAAATGTGTGCTTCATTCATATAATAATGAAACAAAATAAATTTACTTTATTGTTCTTATTTCGATTCAATAATTTCAATAGCTAAAGCTTTTTTGTCATGGACTATTGACTGTTAATGTTGCATCGATCGTATATTTCAAAAGAATTGTATTATAAATTCTGAGCACGTACGACTTAGAAACAGTATGTTCGCCTGGCGGCAAAAATTTTCGAAAAAAATTTTATGAAGATTTTGTCAAATTTTCGGATATCTTTGATTTTCCATTTGACAGTTTAACGCCACTTTGATCCGTTTTAGTCGAGACGCCGTTTCTATCAATTTAAAATGATTACTTTTTTATATACCTCTTGTAATAAAAGTCTGCAAATAGTATTATGATAAAGATCATGTGCGGCATAATCATTAACATTGGCAACTTGGGATAACCGCAATCCTTGGTAAAAATAGCCAATGAAAATTGTAACGATATTATAATAAATTGTAGGAATTGTAATTGAGTAATGTATTTCTTCCACCATGCATTACTAAGCTTTAACGATGTCCATAGATAATAAGCGTACATAATTGTGTGAACGAACGAATTGTAGAAACCTAAAAATTTAATTATAATATATCGATTTGGTTCAATTGGTCGTCAACGATTGATCAATTTTCTTCCTCCAACTCCTTGTTCTCGTTACCTATATATATGCCTTGTCCACCAGCCAAGTATCTTACGCCTATCCATGTTGCAATTATCATTCCAATATGATGATAAGTATGTAGGAACGTCACTTGATTCTGCTTCTTCCGTAATACAAAGAATATTGTGTTCAGAAGATCAAATATCTTGATTATGTAATACAACCAAACTAGAAATGCCACCTGTATTCACGATTTGTTTTATTCCTTTTCTTATATTCTTATTTACTTTTTTCTTTTTTTATCTTTAAAGTTAAAAACACACGATTTTTCATTTACCTGTAAGGCCTGTTGATCATTCGAATAGTCAATAGGCAAGCAAATAAATGTCGATTTCGCTATCAATCCTGATGAAATGCCCTATAAAGAAAAGTGAATGCTTGGTAAATATTTCAAATCGGATATTAGAGTTATTTCGAATACAAAATACTGAAGTATAATCTTAATTTGGAATAATACTTACCATAACAAAAATATATCCATTTAATATGATTTGTATAACATTATACAGCTGCAGGATCCTGTTCAACTCAAAAGGTTTTCTTTTTTCCATGAATGCGGGTCCGCTTATGTAAATAAATTGGAGATAAATTCCTATGATGCCGAAAAGATACCAAAATGATCCCACGAATAACCAATCTTTTGTTCTAGGATCTAAAAGTGAATTGATTTTCTTCATTTAAGTAATTTGCTTTGTTTTTTTTTTTTTTTTATAAACTATAATGTCGAATGCGTAATAGTGACATCATAAATATCAACATTCAGGCGCACTTTGTTATTACTATTAACACTCGATGCATGTCAATATAATATACTCTTTCGTACATTTTTCGATCGAGTTTTAATATAATAAAAATTTATCTATAATTAATTAAAGTACATCGTAAAACAAATAAATGTCGGCGTTAACGTTATCTCGAAAGAGACGAGTTTTTACTTCATTTTTACTTCATTATTATTCGATTAGACATACATGTATTACCTGCTTTATAGTCAGTAATATAATGATATTGATTGTAGAGATGATTAATAAAAGCTATCATCTTTTGTGAGGATTTTCCAGATTTGTAAAATTTCACAGTCCCTTTAACCTTAGTGCGACAACGATATGTAAAAAATAAAAGCCGATTCTATGAGTTACATTGATTCTTACATTTAAAAAATAATTTGTTTCGTAAGACGTTCGATATTTGATATAATCAGCGAACAAAGCCCAATGAGAATTAAACCAAACGATACGAAAAAGAACTGAACAGACTGAAATTATCGACTTTCCATCGACATTATCATTTTGTCCATTGTATTATAATTAAAATCCGGTTGTAGAAACTTATGCATTTTTTTTTTTTATATCAAAGGAAGAAAAATACAATGAAACGAAAGTTCTCGTCATTCCGTTCTTAATTATTCATTTATCGTAACGTTGCCCATTTGCCATAATTTAATCGGAAATTACCAAAATCATCTTTCTTCTTCCCATTCCGAGCCCTTCATAACTTTTCTCGACGAAGAGAGTAATAAGAGAAATTATAATGAATAATTAGCAATTATTTTAATTATCGAAAGAAATGAAATAGAGATATGCATACATATAGACACATGCATACATACATGTACACATATATCTTATTTGCATGTGAAACACAACAATGTAGATTATGCCATGAATAATATTTTATTTTAAAAAATTATATTAAAATTATCTTTTATTTGAATTGTAAATGTATGTCCAATAGTTTTATAAAATTTTCATTTGATCGTCGAACTTGATTCAAAAATTAACCGAATGTAATCCTATGATTTATTTTATAATATACACATGATTCTTGAATTAGAAAGGAAAGAAATAACTAATTATTAATAATTAAGTATAGGGTATAACAAATAAAATATTTACCTATGTATGAAAAATCTTATCTTATGGTAATAATAAGAGTAAAAATTTTACAACGGAAGCGGCAGAGCCAAGGTCATAACCTTTAGCAATAAACAAGTTCATGAATATACGATGATATATTATTGCGATTGGTAAAATAATTTCTATCGATAATATTATAGTAGGGATGCCGTTTTAACGTTAATTAACCATTAGTTAAGATTAATCCTACAATTTAATCATTCTAAATGTACGCGCTCATGCTCGGAAGGAAATATAGACAAATATAGAATAATAAATAGAAATCATAGGAGCGGGATTTAATAAACATCTGTTTCTTTGATAACAATTGATAACATTGTTCCTGATTAAAATGTTAAAAAATATTTTTAAAGTCGGATATTTTTGTAAGAAGAAAAGAGGAGAAAGGAGGAGAAAGAAGAAGAAAGAAGAAGAAGGAAAATGGATCAAGCGCAAAACGATCGATCTCCCTGTAACATAGTATTTATTACGTATTTATACTATACCTATCTAGGTAGGCATGTATATTACCTTTTTTCACCGTACTCTTATGAATTGAGAGGACTAAATTTGGAATTCCTCGACAAGAGGAGGAAATAAAAAAGATATACGACTGCATAACACGAATGAATTTTTTCCAATGAATTTGTCAATGACAAATCAGATAACATATGTCCTTATGTAAAAAGTTGAATCTCCGTTAAAATTTCCTTCTTTCCTTCTTAAGAGAAAAATTTAATAATTCGCTCGTATCTGAAAAGAAGGGTTAATAAAGAGATGGCTCTAATAATTGCAATATTTATTAATCGATAGATAGACAGATAAAAACATAGAAACTGTAACGACAGAAATCGTTGCCATTTTGAAGTGATTACTCGAATAGTAATTTCAATATCTATTTTCAGATAATTTCACGAATTGTTTATATATCTGAGAATGGATATCAGAATCGGGAGATACTTTTAAGAAAAGTTTATGTCGACGATATAAACGGTACAATGGTTCCTCGCACTAGTTGGGCTGGCACTAAACTTCTAAAAGCGTAAAAATTTTGCTTATGCAAAACGGCATCCTATTTGCATAAAATAAAAAAGAATTTCCCGACAATTGCGATGAACGCAATACGATTTTTTAACGTTTCTTTTTTTCTCTTTAGTTTTATTTTTCTATATTTACGTTTGTAAAAGTAACGCCAAAGTCAAATTAAGTATTCTAATAATAATAATAAGTAACGACAGTCATAAGCAGTTATAAGCAATGTCTTTCTCATTTTTTCAATCCGTTCCTCCATTACTTAACTTCACTAGTCATCGCTTCTTTCTGGTTAAAAACAAATGGCGTGCAGGCTATAGGATGGGAGTAGGTAGAATAGAGGTATTTACATATCTCTGGTTGTCGTTTAAAAGTTTTGTGTAGCTATGAAATGAATTATCCTTTGTTTCGATCGCGAAAAGGATGGGATATGACGAAAAATTGTTGCGATAGAAAAACAATGAAATGCCAAGGAGAGCAAAGAAAAAGTTGCGTTTAATTATTACCGATGATTGTCCAATTGATATTGTACAATTGAAAGTCATTAAATTGATATATTTGCTGTATATAATATATCGTGCCCTTAAAAGAATATTATCGTAACTGAATGTCGAACCAACAAAAGGTATACACGAAACGATATCTAAGTACGAAACGAATAACGTCGCAAAGTTAGTCATTAGGCTAGTAATACATAATCTGATTTCGTTGTCCCAGCTAATAAGATACTTGGTTTTAATTAGTGTTTAAGGAATATTATGTAAGAACATTTAATTATAAACTTCATTATACCGAAATATCGAAATTCTGATCTAGCCGTAGCTAGTAAAATATAATTTGATTTTTCTTTTCTCCTAAAAATGATTTTATATCTTTAAGTTGCGACAGTATCCTTTTAGAAATTCGACATGTACTCGTCGAATGGGCACGCATATATGTCTCGACGTTTAATCCTTGAAAAGATTGTTTCTTTTGTTAAATCTTTTTTCCTTTCGAGTTTCACTTTCTCAATTCGATTTATCTTTGACCATCTCACTATCGTTTTCCTCATATTTCTTCTCAATGTTGTGAGATTTCGTATAGGAGGTAACGTAAAACGAGCCGAAGAGATATATGAAGACAAAAGAATTGATGACCAAGAGAACAGTCGGGAATTTTGGAAAATTGCAACCGTTAAATAGAACCAGACTGTTGTGAATGCCGATTATTGTGAATTGCAAGAGTTGCAAACTCGTCAAATATTTCTTCCACCAAAGATAGGGCTGCATCTGTGGTCCAAACGCAGTGAGCATGTAATAGGTATACATGATGATATGTACGAAAGAGTTGATAAGGCCGAGCAAGGTCCCGTGTCCACCAGGCAGCCATTTAACGGCGACCCAAGCGGCTAAAGGCATTAGCCCATGATGATAGACGTGTAAGAACGATATTTGCTTCTCCTTCTTTCGTAGAACGAAGAATACCGTGTCCAGTAGTTCGATCAGTTTGCATACGAAGTACGTGTATACGCTTCGAGTCATCTGTTCAAAGATAATAGTATTAATAATCGATAGGATAATCGATTGGCATAAATTTTCTTGACATTTTTATACTAACCCTTAATGCTATTGGATCGTTCGAGTAATCGACCGGTTGACAATAAAAACTGTAATGGTGGAACCATCCTGACATCAAACCTTCGTAAACGATGTATATGCTGAGCAATACTTGGATAAAATTGTAAACAATCAGCATATTCTTCAAATTATATGGCTTTTTGTCCCTCATATATCTCGGTCCGGCCGATAGAGAAAAATATAAGTAGGTAATAAGGATAGTCAATATCGGACCTGGTCCCGATACCAAGAACCAATCTTTCGTTCTCGGATCTAAAAAACGTAACTTGTTAGCTGCTTAAATAATCGCTAACGAACATGATCTTTTTCTCTTTCTTCTCTTACCATTCCTATTGTACATTAAATCCTTATACCATTCCACGAGACCCGACATCTCTCTCTCTCTCTCTCTCTCTCTCTCTCTCTCTCTCTCTCTCTCTCTCTCTCTCTCTCTCTCTCTCTCTCTCTCTAATCGTCCGTCGACCTGAAATATCATATGCATTTATTACCTTCGGATTAAATCAATTTAATAATATCTAATGCTTTGTCATCCATTGTCGAACTAGAGAGAGAGAGAGAGAGAGAGAGAGAGAGAGAAATTATTAATCATTTCGATCGACACAAATTGTAAGTCCTTGATGGGAAATACCTAGAGCGCATATAAATATATCACTTTCGAGCGATTATAATCGCTACTAATGACTATTTTCAAAGGATACAATTATATGAACCATGCGAATACACCATTCTTAACTCCTTCCTTAAATAATGATCGAGCGTTACGATAATCCACCAAATGGATTACGTTCGCAAGCATAGCGAACGATTATCTTCCAATGTCAGAATGTCCATCTCGCCATTTCCCAATCTGTGTGTTTCTTCTATCTCCTTCGACGAGGATAGATCAAAGAAAATAATTATAACCATTCTTATCACGATAAAGGATAACTTTAAAAAGAAATTTGCGATATATGCGATTGAGTGTCATTTAATTTAATTTTTCAACATACTGCTCTTGGTTCCGAAAGAGAAATATAAGTACATTGTACATGCGTGTATATTTCAAAGCATAGTAGTACTTTTTCTTCGTTCGTTCAAATAAACCGAAAAATGTATAAGGTTTTAAAGTATGACTTTTCTCGATTTGCGAAGTCGATTGACGAGTTAAGGAGAAACGAATCGAAATTAAACACTTTTGTACGCAGACGTTACAAGAATGTATGTACGCGACACAAGTCCGAGGAGATAGAGGTTGCCAATCGTTTCGAAAGATGAGAAAAATGCGCGAGCTCGACTTGAGTACCAAGGTGAACCAGATCGTCGAGGCACAATGAAAACATCCATTGCAGTTTACATTTTACTTTTACTCTCCCTTTCTTCGATTTCTCGTGTTCCCTCCTCGAAGCCGGCAGTTCAAATCGTTCGCGGCAGTTCGTTGGCACAAACGAAATTATTTAAAATACGAATGCGCGTTTTCCCTTTGCTCGAGGAAGGAAAGAGAGACGTTTTTCTTTTACAAATACAATTTTATATATGGCTCGGGTTAAATTTTTCCAAAAAGAAAGAAAAGAAAGAAAAGAAAGAAAAAAAAGAAAAAAAAGAAAAAAAAAGAAAAAAAGAAAAAGAAAAAAAGAAAAAAGAAAAAAGGGAAGAAAAAAGAAAGAAGAAAAACAAACACAAAAGAAAAAGAAAAGAGATGTAGCAAAGTTAAATATATCGGAATATCGAGGAAATATGCGAAATATGAGTGACAATAGATAGATAAATTTATTTATCGGGTGTTCGATAATAATTTGATAATAATCGAGTTTCGTAAGATCGAAAGGCTTTGCCGATCGACCTACGTAAGATGACCTACTTCGCGCCGATCTGCAGGTATCAAGTCTTATTTGAGAGAACTATCTCGAGTTATACTCGACTATTATACTGTATTAATAACAACTATATCGTCATTATTAACAAAAATATCCCAACTCACGAGCCTCGAGAAGGAAAAGACAATTCTTGATTTATAACATTTTCTAAGGATGTTTTAATTCAATAAAAGCAGACGGTTTAACTTTATGGATGGATGGATGGATGATAAATAATTTTGCCACGTAAACGTTTGCCCGTCGTCTTAGGACCAACTTTTTGAGAATGAGAACCTAATGAGAAGAAAAACTGTTAAACCGGTTTTATTGGAAGGACGTAGAGTGAGAGCGAGGAGAAATAAAGAATGAGTACGCGCGCACGTAGGTATGTTTTACGAATGAAAACTATAACGAAAATAGTATAAAGTTATGTGCGATTGATAATTATACAGGCATTAAATAACGTCTGCGCATTTTTATAAAACTTGTCAAAAAGAACAAGGACGAAGGAACACGGGCGTATAACGTAAGTCATTATTAATGACTTACGTTACGAAAGACGTGCCGCGAGATTTGAGAGTATCACTAAAATTATATAATCCTCCAGGATCTCGCTTTCCTTTTTATCGATGCCCGAGGGTATATCATGCCTGACCGACTAATGAATTCTTTTTCTTACCTCTCTGAAAAACAAGATTTGGCCTTGAAGCTAATTCAAAAAAGTTCGATGCTCCGAATCGCAACAGCAGTTGTATTCAGCGGCAAACGAGAAAGAAAGAGGAAGGGAGTGAGAGAGGGGGTCCAGTTGGAGGGAGAGAAACGACGACGACGACGACGACGACGACGACGACGACGATGATGACGATCTTATTATCGTTTGGCCCCGAGTTGAGAACTCAGACTTCTTTTACCTTGAAATCGGCTTTAACCGATTGTGACATAGACAAGAAGACGCGGCTCCATTCACTCCCTCCCTAAGGGGATAATAAACACGATGATAAGTGTTCGAGCAGAACCACGGGATATTTTACAATAATTCATTTGATGATTTCCCATGACGACATCTTTCAGCAATTTACATTTCCAAGAGTTGATTTTTTTTTCTAACTTTTTTCTATCTTCATAATTAACGAAGAATTATACAAATGACGTACGCATAAATAAAAATAATTTAATAAGTGCACACATTCCTTCGCGGTTAAACGATAATAATATGTCGCACGAACGTCGTACGATCGGCATCGTTGAATTTCTCGGACGTGTCCTTAGAAAAATAAAGAAATGATCAACGGTACAGACGCGCAAACAGATTTCGGAAGACAAGCGAGGTAATCTTATCTTAAAGGCTTACCCTTCGATTACTCGAAAACTCTCTGTCTTACGAAGTATTTAAAAAGATCCTTTCTACCTCGCTATCATCCCAAAAAGATCAAAGAAGGAGTGAAAGGAACGAAAAGATCTTCGTTTTCGCTTTTATCGTAGACATACTATATATACATATATATATATATATATATATATATATATATATATATATCTAGCCATTATCAATTTCTTACCGTTATCAATTAGTGCAAAAAAACACTATCGAAACCACAACACTACTTTTAATCTTGGATTAATGTTTATCGAACAAATCGTGAAAAGCACTTATCTTCTTTTTTCTTCTTCCACTTGTCCTTCTTCTTCTTCTTTTGTCTATATATTCTATTTGAAAATACACCGTTTGTAATATGTAGATAATAAAGCAATATATAAAAGGATTGGATATTGCTTTCGGTAAAAAGACTTGTCTACCGTTCGAAGATAGAAATTGTAATTTCGTTGATTAAACAAATGAATTGATGATAAAGTGACGATAAAAGAAAATTAGCGAAGAAAAGATGATATTCTTTCGGAATTAAGAAGCCGCGCCGAAAGTCTCCAAGCAACTGCATGAAGAACAAGAAACAGTGCGAGCTTATATATGTAGAATGTAGACGATGCTTAAATCAAATTTTATTACAATCGTAATAACGAAGGGCAAAGATTTTAACCCTCAGTATTGAATCGAAATAAATTAACGGAAATAGATTATAATACTTTTATTATTTCTCCTAAGATTTTAATAAATAAAATACTTTATTTATTATCAAACGATTACAAACATAATTTTCTGATCTATAGACCGTGATAAGCGAATCAATAAATGAATGTCTAATTATAATGGCTATTTAATATTAATTCAATCAATTGATGTTCGATCTTTTATTTATATTTATATTACTATTACCGAGTGAATTTATTCATTCCTATCATTTTATTTTTTTATTGTTTTATATTGTTTTATATTTATTCTTTTATATTGTTCATTTTATATTTTCTATCAACAAATATCAAATAATTTTTCTCAGTATTAAATTTAAACATATCTAAATTCAAATGAAGCGCGTTTAATTGTTATTTATTGACGGAAAGATGTCGTCTCTAAGATATTCGAAAAAGAAACAAATTTGTAATTCTCGAAAACGATCCTAGAGGACAGACAAATCGAGGAGCGAGATTGGGTGGAGCATAGCCTTTTGATGCCTTCATCGTCTCGTCATTATTATTAAGTTGCTTACGAGTCGATATTGTATGGTTATTAAGTTTACATTTTATTTTTCTTTATTTTTTCCCTTTCTCTCTCTCTCTCTCTCTCTCTCTCTCTCTCTCTCTATCTCTATCTCTATCTCTCTATCATCCTTATTCATATATTCATATATGATATATATTCAATAGCGCACAACTGCAGTTGGAATGATATAATGTGTAAAGTACGGATCACGTGTTTATTTCTAATAACATGTTTTATTTATCAAGGTAAATTGTCTCTTATATTTTTTCGTTAAAATCTTTAATCCGTTAAAGTGTGATAAAACGATTAAAAGTGATAATAATCCTAATGTAGACGTTATATTTTTCTAATAAATGATGATTTTTTTTCTCTCTCTTTTTTCCCTACAGCATCTGCATCCTGCCAAATACCATTGATAATTAGGGGCTCTTGGTTTTCTTGGGAGAATGGGAGGAACACATTGACAGAAATAAATGCCGAAACGATGACAAATCGAGGATATTGTATAAATATGTTGGAAGAATATCATGTGAATTATACGTTTGTATTTCGCAAAAATGTTTGTTATCATTGTGTAAAACTCATTGTTAGAACGGTTAATGTATTAGAGAAATTAGAAGGTAAGGAGATTTAATAATAAATGTCATTTTGTTCGTTGTTATATCAAATTTATGATTATTTTAGCAAGCTGTGTAAATTTACCCACCGGCGTTGAACCTACGGTAGAAAACGTCTGCAAAGGATTACGTCCTGATCAGCAATTGATAACATTATTTTCGGAAAATTATGTTCCTGTAAATTGTAGATCGTCGCTCGAAGGTGTATGGCAGTTTGCCTATCAGGCAAGTTTTCCTCAATAATACTTAGAGAATCCTTGAATTCTTCATTTTTCCTATATATAAAAATATAGATTATCATCTGGATGCTATCCCATTTTTTGTTGCAGAATCGATTCAGGTTTACAGGAGAATGCAATCATCCGGATGCACAAATACGTTCTTGTCAAACAGCAGGAACACAGTTTCTTATAACTAATCAAAAGTTCAATATAACTTACAAACAGTGTCAGGGCATGAAAGGAACCTTCGACGGATGTTGGTTCATATATTAATATTTAAATACTTCTCTCTCTCTCTCTCTCATTCTCTCTCTCTAAAAAATCATTATATGTCTAAGCACATGTCGTTTCATTTTAGTGGTAGAATACAGCTGTTTGGGTGATTGGTTCGTAGAAAAGAATCACTTTTTCGCTGTAGCAAACACAAAAGAATCTAGAAAGGACGAAAAGTACAGGTGTTTTTTAAAAAATCGCGATGACGATTTATACATTGGTGTATCGATTACAGCAGAATGTAATACTTTGAAAACAGTCGAGAAGAGTCCTGAGAGATTAAGAGTTACGCCTGTCAAAGCTGAATTAGTAGAACCTGGGTGTCGCTTACCTCAAGATATGCATGGGAATTGGATAAATACTGCTAATATCGATGCGGACGTTTTCATTAATGAAACGCATATCATCGAAACGTGGTATCCGGACGAAGGCCGTTATAGACGTACGATTTATGTTTGTCGTGAACTAAGAGATAGTAGGATAATGATGGCACGATTAACGGTCGATGGCTGGTATGTTTTATGTATAACTAACTTGATAATAATGTATGATATATACGTATAATACAGATGCGCAGAAAAGATCGTAGAATTTCGTTAAAAAGAAAATATACATATGATGACCTTGAGAGAAAAAAAAAACGAAAAAAACGAAAAAAAATTCTTTGCCCTAATATCTTTGCTGATAATATAAATCATTTGCTGTTATAGCCAAAGGGATTACGTTTGTTTCGATGTTGTTACGCGGCATCACAATATCATTAGATACCGTCGTGGCCTTGCCGTTATTAAGGATGATTTTCATACAGTTTGCTCTTGGGTCCAGTTTCAAAATACAGAAGATTGGAAGTATGACTTATTTTTAGGTGTGCATAAAAATATATTCTTTTTTTTATCAATTTAATCTCGATCTATATTACTTTTCTTGTCGCGTTTCTTCCACAGCGAAAAATCCTGTTCCCGTACGTTGTCCTGTCGCTGGAAAATACATGTTTAAGCAGAAAGGAGATGTACTTTTCGAAACACGTATCTTGGGTGGTGTCACACTATCGCCACGTCCAAATATCTATTGTAAGCAAAATATTTCGGATTTTTCGGTATGCGATACAGATCAAAAAGAAGTGGCCATAGATGAGAATTATTGTTTGTCCGTGGATTATTTAGGAAAGCCAGTGGATATTTATAGTAAGTATAAAAGGTTTTATTACCGCCTTTTATTTATTCATTATTTCAATTAATTCATTATTTCTCTTCACAGGCGAACCCGATTATAAAATGAAATGTATTGGGTATTGGAAAGAAAATTTAAAATCCTATCTTATTACATACGACGAATTAGATCCTTTCAGCAAGTACCGTTGTTGGGTATATCAGAGAGCAGATTTAAACAGAGTATTAATGTCTCAGGCGATCGGACCATTTTGCGATCTTAAGCAAGACGTTACGAGTAGCAATTATACAGAAGGTGCAGCAGTTGCACTCGAATTGCAAGTACGTGTATAGTAGTTACTTTGTCTTTCCTTTTTGCCTAACGTTACACATAAAGGGCAAAAGGGAAAGTCGTTGTTGTCAGTGTGACAACAATGTCAAATATTTTTATTACAGGAATACGAACGAGAACGCGATCAGTGTCCGATGCATTTTGATGATGGCAGTAATCCATGGATGCAGACTGAAAACTATATTAAAGTTTTCCGTTATGGTAACGGTAACGATAACACGATCGTAACGTCTCCCTTATTGCTTACGGGACTCTTAGTCTTTCTTACTCGGCTCAATTTTATACATATACGAGTGTAGCGCATATGTATCTCTTCAAGATCATATATTTTTTTTCTATTAAAACTATATTTTGCTACAACACCGGCAATGATTCGATGACTACAGTTCGTTGATCATCATCATCATCATCATCATCATCATTTCTATTCGATGATGTTTAAGACGTTTATTACTTTTACAATGGAGAAGAATTTCAAATACAGTATATATCTATATATATATATATATATATACACACAATTAAGAAATGGTTGAATTAATCGCATTTATGCATGTACATATGTGCACGCGTAGCCAGTAATAGCTGGCGCGTTGTCTACACTAAATTTCTTTCGTTTAAAATAATTTCTACGCAACGTGCAACTTCTTTTAGGTCATTAACGAAAGCGAATTCGACGAAATATAAACCACATATGTACTACCTTATTCAAATCCAAATAACTTATATTCATTTAATTTCTCACTTTTTTTGTCTCGATTACCAAACAATATTAAACAGTATTAAAGATAGTGTAGACTATGTATAAATGTCAAATATTCCGTCCAAATTGTGCTTTAATGTACATACAGTGGATATTAATATGCATACAACAACGTTATTTTATTCACCGATATTAGAATATTGAAAATAGTTTATTACTTTATTTAATGAATTATTTAATGAATGAAAATTTTATACATTTGATTAGTCTAAAAGCATGATAAATATAGACGTATTATATAGATATAGTATTACACTTTTTTTCATACGACATACGAGTTATTTATAATCTAAATAAATAAAAATGTGTCGAAAAATAAACAGTGCCTTTATTTGGTCCAGCTGACTTTTGGTATGTCAAAGTGCTCTGTCAAACTATCCAAATGCCTATTGAATTCTTCGACGCGTTGTTTGTGTGTCATAGAAGCCTTCTGTTTTATCCTCTCATTTTGCTGAAATAAATACCAATTATATGAAACATACTATTCCCTATCTCACTGTGTGTGTGTGTGTGTGTGTGTGTGTGTGTGTGCAGACAGCGTTTACCGACGATGGAAAGAGATTACCATTTTTTCTTGCATTTTTTGAAAAGCTATTTCCGCCTTTGTACGCTTTATTTCAATATTCCGTGGTATCTCCTCTTCGATTTTATTGGCTATCTCCACTAGTTTCTTACTTTTGCTATCTTTATTCTTTTTCCTAATGAGTAAATGAAATAAAATATTATCAAATATAAAAGAATATTTAAGGAATATTTATTTTATTATTAGTCCTTAAAAAAAACGTCCTAAAAAATAAACTTAACCTCAAATCACAAACTGTTCTATGGTTGTACTTACTTTTTGCTCACGGTCTGATCGTTTTTTAATTTAAGAGGTCCTTTAGCAGCATGTGCATAAGGATCGTCGTCGTCATTTGTCGAAGGCATGATTTAATATTAATTAATCAACACAATAGATTGTCTACAGTAGTCAACAAGTTGACGGCGTAAAGTTCCTTGACAAGTAAGAAGGTAATTAGACAAATCAAAATCAAGGTAACGACATCTAGAGCGAAGTGAATTTTTTGCGCATGCGCAAAATACGAAGAATCTTCTCACCGGCAAAAGACTGCAGTATGCGTATGCATTATCCTAGATACGGAAACATATCTGGGATAATATAAAATGTTGGATAATATAAATTCGTAATGTTGACGCAACTTAATGGAATATTTGTAATAAGTATGAAATGATGAAGAAAGTCAAATAAACGCAGATGAAGTAAACGTATGTAATTAAAAGTACAAGATGAATAAAGTATTATAATAAAATCATATACGTTCCCCAATGAGATTAGGATTCGGTACATAGGCGAGCATCCATTTAAAAAATGGATTATAGGGTTTTATTTATATGTATATATGCATATATACGTATATACATATACATAACACACAATCATATTTTATAGAGCATAATAAATTGATATCGTATAGTCCATTATTCTTCATTAATTATACAAGTTTACTCAGCATCGTATCATGTACATTTAGCAATCAATCCTTTTAAATCTCTACATGGTGATCTTTTAATCGTTATCAAGTAATTTTAAGAGATTGCGTATTATATAGTAATTAATATTAATACCTTTGAGCCTGTATTTGTATCAGCTATCATTGTGGTCTATCATAATCATTAAATACTATTATGCTCCAATAGTACAAGTTCAAATAATAGCACTGATGTTTGAATCGAGTATCTAAAACTGAAAATATAAAAAATTGTTCCTTAACGCTAACTAGCCCTCAGATTATTCGAGCTTTTCATCAATGTTACAATTCACAAAAATGTACTTGGCATAAGCATTGTTTTGTTTTGTTTGTTTTACTTTCTTCTTCTCTCCCTCTCTCTCTCTCTCTCTCTCTCGCCCCAACCCCCATCCCATCCCGCTTAATTTCGCCACAAACTCTTCGTATGTAAACTTAGAACTGCTAAAGCTTAGGTTTAAGAAATTTTTCTACGATAATGACTCGATTCTGAATCCTGAATAAAATCCACTGAACACTCCTCGTGCGATTGATCCCAATGCTTTTATCGATATTTTGGGTTTTCCAACACGAATATAGCACAATATTTTTATGCGTATTAGCGTATTCCGCTTCGGGAATGTGCTATAAGCCATTGTAACGTAATATCAATATTGTCCTTTTCTTTGCAGGAAATACTATAGCAACAAATCTCACGATCTTGAATCGCTGATAAATTCCTAAAGAAAAAAAGAAAAAAACAAATAATTACGGCATAATCATTAAAGATCAATTTGATGCGATTGACCATTTTGTTTATAATGATCTCTTACATTCTTTCTATAAGTCCATTTTCATCCAATGCATGAGGGAGATCCCTTTTATTTCCAAGGACCAAAACTGGTATACCGGAAAGTTGAGGTTTGTCCAGTAAATTATGTAATTCGTTACGACTGGCCTCAATTTTCTCTGAATCAGCTGCGTCGACCATGTATACTATAGCATTGACGCCTCTGCAGTATCTTTCCCACATGGATCTAAACCTTGGTTGACCGCCAATATCCCAAACTTTAATGGTAACATTACCTTTAGTTATTTTACGCATATTAAAACCGACCGTTGGTATCATATCTTCGCTGAACTGTCCTGACTGGAAAAAGAAGAAAAACATTTCTATAACATTTGACATTTATAAAAGCCAGTCGATTGCGCTATAGCAGATGGACTATATTTCAAAGCTTTCTCGTTTCTTTTTATATCTACTCAATGGAAAACTATATATCAAGATCAAACGTTGACTCACTAATTGTTTAAAGACCTTTCATCTATTAATACGATTGAACAAAAGATTAAACGGATAAACAACCGTTCCTCCTAATCTTAAAAACGCACCTTACAATCTATTATTTTAAGATTAAGGCACAGACGAAGTAGGAAATATAACCAAACTATGGTGCACGCGTGCTAGCGATCTTTTCGGAGAAATGCGGTGCTCTTTAAAGGATATATGTGTCGCATCGTTTCGTCATTCCTCGACTTCATTCTTTCATCGGTTTTGTCGATCGGCTCGAAACTCGGGGCGAGGTGTATCGTGCTAGCAGTAAAACAAAAAGTTCCGTACCGCTATAACATTAACGAATGTAGTTTTTCCGCTATATTGAAGTCCAACGAGCGTGAGTTCCATCTCCTCCTTCCAAAAGAGAGACTTGAACCAGTCTAAGATCCTATTGATTAACGCCAACATCCTGAATAATACGGGGGACGTTGATCCCGCTGAACCGGCCGAGGTTTCTTTCTTTCTTTCTTTCTTTCTTTCTTCTTTACGTTGTTTCACCCAACGACAACAACGACAACGACGACAACGACGACAACGACGACAACGATGAGCCAACGACAACGACGACGACGACGACAACACTCACGATCTTTGACATGTAGTCATTCGCGGACAAGAGTGGTCGACGTCAGATACGCGCAGCAAGTGCGTACCACGCTAGTCAATGATACCGCTGGCCGCTAACTGTGCGCCACTGTTAATTCGCAATGCGTCTACGTTACGATAATTGTTATCAAATGAAATTTTATCTTCTTCAAATGCCGATATATCTCGCATACCAAACCATCTCGGTCTTTCGCAAAGATTTACAAAATTTATTATCACTTTACAGTTTTACCATTGACGTATAGCAGAAGACCGGATAAACAGTGGCTCTCAACATAGATCCCGAATAGAAATGCGCTCACCTTTACGTTTAATATTTCCGAACGTTTCATTAGAGAGAGAGAGAGAGAGAGAGAAACCAATATATATATATATATATATTATTAGGACTAGCGTTAATTTTGAAAAGTAATATTTTCTCTCTTTTATCCTTCGATATTATCTTTCGACGAAAGAACAATTAAATGTCGCTAAATAGTATTACAAATGGCTCGCTTTCGTGGGCGGGAAAGAAAGGAAAAGTGACGATAGGAGCGCACGAATAGCCGATGCGCGTTCATCGAATGACTCACATGTTTCTCTACTTCCGGATATTTAACGGCATATCGAACTTGTCGATACTCTTTCTCCTATTTTCATCATACTTTTCAAATATTGTCATGTCATATACATGGTGAGAGTAAAAATATACCAGAAATAAGATAAGTACGTATATGAAATCTACTAGATTCTCTTATATACAATTTCGATTTTCTTTAATCATTTACGACGAAGGGAATATCTCGCCCATCGATATCAATATTTCTATTATCAATCCTCCAGATAAATGGTATTGTAAGGGTGACTAGCGTGTCGCAAATATTATTTATTTTCTATATATTTTAAAGGATTAGGTCATTCTACATGACAATGGAACTGACTATTTTCGCATAAAAAGGATCGCATAAAAGAAGATTTTCTATATTTTTCGATGGAAAAATTTGTTAAAGGAATTATACCAAATGAGGCTTACCTAAAGCTTTTCGCAGCGCCATCTGAGCTACGAGTTATCACGTTTTACCTATAAATTTCATGCGGTCGATAGCGTTCCAATAACGAATTATCTGTAGCGCTAGTTTCAAATTGTCTTTCCAATAATGCATAGTATTTTATTATTAACAAAAATACATCATGTGTCGCAAACGGACTCACCACAAATTCATAAACTTGACTATAAAACATACCCCTATATAAGAATATAATATTGTACAATTCTCTCCTACTTTATTAACCCACCCCGATTCGACTGAATATTTCAAATACAAACTAGGCAGTATTCACGTGTGATACAATAAGTCGGCTTTTGAATGCGGAGGAATATTTATAATGATACAACTTCAAACTCCCTGCCGATAGAAAGAAGAATAATTAGCAGCTTCTCCTTATTATTATTTTCTTTCCTTTTAATAGAGATCTTAATCTCGTTCAAATGTAACGAGAGGGGGACCGAACAAATGATCATTTTTGGGCAGAGAGAAAGAGAAAGTAATAATAAAATTATCTTTTCAAAAGATATTGTAGAGGGCGCATTATCGAAGAATCCTTATGTACATAGCCGCAAATATGTAAAACAATATTTCTTTGATCTCGACGAGTGTTAACATTTGTACACACAAATATGCACGCGCACATTAATTATGATTATCGTGCGCTTATTAACTATCTCCAAAGATTATATTTTCGAGGAAGTAATCGCATTATCATTCCCTTTAATTCGTTCTCACGCACGCGCGCGCGCACGCACACGCCGCACGCACGCACACACACACACACACAAACACGTGTACACACACACACACACACACACATGTATATATCATTTCATTAGTGGTGTATTGACGGCATAGCATCATATACCTCGATCTTTCTAGATAATACAAAACTAATCTATCTATATACAGGGTTGTACGAGAGACATCCAAAGCGAGTGAAATTGGTGGTCGTAATTTAATGTAATGCGAATAAAAATGAAATCGAAAAATCGAACGAGCTGGTAAACGAGTAACCAGGAGTACGATTACGATCGTCCTTAGAATATACATATATACGCACAAACATTCATGCACGCACACATATACGTATGTCTTTCTTTTTCTTTTTTTTTCCTTTTTTGAAAAACATCATCGAGACCACGTTTTCCTTCGCTTTGCGCGACGTCATGGCATTCACGCACGCACGCATTCTTTTCCACACACACACACAAACACACAAACACACACACACACACACACACATACACACACACACAGAGACAGCAGAGATACACGTGGACGCGCGAGACACAACACAAGTCGTTACGCTTACGGTTGCATTGTTCCTCATCGTTTAACATTACTGCCCGTTCAATTTATTATGTACAACATTAGACGCATCGCGAGCTCGCCTATATATATTCCACTTTAACAAGTTAGATATTCTCACGAAGCTATTCGTTCGAGCAAGTCGAAATAATAATATTCACATCGCAAATCTTATGGAATGCAACGAGGAAATGAGTAAAAAGAACGATGGAATAAGAAAGTTAACCGATCTCTAAGAGGATTTCCTTCCACCGTCACGATTCCTTCGATAGCGAGAGTTTTGCGGTAAAGTATTTCCAAGATACGGAAACGCGTATCTTAAACGTATCGATTAATTATTATCATTTGATTTATAGAAAGAAAGAAAAGAAATCCCAAGAGAGACGATATCACGAAACGAAATCGTCGTTATCGATTACGTACTTGTAAGCATGTGCTTTTGTTGTACACAAGACTGCCCTGACGCGCGCTTCCCTTTAATCTCCTCTTTTTTAAAAAGACACGTGTCATCCAACGATATACGTATATACCTTTCGAACGGGATAAAGGGGAAAGAGGATAAAGAAGCGAATTTTGGTCGAATAATACCTATAAAGGCAAGGAAGAGGAAGTGAAAGTTTAAAGAACGGGGCAAGGTTTGGAGAGATAAAAAAAAAAAAGTGTTAAATATCAAATGAGAAAGATGGATGAGCCAAAGAGGAGAGATCCACGTTGCGGTTATCATTTTAACGAGCTCTCGATGTGACTTGAAGGCATTTGGTGGCAAAGAAGAGGAAGAACAACGACGATGAATTTTTTGCTTGGGTCACTCGTTCAGAAGATAACCTTTTCGAAGGTTGAATTCCGTCGCTGCTAAACTCTCTCCTTTAACGTAATAATCCGCAGCATCCCTTCTTATCGTGCCGTTGCTGGTGATATTGCCATTTGAGATGACGCTGTTCGCTTTGTCATTTGCAATACCATTACTTGTCATCTTTTTAATAGTCTTCTTTTGTTGATAATTTTGCTGATAGAACTTGTTGAAGAGGAAGAAGAACATAATGGCATGCATGCCGATCGACCAGACGAAGGCTTTCGGATAATCGCAGTCGATGAAGAGCAATTGGAAGGCGTGTATCATTATTAATACGAATTGGATCATTTGCAAGGCCGTAAGATACTTTTTCCACCAGAGGTAAGGCTGTATTCTTGGCCCTAGAGCGGCGAGTAGATAGTACGTGTACATGACAATGTGTACGAAGGTGTTGAGTAATCCAAAGAAGGTTGAGTGACCGCCTGAAACGATGATTCCAAATTATATCAGATGGAACATGTATATCTGTATATCAGATTGAAATATCTCTCTCTCTTTCTCTCTCGCGCGCGCGCACGCGCGAATGACATACCAGGAGTGAATTTAACGCCAAACCAGACGGACATTGGCATGCAGCCGTGATGGATAACATGAAGCGCCGACACATGGTTGTTTTTTTTTCTCAGTACAAAAAAGATCTGAAAGATAAAGCATTGCATCTCAGGGTTATTGTTCATTTCATTAGAGATAATTAGAATGATTGTGGTGCCACTTACCGTATCCATGAACTCCGTAAATTTCGAAAAGTAATACCACCAACAGGCATGCACCATCTAAGATCATCGATATGATTAATGTTTTTATTTATGTTCCATCTAATAGTTCCATCATTTCACAACGATTAGTTTATTTCTCTTTCTTTTCATTTTGCAATTGATACAATACTATGGTGTAAGTCGATCGTATTCTAGTCTCGTCGTATGTTAAAAGAAATAGGAAAAAATTTATGAATAAGCACGAAGCTGGTCTACTCATTACTTCCACTATATACATATATAGCGATGTTACAACATTAAACAATGATTATGCTGGTATCTACCAAATACTACTTTTATCAACTACAATTACCAACACTACTTGTTTTCTTCATCTAATTATCTATCTTATTGTTAATATGTTAGTTACATAAAGTTAGCTTACGTCGAACCTCAAATTTTACACAATTTCATTTGAAAGTATTAAAGATCGAATGATAGTTATCAATATATTAATTATTTAAATTGAATCAGCTGCTTGAATCGGATCGATCAAACGTTACTACTCTCGGATCAAACTTTTTTACTACTACCGTAAAAAAATCAAAAGCAATTGTACAATTTATTAGTACATAATTACTTTAATGGGTTAATAGGGAACACAAGACCTCTCACCCTTAGTACTTTGGGTCGTTCACTGTAGTCTACAGGTTGACACTTTAAAGAATACTCTCCAGTCAGCCATCCGGACATTCCTATCTGCAACCACAACCGTCAATATGCTACTTGAGAGAAAGAGAGAGAGAGAGAGAGAGAGAGAGAGGGAGAGAGAGAGAGAGAGAGAGAGAGAGAGAGAGAGAGAGAGAGAGAGAGAGAGAGAGAGGGAGAGAGAGGGAGGGAGGGAGAAAAGAAAGAAATTAGACTAGAAAATATAAGCGTATAGTATTGTATTGGGTTGACAACTAAGTGACTGCCGGATTTCAAATAAGAAGGAAACGACAAAATCCGCAATCATTTAGTTGCCAACTCAATAGATACATTCGAATATGGAATATGAAGTTCTTCGAAAATGATTGAAATGGAAAAACGCAGAATTCTTTTTTGCTTTTCTTTCGACCATTTCTTTCCTCTTATTGATCTACCTACGAAAGTCCAAAGACGAATGCTAAAAAGTATGAATGTTGAGAGGAAAAAAAATGCAATTACATCATCCACATCCCGTCAGCCAAGCATAATAGGATGAACTAATTTAAAGACTACTATTATCTACAACGATGAGTTTGTTACAGTCCATAATGGTCTCGTTGCACACATGTCTTATTCTCTTTTTCAAGATCGACGTGAGTCCTCTCGTGTAACTAACATCGCTCGTTGATAACTTACCTTTATTGCGGTCGGGCTGTTCGAATAATCCACAGGCTGACAATGGAAACTATAGTGGCTCCACCATCCACCCATCAGGCACTGTATTTTCAAAATAAATGAAATTATCCTGTTCTAACATAGAAATCCGTGGGTGCAACGTACTCTCGGCTGGTCAATTGATCTCTGTCCAATCGGAGCGCTACCAAGGTAGCGCTAGAAGATATTCTCGCGTATCGAAGTGACAAGTTAACGAGTGATGGATGATGATATCGATAAATTCGTTAAAGGCTCTACGATTTTCTTGATGTTGGAAAAGAATGAAAGATGAGAAAGAAATTGTTAAGGACTTACCTCGTGGAAGAGCCACGCCGAAAAGATCACTTGGAACAAATTATAAATTATGAGAACGTTCGTCAGTTGAAAGGGCTTTCGATTTTCCATCAGCTTTGGTCCCAAAACTTTGACGATGTATACATAAGTAAGACATATGAATAGAGTTGGAAAGGGAGATCTCATCAATAGCCAGTTCGTCGTTCGTGCGTCTATAGAAAAGGAACGAACGATACAAACGATAAAAGTTTTAATCATTCAAATAAACAATATAAGCATCTTTGCTTTAATTTTAATTAATTTCTTTATAATCATTAACTTTCAATCAACGCATATACCATCGCGTATTCCTCCACTGTATTTCCTTCTTGCGTTAACGTTTCCTGCCTGTCCTATCGTCGAAATCACCCGACACGTTAGATACAAACTATGAATAAATACGATCGAATCTACGAACGTATTCGACGTTCGCGTGACGATGTTTGTTTACAATCCGGTAGCATCGGCTCTTATGACACTTTGTCACTTTTCTTGTTCTTCCTACACGACCGATTTTTATTTACGATCCATGTTCAAAAGTCAATCATTTTCATTTGAAACGTAATATGCATATATGCACGTTCATGATAATTTATAAATAGTCATTAATATTAAATCGTATTTTTTATTCATCAGTTTATCGAGCTGTTTTTGCATCGTTCTTCAACGTTTTGTAACATACAATGTTTGAATTTGCATAGGTTCGACGGAAATATGACGTAGTGGCGGTAATTGACACATTCTTAACGAACGTCGAGTAGATTCTTACGAGGAAAACACGATGCTTTTCAATAACTTTGAAAAAATAATAAATATCATCGACGTTTTATCGGTCATTTAAACTGCTAATTATCAACAATAATATTATTCGGTTCTAATACATACATATCCATTGAAATTTATCTTTATGTGTATGCCAGTCAATAAATTATTTTATAGAGAAAGAAGCATCTGTCGAGAGAAATGGAAATTGTAATAGATTAGAGCTTATTAACGAGATTGTAAAACGCGAAGGAGACAACGCTTATTCTCTTTTGGCCAATGTGTCGAATCTTCTTCTCGACTTTAATTAGCGACTTAACGATCGGTATCCGTTCGGCCATTCGATCGTTCCTTTGGGAAAAAAAAAAAAAAAAAAAAAGAGAGAGAGAAAAAGAAAAAAAATCTAATTTTGTTCATTATATAGACGTTAAAGGTAACTTTAATGATCTTTGTTAAAATTACTTTTACGTGACGTTATTGAATAATCATATATTTCCGTCAGTAAATAATCAAATATAGCCGTCGTGGAAAGAAAAAAAATGTCACTATCCGTGGAAAGAAATCCAGTATTTAAATCGTTTTATTCAACATCACGATCGAAGAAAAAAATAAATTAGCACTAATGGCTCAATAAAAAAGTCAAAATGAAAGAATCGTTAGCTCGACAGAGCCATCGAAAGGAAACTTATGGACGAGGAAGGATCGATAGAAAAAACGATCGATAGTGTTTCCGGTTTGCGTTTCGAAGAAATGACCCTGAAGATCAGATGACACTTGTTCGAGGGCTCCGCGACGAGTATTGAAAGCTAAATAATATCTCTCATGGGACATATACCTATGCGTATACACGTAGATGCTCGATTGGTATATGTTAAACGAGATAGGTTCAAGTGCGTACATACCTGCGTGTTTGTCCAAGATTTCGTGGAACCGGTCCACGTATTGAATTATAATCGACATTTTGTTTATGGACGAGGGCAGACAGTTTCGTCCTGGAAATTTAGAATAAAGGCTCGGCACGTATCCCTCCTGAAACAAAGAAGTCACGTTTTGCAAATAAATGCAGATATCTGCCGAAGAAACTGAAGAGTATGCGCTTAAGAATTCGTTCTATACTATCTCGTACAGAGAATTTATATTCGACGACATATCTATGAATTACATACATCGCATATATTCGACGAATATAAGAGAAATCTTGTAGGTATTTCTGTAGAAAGATAGATAGAGAGCCGAGCACATTGTATTAGCGAGGAAAGTTTCGTAAAGCGTCGGCGCGTCTTCTCTCATTCGACGTAAGACCTTTCACCTATTAATCTGTTCTCTGAGAGAGTGGAGGGGGACGGGGGGGGGGGGGGGCATCGCGAAAAGAGAATCGTAATTAAATAAAAAGTTCTTAAGATCGAAGTTGACGCGACTCGTTACTTGAGCGAAATGTTCTCTCATCCTCGAGCCCGGATAACGATCATTGACTCGTGGAAAATTTTTTTCCAGGAAATAACGCCATTTCTTGGACAAAGTTTCGCGCGCGAATAATCGCCTATGCCAGCCTAAGCTTAGGTATTTGTGATAGTAGCATTAAGATTATATATGCGAGCGCGAGCGCATTGCGTAACGTCCGCCCGGAGACAAGAATATTCTTCGTCGAACTTTTATTCGAAAGTCTGATGCTCGCTCCGGAACTCCTTTATTTTTATTTTCATAATGTATTTCGCCTACGTCCAGATCGAACATTATAAAATCGACCATGAATCGAAGCGACCTCGAATTTCCGTATTACGATCGCGCGCATTCACGTAAGTCAAGTACACGCGAGTTATACGGACGCATATTCTTTATGAATCGATTAGACCGAGCGCGTTCTTTCTCGAGCTAAACATTTACCTTTTAGTTTTTAATTCTCTTTTCTTTTTCTTCTTTTTTCTTTCCCCCCCCCCCCCCCCCCCCCCCCTTCCCAATCTGTTTCCTCATCTCACGCAGGAGGGAGATTGGAGGAATTCGAAAGAAATGTCCTTCGACCTATTATAAATGTCGCGGTGTGTTACGTGTACACGGACATAGACATTGGGTCTATCCAAATCTTTCAGGTGTACCAATTGGTGTCGACGCTAAGGAGATCGGCTCGGTCAGGCTCCTCTTGTCCTTCGCTGATAGAAATCGTATATTTATCTTGCGTATGATCGCAAAATCATCGCAACCGATCCTTTTGCTCGCTTGCAAAACGAAAACTCGAAAACGCGTCGAGCAAACAAAATACCTTGAGAATATATTGCGAAAACTGTATACATAATAACGGTTCGAGCACGGAAAACGGGCCATGGCTTCCACACGCTCGAGCTCAAACTCGTATCTGTCTGCCTGTGTCTGTCTTTGCTCGAGCGCGCGTGTGTCTGTGTGGGTGTGTACGTATATTGCAAAAGAGCGAGAGAGGATTGTGTCGTTGCGTAAGAAAATCGTTCATCGTTACGCGTTTGTATGTGTGCTACGAAACTATCTATCTATACCTACCTATTTACCTACCTACCTTTTTTTTCGTCATTTTATACCAACGTATCGTTGGTCTCTATCCGGTGCTAAACGGCAGAGAAAAATGTACGTACGACTGCCCTTTTGGTTCTCATCGGCGATTGTACTTTATTCCTCGAAGAAATTCCATTTTTATCGATGGAGAAAAGTCGCAAAGGACAAAGGGATTAATTTGAATAGGCCTCTGAGAATTGACGAGATTCAACGATCATGTGACCGTAGGAAAGCAATTGAGTTCACTTTAAACTTAAAGATGGCAATTAGAGGCTGCATCGAGGCCGATACGTAGCCCATTCTCATAGAGTGCAGAAAGACGAGCGTGTTACGTTCTGTTCTTCTCTCTTACCTTCAAACGCAAATGTAATTACGAAATTTTCGATCGATCTAAGGTATATAATTTCGCATTAGTTTTATTATCCGTTGTAACGTGGGATGAAGGAATTGTATATTGGCACGTGCGACATGTTATTAGAAAGAATGATAAAGATGAAACGGGGCAAGGTTGTTGTAACGCAAAGGCGCACACGCACACGCACACGCACACGCACACGCACACGCACACGCACACGCACACGCACGCGCACACGCACACGCACACACACACTCACCTACGAGCGTGATATATTTAAGAGATAAATATTAAATCGCAGAGAGACCCGTCATTCTCGCACCTGTAAAATCTTAGACGCGCATTCCTCTTGCATTGGAAAAACTCGTCTGGATATCGAGCACTAGTATGCACCATCATACCCAGCAGCCGCAACGGCGAGGAGCGAAAGTGCATAGCTGAGAGAACTCGCTGAAAGAACTCGCGACTTACGGAGTTTCGCGGGTGCGCGCGAGCGCACCGCGCTGCCATAAGGCCTAACGTATTAATGGCAGCGCGTGATGCTACGTCGTGATGAGGAAAGAGAGCGGACTACGAGTTGAGCGCAAGAGAGAGAGAGAGAGAGAGAGAGAGAGAGAGAGAGAGAGAGAGAGAGAGAGAGAGAGCGAACGAGCGAGCGAGCTAGAGAGAGAGAGAGAGAGAGAGAAACAATTCCTTTTATATAATCGCTGTATTAAAGTATTTTCTCGACGACGACGACGACGACGACGACGACGACGACGATGACAACGAAGAAACGCGAAAGCACTAACGCGGTCTCTTTCAACTTCATTTCTTTAACAAAGACTTTTCGTTTTCGTTTTGGCATAATCTTTCTATGATATATCTCCAATAGTCTGATAGACGTACAATCTCGCAAAATTTGTCGGCTAAGACTAAGGCGAGGGCAGCGACGCCGCCAGTGGTCGAGAGAAAGCAAGATTCGATTTGTTTCAGAAAATTCACATTCATGTGTCGCAATCTTCTCTCATGTAATAAATAGAAAAGTTGGCGTGCATTTGTGTCTTTCCCGAGATCACGAACACCAAAATTTAACATTTTCTTCTCTTTTCGTTTTGGCATCCTTCTTGGCATCAAAAATCTCTGTATATCTCGTCGAATGATTTATTGTCCATTATCGTACGTCGCTCGATTTATCGTTATACAAACGCGCAGACGTTATCGCTCTACTCTATCACGATAGCTTCTTACCGGGACTCGTTGAGGATCATATTAATACGATCGTCTAAAAAATCGTTTACGGAGATGACTCACTTATAAGAAATGACATTCTATTTAGGCAAATACTATTAGAAATTTGTTTCCTTCAATAGTTCTTTGCTTTCAAAATCAACTCGATTTCGACTCGATTTGAATTCGAGGCACGACTTGTATCGTACGTACCTACAATGTCAAGATGTCCACGCGACCCAGGTAAATAACTTTTAAACGTGTGCAAGAGCGAGCCGATAGAAAAGAGGAGCTCGCGTTTCGTAATCCTTGAGACATGGCATGTTTTGTAAACGTTGTGCCAATCGCGGAGTATCTCGATTTACGCGACGAGTATGTACTTTTAAAATAAGGTCAAACCGAATCGATAGTACTTTTCATAGCGAGAAGAAAAAAAAAGAAAAAAAAATATATATACACACGCGCACACATATTTCTTTTACATTTTTTTTTCTCTCGTTTCGCTCACTTTTCGTTGTTAGAGAAACGAATGAGCGCGCGCGATCGAATCGATCCAAAATATAACGACAAATCGCTTAACGTCTTGAAAGACGTCTTTGTTGACCGTTCAATCTTAGCCAATAGTCTTTCGATAAAAATCCGTTTACGAGCATGTGCTGAGACAAAGCGATCCTATTTGAGTTTACCCTACATTAAGTATGTATCTACCTAAAAGTGGATTTGAAAAGGTGACGTTGGAAAAATCTATTCTCTTCCTTCCCATCGTCACAATAGTTTACGTATTTTATCGCGCATAACAACAGGCCAGTCGTTATCCTCGAAAGCGAGCGTGCTCGATTTATTTCTAAAGATAGGGATTCGCGGACGGAGAGGTTGAAGAAACCGAGAGAGCTACGTTACTTTCCAAGAGATGTATCTGAGAACGCACGTTTCTCTGCTCTCGCAAAGAACCAATTATTATAACAATAATGCTTCCTTATCGGGATTATTACAAATGATGATATCACTAGGAACGATGAAAATGACTATATTTATTAATTTTACTAATGTCAAATGAAATTAGCATTTGTAGGTATATAATGAAAGTAGAGTTTGTAGGGGAGGATGACGAATCGGTCGAAAGAAATAAAGAGTTATGCTTCTTTATTTTTTCCCGAGAACACGTGTCGAAGTTGTAATCGATAATGGGTAACGATATTAGAGAATTCGAGATACGGGTGAGATAGCGTCGAGATTATACGCCATATTATTCGAAATTACTCTAAAGTATTTATTAGATAGTAAGAGGAAGTTGCCGTTTAAGGTGCACGCTCGACCTTGTGTACCGATGACGGCCCGCCATCCGTCGGTTGGCAATTCGTAAAGCTTACCGAGATAAAAGACATAAGGCCGTCAGTGATGTCGACGAAAATTTCCTCCATGTTTATTTTCTATACTTAATCTTAAATACGATCGCGAAATTCTATTGGTGCATTTTTTTTTTGTTTCAAAAATATTTACAAGGCACTACGATATCGGATCTATCATTTCCTATTCAAGTCTCAAAATTCAAATGTAATATTATAGAGATTGTAGGACGTAACGCGAAGATTGGAAGAAATATATCTATATGATTTATTCTCGCTTTCGCCGTAGACAAAATGAATTTGTTTGGAGTCAAGTTACTCGTATTCTCGTGGCCCCCATGGAGTGACTGAGCTTAGTAAACGACTATAAATATGTCCATTAAATGTTATCACATTCCTTTCTCCCTTTCTATCTCGTCCTCAACAGAGACGAACCGCGAATCGAACTGAAATCGAATGGGCACGTGCATGTTTCAGATGCATCGTTAATGACAAAAAGAGATCGTATCGATTTCTTCTCGGATAAGATTTTTCGCAATACCTTTATTCTCCATCTCTTATCGATACCTCCCTCGCGTAAGACGCGACAAAATCGTGACAAATTAGGAAATTTATCATATTCGCAATTGTGAATCAAAGAGATTCTTTTTTGCATCTTCTTCTATTAATATTCAATGAAATATGAATACGAAATAAATATTTAAATCGACGAATTGGAATAGTGGTGCGAACGATGATTCATTTATAGCTTACCAAAATCCCCAAGAAAGTCCAACGTAGTCAGTCCCGTATGCGTAATAGCTTGGCGTAACAATGCCGATTTTATAAGAACTCGATGCACACACACAAGCGTTGCTCGACGACAACACTATGAACAAGATAAACCGATCGAACGACTTTCTCCTTTCTTCCTTCTCTTCGACTTTGTCCCTCTCTCTCTCTCTCTCTCTCTCTCTCTCTCTCTCTCTCTCTCCCTCCCTCCCTTTCCCTCTTTTCCTGCTTTTATAATGAACAAATTTTTAGAAAAAAAATCAAGAATGTAGGAAAGGAAAGAAAAAAGAAACAGTACGAAAATGTATAAAATTGACCACCGAGATAGGACGGCGAGTGGCAATAAAGGAGGGGGAGAGAGAGAGAGAGAGAGAGAGAGAGAGAGAGAGAGAGAGAGAGAGAGAGAGAGAAAAGAAAGGGTATAAACTATCGGTGAAAAAGCTACAACTATATATATATGTACACGTAGAATATGCGGATTGAGCGCGCGGCTTGCGGACTGACAGATCCGACGCCGGTTCATTGCTTTTAACCGAGTCGCCATGTTGATACACAGGTCTCCCCATCCTATCTACTTTTCGCGATGTCACGCTCTTTATTCCACTCTCCTATAGCGCCGAGAAATATCCGTAAATCTCTTAATCATGCTTACACACATGTACGTACGAATATGCTGCATTATCTATGTAATTATGCGAATTTGATTAAGCATTGAAAAAGTTTTTGTCTTCAATGCCTTCATTAACTGCAAGAAATACATCGATGACGTCATTTGAAATAACATTGGCAAGGAAATGAGTAGCCATTAATTTTTTTGTAAACGATGGTAGATGAATTAAAAAATTTTACAAATTCTAAGAAAATTTATATATATATATATATACATATATATATATATATATGTATATATATATATATATATGCGTATTTGGATAATCATGTATTGACATAGATGATCTAAGAATCGTCCGGGAAGAAGATCGTCCGAAAGATTTGATTCAAGGATCGATTTGGAACGGATCAAGAAATTCATCCGTTCGTTCGCTCGAAAAAGTGGACTTTGTAGTAACGGGTCAAGGAATCTTTCCAACGATGACACGATAACAAAGTCCAAAGCCGATCGAACAATTGACTCTGAAAAAGGGAACATTTGCATTTTCAAATACCTCACGTAAGTTTACATCGGACTTATAGTAGGAAAGGCATTAAATAGACGCATTTCGTGTATACATATTGATTATATTCAATGGCGCATTCTTTTGACTTATACGCGATCAAACGAAAACGCTCGCTTTTTCTCTTTGCGCTTATTTACTAAGCACCTAGGGATAATCGTAATAGAAATGTATTCAGAAGCATGTAGGCCGAGGAATTGACACTTTGAACCTTATTATAATCTTGTATGTATACATCAATAATTCATAATAATTCATAGACCAGACGTTTATATCCTTCTTTAGATAATAAATAATTCTATATTCATCGGAGAAATAAAAGTTATTGTAAAAAGTTCTCTTAAAAATGTCTTCGCCCAAGGAAGAATAAGAGCAAACGACGGAAGAAAAAAGGGCATAACCCTCGATCATACTTATCTTTAGAGCATTTGATAATATTCCGTACGTATTATAATAATTGACATAATGCGCGCGCGAAACGTTCGCTAAACGACCTCTTTTCGACACCGAAACCGCCGAGTTACGGTCTTTCGTAAGATACCCACGCAATTTTCTACGCGCAATAATCGCCGAGCCGGACGACAAGGCTAATTACATATTTGCGATGAAATAGGAAGAAACAAATCGAATAGAACGTGTCGGAGAAATAGATTCGCTTCCTTCGGCGATCTACAATACGGCGCTCGTTCGATCCGTTCGCTATATGGATATTCGATTTGGATTTCGCTATATGGAAAAATATAGAAAGAAAGAAGTAAGATAGTGGTAGTACGTCGGTGATATCGTCGTACGGAAGACACGGACGAGGTCGATTAGAAGAGGTAAATACTCAAACTTGGCTCAGACGAAGAACGATTACGGCGATCCTATTCTAAATTCTTCGTTCGAACGTATCGAAACGTATTATTCGGGTGAAGAAAGATCCTATTGGACGACCTTATGAACGTTCTTTTTTCTTTTTTCGGTTTTTCTTTGGTTTTTCGAGTTACGCATGCACGAGGAAGAATTTGCGGGAGAAACAACGGTTCGCGGTTCTCGAGTTATTCGAATCACCGACCGATTGGAGAAAATTTCATATGCTGTTCTCGATTATGTACGTGGTTCGCTATAAGAAAAAAAACTTGAAAAAGAAAGAATTCGTTATGCCAAGGTAGTCTGTCTCGGTATGATCGGAACAAGGAAGAAAGGAAGAAGCGTTAAAATCGTCGGACTTATCGGTCGAGCATTTACAATATATATCCGACTGCGTCGAATGCCACGCGGGGAGTCGGTCGAAGGCCACGTTCTTCGTAGAAGCCCTCTCGTGAATCTACACGATCGGAATATATAAATGATCATTCAGAGTCGTGCGTCGTTATATCTATAAAAGCGATTCCAGACGCGTGAGTTCGTTTCTTACGGCAATCGTCCCTCCGCCCGAGAGAATAAGAAACGATTGTGCTTTTCGCACAAATCGAAGGAAAATGAGAAAGTTGAATACCAACGAGTCGCGCTTATCAAGCTACGAAATTCTCTCTCTCTCTTTCTCTCTCTCTTTTGACCGTGTACGGTCGATTTTATGTCCCCTTTAAAACTATTTCGCCAGATAACGCGTATAATAGACAAGAGGAAAATAATATGCATATACTATTTAATTACATAACGCGAAAAAATAATTGACTGTCATTGTGTCGATATTCCGTCTATCGGATATGCGCATATAGAATAAGGTAATTACAAATACAGGTTACAATGTCACGTTGAATGCTTCCGTTTCGTTTTACGTGCTCCTTGTATTCAAATCGCGAAGCGTTATTCAATGCACTTGCTCCAACATTAACGGTCGTCAAGGAACCCGTGCAAATTAATTATACCCAAGGAATTAAGCGGAACGTCAAAAAGGCGCGTTCGCCTTTGAAAATCTAAAATTGTACTTTTTTTTAGTTCTTCCTAGGACTACCAACGAAAATTCTTAATAATAAATAATGACTAAGACGAAGAATCGCGATTTATTTTCATCGTTGTCGCCTCGGCAAACACCAGAGCAGTCTTCGCGTCTTTTCCGATCGATCGCGTCGATCGTCTTCTCGCCTTCGTCTCTCGTTACTTATATTTATTTTTATATTATGCCAATGAAATATGATAAATGACAGAAAAAAAAGAAGTCATTATGCGCATAAGATATAAACAAGAATATTTTGGCGGAAAGGCAGGGAATGTTCGACGGTGAGGCAAAGAGGGGAGACAGAGAGACAGAGAGACAGAGAGAGAGAGAGAGAGAGAGAAAAGAGAAGAAAGAAAAAAGAAACGAGCCAAGATTCGAGCGTGCATACCAGCGAGGCACGGATTCGATTTTTTTCCTATCGACTCCTTTTCCGAAAGAAGACGATGCACGGCATCGATTAAAGCTCAGTCTTATTTCCTCGACATATTTGTCGTCTTATTTTTCCATAGGAAATAAGTGCTCTGAGAGAAAAGTACGAGACTTCCTCCCCGGAACGGAGCCGAAGAATGCATGCACACTCCGGGTAAATTTTCGTGCTACAAGGAAGATCGAGTTAAAAATATATCGGGCGGGGTTCCGTCTTGATTTGCATCTTGATTACGTCGTGGTTGCGTCTTCCTCCCACTCTCTCTCTCTCTCTCTCTCTCTCTCTCTCTCTCTCTCTCTCTCTCTCTCTCTCTCTCTCTCTCTCTCGATCGTGTACGGTCGATTTTAGGTTGGCTTTAACTATTTTGCCAGATAACGCGTATAAAAGATGATAAACGAAAGGAAAAAGAATATGCATATACTATTTAATTGCCTAACGCTTAAAAATAATTAACGGTTATTGTCGTTATTCCGTCTATTGGATGTGCGCACGTAGAATAAGGTAAATACGAATATAGATTAGAATGTTACGTCGAGTGCTCCGTTTTATTACGTGCTCCCTGTATTCAAATCGCGAAGTTTTCTTTAATGTACTTGCTTGATGTAATGTACTTGATATTAATGGACATCGAGGAACCCGTGCAAGTTAATTATATCCAAGGAATTAAGCGAAACGTCAAAAAGGCGCGTTCGCCTTTGAAAATCTAAATTGCACTTTTTTTTAGTCCGTCCTAGGACTACCAACGAAAATCCCTAATAATAGATAATGACTAGGCCGAAGAATCGCGGTCTATTTTAATCGCTGTCGCCTCGGCAAACACCAGCAGCACAGTCTTCGCGCCTTTTCCGATCGATCGCGTCGATCGTCTTTTCGCCTTTGTCTCTCTGTTCCTTATATTTATTTTTATATTATGTCAATGAAATATGATAGATGACAGAAAAAAAAAGAAGTCATTATGTGTATAAGATATAAACAAGAATATTTTGGCGGAAACGCAGAGAATGTTCGACGGCGAGGCAAAGAGGGTTGACAGAGAGACAGAGACAGACAGAGAGAGAGAGAGAGAGAGAGAGAGAGAGAGAGAGAGAGAGAGAGAGAGAGAGAGAGAGAGAAAGAGAGAGACAGAGAGAGAAAGAGAAGAGAAGAAAGAAAAAAGAAACGAGCCAAGATTCGAGCGTACATACCAGCGAGGCACGGTTTTGATTTTTTCCTTATCGCCTCCTTTTCCGAAAGAAGACAATGCTCGGCATCGATTAAAGTTCAGCCTTATTTCCTCGACATTTATCTGTCGTCTTATCTTTCTATAGGAGATAAGTGCCCCGAGAGAAAAGTACGAGACTTCCTCCTTGGAACGGAGTCGAAGAACGCACGCACGCGCGCGCACGTTTCTTTCGCACTCGCGAATTTTCTAACCTAGAATCATGGCCCGACACATCGCGTGCACGCTGTGGATAAATTTTCTCGCTATGCCTTTGCTACAAGGATGATCGAGTTAAAAATATATCGGGCGGGGCTCCGTCTTGATTTGCGTCTTGGTTGCGTCTTCCTCCCACTTTCTCTCTCTCTCTCTCTCTCTCTCTCTATGTATATATATTTTTCCCTCAATAACGCGAGTAAAATGCGAACAATTTCGTTACTTTTTCTTAACTAATAAATCTTATATTCGGAGATTAAAACGTTGAGATCAAGTACGTGTGACAAAGTACGCGAGCGAGAGAATCCGTCTAATCGTACAAACGAAATTAAACTTTAATGATAACATTCATTTTTGATAGCGCTTTGATGGAAGGACTTTGGAAACACTCGTAACGAGTGGATTCCCATCGAGAAAAGGTATTAAATTATGATGGCTTCGTGCGCGCATGCGTCCGCTCACGTTCTAACCTTGTCCAGATAGTCTACGATATCGACGGAACATGATTAAATTGACACGATCTTTTCAATAGTTCGAATAAGTTCGATTATATATGAAAAAGCGATTATTTTGTCGAATTAAATAAGGTTGTCGATTCGTCGACAAAACGATATAAGTGGCTATTGACCATGTGTCCTTACCTCCTTACACGTGATCGATCCTCTTCTCCTTCTTTTCAACGACTGAAGTACCAGTCTTTGTCCTCATTGTCGTCGTCGTCGTAGTTGTTATCGTCGTCGTCGTTGTCGTCGTCGTCGTCGTCGTCGTCGTCGTCGTCGTCGTCGTCGTCGTCGTCATCATCGTCATCATCATCATCGATAACTAGAATTTGCGTCGATTTAACGCATATTTGTATTATCAGAAACTATTCGTCAAATAGTTCCAAATTCTAACCTTATCGAGGTGATGGACGAAAAAACGCGGGATTACATTTTGATTCGCTTCCTTGTCCAGAGATGACGCAGTCTCTACGACTCAGTTATATAATTTCTCGGTGCTTCGAATATTTGCATTTTCGCGCGTATTACAAATCCATCGACGATCGTCGAGAAAGCATGAAGAAAGGATCGAGGAACGATCGACATATCGTAGATTATCTACGATAATAAAATTGACGAGTCCTTCTTTTTAGCAACCATTGTACGAAACATGATCATTTATTCGTTTTCTTATATACTTGATTATGAATAAAAATATATAACTTGCAATAAATAAACGATAAATAAATCTCTATTGACATCTCACAATTTACGAATGTTATTTCTTTCAAACTTTTCTCATCCATCGAATTACTTTGTTCTATTAATTCATCATCTCCCCTTTGTTTGAGCGACACTTGTCCTACGCCATAATAACGACTAATATGTCTTTATCTCATCTACCTATTTTCAACGACTTTTTATTCGTCCAATTCCAAAGATCGAATTTTTTGCCTACGAAAGGTCGGAGCCGGTGAGTGGCTAATTTTCGCGTACCACTCGTTTCAAAATTTTTTCGCATATCAAGCTTTCAAGGTAAATTCTTTCTCTCTCTCTCTCTCTCTCTCTCTCTCTCTCTTTCTCTCATTCTCTTAGCCGCAAGGACCATCTCTCGGGAGACGTCGTCGTTTCTTCAATCTCCTTTTATTCTCGAGCAATTCTCCCCAATTATGTACAAAAATATAATGAGAATCGATAACCATTACAGAGTTCGTATCGTTATAACATTAGGTACGCATGCAATCGTCCTTTCTCTTCCTGCTTTCCTCCCGTCGAGCGGTTCTTGTTCGTCCTTCGACAAACGAGATCGATCGTCGCCAAAGACCGATCGATCGTCGATATTATTATTCATATATTCCTCATACCACTATTTCTCTATTTCTTCTAAACGATCTTTGTCATCGGTCGATTATTAAAGTTTCGTTATAATCATCGTTATACGTATACCGTAATCGTATCTTTACCATTCTTATGTACAAAGATATCCTTCCCTTTAAATCGGTACAAATTCGAGTTTCTCCCTCCGCGTGCAATTACTTTTTTTTTAACAATTCTTTATTTAGTTTTTTATCAGCTAGATAGTAAGAACACAAAAGACGAGCCCACTTTTCGACGCGATAAGCAATACGTCTTATTCCTCTTTCAGCTAGTCTCGTTCGTCAATCGATTCGAATAATCCCGCACGAATACGTCATCGAAAAATAATCTTTGTAATCTTCTTTTTTGTTTTCAAACTTTCAAAGGATCTTTCGAGTACAGGCGCGTCTTACACTAAGAGTGTAACACGCGAGGGGAAGCGATTCGTGTCAGGATTTTTTCGACTTTTGCCTACCATTTGCTTTCGTTTCTTCTTTCCTGTCGATTTCTCTCTCTCTCTCTCTCTCTCTCTCTCTCTCTCTCTCTCTCTCTCTCTCTCTCTCTCGCTCGCTCGCAACATGTGGAATTTACAAAAAATTTGCACAACGAAATCGCTCGCGTACATAGTATAGTTTATACTCGACAGTCAAGTGGTCAAATTTTGTTCCATTTTTTTCTCTCTCGTGAAAGGTGAAAGGTGTATGTCGTCGTCGTCGTCGTCGTCGGGACAACGCATGAATTTTGGATTAAATGATCGACCGAAGAAAGAGAAAATGAAAGAACGATCAATTATACGTACGTAGATGCGTACGCTTACGTACCTCCATCATTCGAATCTTTACTCGTTAAATATTTATACCTCTTTCGATCGTTGACCATTTATAAATAAAACATTCATCGAAATAATGTATTATATGTGTAATAATGTGTACAAATGTCGACGATTTTTTTAGTGCGAGTTTACAATTTATAAACATTTTCTTTGTTCTTTTTTCTCTTTTTACTACACGTACGTATACCTTACGAAAAGATGAAATCAATAATCGAGTAAACGTGTTGTACATTAGCTCGTTTCCGGCCGACAATCGGAAAGGCGTGGAAGATATAAAGTTCATCGATCCTTATCGGAGTCTCGCTTAAGATCACGTTTGGCGCTTTTATATTTATACGCGTACACACGGCCGCATGTATGATAAAACAAAAAGGAAAAAAAAAGGAACAAAAATAAAGAAAATAAAAATAAAAATGATAGTACACGCTTCGGCCAAATATGCGGCAAACAACACGAAGAGATTTCGCTGATGAACCCGAGCAGATACGACGGCAGATATGTGTATATCTGTTAGTAATAACGTACGTGCAAAACAATTGAAACGAACACATAACGAACGAAAAGAAAAAAAAGAGAAAAAGACAGGAAAGGACCACAAACGACGGACAGAGACTGGCTACAGGACGATTACTAGTTAAATTTGGCTACGCGGATTTGTTCTTTCGCACGATTGAAAACCTCTTTGACTGAAAATAGACGACGGCTCCCTTTAATTCGCGCTATTAGAAATAGGATCCTAGCAACGTAGGATCTCTCTATCGTGCGCGCGCAAAGGGCGAAGGTTTGCTTAACTTTACGATCAGACGTCAAAGCCTTTGAACACAATAGGGGCGGGAAGGGTGGAGATAGAGAGACGCGAACAAAACGACGATGATTCGGATCGCGACGAAATACGAGAAATTACATTGTTTATGTATAAAATGAGTCTGCGTGCAAATGCATATGTACATATAAGCGTGTATACGTTCGTATCGGGTTGCAAAGATTCATATCCAATCATTTTATCAAACGTAATGCCTTCAAAATCGTATAAGAAATGACTGCTGACCTCGCAAAAAACAGCTCACAAGAGAGGAAAAGAAATCCGCTCGTCCTCACAAACATGCGGAGGCAAGAGACCAAAGTCGTGACCTATCCCCCGCGACCATTTCGAATACTCGGCTTATTTTATTAGATATAATATCTTGCATATTTGTACAAACTGGGACAGTTATTTCGCGAAATAACTTACTCATTATTTTTGTCATTGTGATTTAGCGTGCGACGCATCGATTTTCATCCTGCCGATCCTGTCCTCATCTCTTCGAAACAAGTCTCGAAATTGATAAACTTTTCTCACTTTTCTCACGTTTCTCACTTTTAATTGCGTTTTAAATAGACTGCAAGTAACAATTTATAGCCTTTTTAAGTTGTTCGTTAGAGGTAATGATAAAAAACGTTTCTAAAAATAATTCTCATTCCCAAAGTCGGAACATTTTTCATCGTATATTTTCTTGCGGTCAAATTATTTCCTTCAATTTTCAAATCATACACAATGGCGAGCAATAAAAGAAAGTAAATCGATGATAAGGGCGATGATAGTGTGGGCCAATGAGAAAAAAGAAAATGAAGCTTGCTAAAAATTCCTGAAACAATTTTGATGAGTTCGTTCAATAAAAAATACGTAAAGAAAATAAATATATTTGCGGCAAACAAAATTAACAAAGATTTAAAATTTATTCTTGTTATATTCAATTTTTCAAGTGTTTTCATGTTTCCAAATATTCCCTCGTACGTTTAAATAAATGACTCTATCGCATAACCAAAGTCTCTTTTAATATTTTATATGGGATTTAAGATTTTTATTAGCCAGTCCTAATATACGAGAAATAATGGGTCCGACCTTGGAACACTTTATCCAAACTATCATTTTTGACACTTTTTCCCAAAATTCGATATTTTACTTTTTGCTAGTATGTACTTTTTTTTTATGAATTCTGTCGAAGCGAATCTTCGGACAATTGGAGAATTTTAACGTTAACGATAAGAAAGTTATACGAGACCAGAGGTCCGCTATTGGTCACTTTCCTCTTTCTCTCTCTCTCTCTCTCTCTCTCTCTCTCTTTATTTGAGTCTTTCCGCTCTTTGACGAACAGTTTAATCAACGATTCTGCCATCTTCTTTTTTTCCCTCTCAGCACTTCGTACGGAACAATGTAAGAAAAGAAAGGTGCGTTTTCCAACGATGAATCCATCGACGAGGACTGCCTTCTCTCTCTCTCTCTCTCTCTCTCTCTCTCTCTCTCTCTCTCTCTCTCTCTCTCTCTCTCTCTCTCTCTCTCTCTCTCTCTCTCTTACCCGCAAGGACCTCTCGGGAGACGTCGTCGTTTCTTCAATCTCCTTTTATTCTCGAGCAATTCTTCCCAATTATGTACAAAAATATAATGAGAATCGGTAACCGCTACAGAGTTCGTATTCTTATAACATTAGGTACGCGACAATAGATAGACGCATGCAATCGTCCTTCCTGGTCTCATTTAGTCGAGCGGTCCGTCATTCTCGACGGTAGTCAAGGACGATCGATCGCCGATATTATTACATTAAATCCTCTATTTCTTCTTTGAACGATTCTCTTTACACTATCGATCGATTCTGAAGTTTCGTTATAATCATTTTTATACGTATACCGTATTCGTATCTTTTTTCCCATTTTTTTTTTTTATATATATGTACAAAGATATATCGGTCCTTCTCTATAAATCGATACAGAGTCGAGTCTGCCCTTCCGCGTGCATTTTCATTTATCCTTTTAATAGCTAGGATAAGAAAAGAAAAGTCGCGAAGATCTTCCGACGCGAATCGTTTCACGTTTGCGCGAGAAATAAATTCCATTTGTGCCTACACCAATCCATGAGCGTGTGATACTTCTCTTTAAGCTAGTTAATCGATTCGAATTTCCCCGCGCGAATACGCCATCGAAAAGGTAATCTTTGTAATTTCGTTATTTTTTATTTTTCAAACATTCAAAAGATCCTTCGGGTACACGCCTGTCTTCGATACGCGAGAAGCTTCCGCTTCCTTATGTTTTGAAGGAAGAAAAAAAAGCGCTTTCTGCCTTAATTTTCTCAACTTTTGCCTACTTATTCTTGCGTTTGCTTTTCTTCTTTCCTTCCCCCCTCCTCTCTCTCTCTCTCTCTCTCTCTCTCTCTCTCTCTCTCTCTCTCTCTCTCTCTCGCTCGCTCGCTTCTAACATGCGGAATTTACAAACAGCTTGCGGAATGAAATCGCTGACACACATATATAGTTTATAATCCAGGTCGACAGTCAAGTGGTCAAATTCTTTTCCGTTTTCTTTTTCCCACGTATTCGCGTATGCCTGAACGCTTGTGCGACGAAAAGAGGACAAGTGCTTGCACTGCTGCGATCAAATTGTAAAAAAGAAGGTATTAAGTAATCGCTAAACTTTGATCGGTTGAAAACGCCGACGTCGAATTATGGATCAAAATGACCGACCGAAAAGAGTGAACATGAAGAGGAAAAAGAAAAAATGAAAAAGCGATCGAGATACACGTTACATATATGTACCCGTCGAATATTTACACCACATTCAATTTTTCTACATTCATGAATAAAACATTCATTAAAACAGGAAGTGTACAAATGTCGACGATTTCAGTGCAAGTTTATAATTTATAAACGTTTCAATTTTTTCTCTCTCCTCTATTTACCACACGTACGTGTAACATTACGAGATGATGATACAATTGATAAATTCCAATCGATTGCATGTTTATATCGATTTTTCGCTCGTATCTTCGCGATAATCGCATAAAACGCGGAAGGTATGAATTTGGTCGATCCTTATCGGATCCTCGCATACGATTACGTTTGGTGCTTTCATATTCATACGCGTACACATGTATGATAAAACAAACAAAAAAAAAATAATAAAAAAGCAAAAATAAAGGAAAAAAAAAAAAAAAAAAAAAAAAAATAAATAAAAATAATTTTTGACGCTTCACCCAGATATACGGCAAACAATACGAAAAGATTTTTCTGAAATTTGAAGATGAGCACGAGGAGAGGATACGTACGAACGCGTACGAACGACGAAGGAAAAAGAGAAAGAGAGAGAAATTATCATAAACAACGGATAAATAGACAGACCGACAGACCGACCGACCGACAGACAGACAGACAGACAGACAGAGAGGCAGGCAGGCAGCCAGGCAGGCTCGAAAGTACGATGGTTTCTTAAATCCAGCACTCGAATTTGTCCTTTTCCAGCGACCTCATCGAACGATCGAAAATTTCCATTGAAAATGGACTCCTCCCCCTCTCTTCCAACCATTAATACGCGCTATTAGAAACGCTATAGTAACTTAGAATCAGCACCTTATCGCGCGATCCTCGAATGCGCGCGCGCACGCAAAGGGCAAACGTTTAACTCTACGATCAACATCAAAGCCTTTGAACACAATAAGGGCAATAGAGAGACGCGGACAAGACGAGGATGATTCCGATGATGATGAAACGAGAAGTAGAGTTCGGGATAGTGATCGATTTTCCATGTATAATATCTTATGTCTATATCCTACGTGAAAGTGTAGGTGAACGCGCGCGCGCGCGCGCATGTGTGTGTGTGCGCGCGCGCGTGCAACACGTAAACGCGTTGGCGTGCAAGTTTCCAAAGATGATTTCCCTTACCCAACCAACCCTCCCACCCACCCACCTACCCAACCCTTTTACCAGCCATAATAGCTTAAAATCACATATGAAACATCACACGTTTATGTTAGTTGGACGTGCAACGGCAGCTTACAAAAGACGAAAAAAAGAAAAAAAGAAGAAACGCACGCGAAGCAAGGGCGTGACTTCTTTTCTTTCAAATTTTCTTTTTTCTTTTTTTTTTTGTTCCTTTTAGTTTTCTCTTTTTCTTTTTTTTTTTTCTTTTTTTTTTCTTATTTTTTTACAATTGTGCGCGTTTCGCCCTTGTAATCCGCTCGTCCTCTCGGACACGTATCCATGTCCGCTCTACTACGTATCCCTCATTATTTGAGAATCGAGTCTTTCGTCCTTTTGACGAAAAATTAAACGCAACAATTCTACCATCTTCTTAGCGTCACGACACCGAAACAAAGTGTCGCGTAAATAATGGACGTGGTACGTACGTGACGTTACACGAAACGTCGTTTTCTACGGAAAGTCGTATTGCCAATGTTATTATGGAAAATGATGGATCAAGCTGAAGCAAGAAAAGAAAGGTGCGTTCGACGAGCCCATCGACGTGGACTATTTTCTCTCTCTCTCTTTCTCCCTGAAAAAAAATCGTCACTTCCTCATCCGTCTCTCTATCTCTCGTCTATGGCGGACAATGTGCGATCATTTGGCAGCGACTGTCGTCTACGTTGCGTCAACGCGTATTATTTGCTGTTAACGGAATGTAAAATTCGATGAGACGAGCGGATCTTTCGCGTCTCGAAGCAAGTCTTTGAACTTTCTTCGAGATGTGACGGCACGGCCCTAAGCGAGCTTCTTTTCGGTGTTGTTGTTCGCCACGTAGCCGTTGTTGGTGCCATTGCTGTAACAACTGTTGTACTCTTTGTTGTAGATGGTCGCATACGTCGATATACCGTTTTGCTTTGGTTTAGTCGGATAATCGTCGAGGACGGGCATGCACGCACCGTTGTTCGTGCCGTTTGCCATCCTACTCCTCGATTTCTGAACTGTGTATTTTGTTTTATAAAAGTCCGAGAAAAGACCAAAGAAGAGGAAACCATGGAGACTTATCCAGATCATGAAGCTTCGAGGATAGTCGCAATCCGTGAAGAGCAACTGAAACTGGTGCATCATGATCAATACAAACTGCACCTGAAAATTAAAAGAAAAATGAAGAAAAAAAAGAAAAAAAAGAAAAAAAAAAAGAAAAAGAAAAAAAAAAGAAAAGAAAAAATGGAAAAAAAAGGAAAAGAGAAAAAAGAAAAAGAAAGAAAAAAGAAGAAAAAAATGGAGAGAGCGAGATCTTTGAACGATTCTTTTGTTTTACAAAGATGTATCTAATTACTCTTTTAAACATTACTCTATTCTTTTTCCTTAAGGAAATCCTTAATTTGTTGTCTTACCATTTGTAACGTTGTGAGGTACTTTTTCCACCATATGTACTTTTGATATTGCGGGCCCATCGCCGCGACCATGTAATAGAAATACATGATTATGTGGACGAAAGTGTTCAAGAGGGCGAAGAATGTACTATGACCACCCGGTGCGAACTTCATTCCCATCCATACGGAAAAGGGCATCACGCCGTGGTGTATCACGTGAAGGGTGGACACGTGTTGATTCTTTTTTCTCAGGATAAAGAACAGCTGCGAAAAGAGACGAGAATCTTCGTTATCAAACTTAATATCGGTCCCTAATAATCGATCCTTTCCATTCTAAATATTATTTAAATATTATTCCTCATATATATCCTCACCGTATCGAAGAATTCGGTGAATTTGCTGAAGTAATACCACCAACATGTGTTCGCCATCCTGAGCGCTAAAGGACTGGTCGAGTAGTCGACTGGCTGACAACGAAAGCTGTATCCTCTCGCCCAGCCACTCATCAAATACTGAAAAGAGATATATCGTTTGGTTAATATTCTCTTTCTTATTTTCACTCTTTTATGTATGTATGCTCAATTATTTAAAGACTTTGCTCAGGAGAAAAACAAGTTATTCATTTCGGAAGGACGTTTCAATGTTACATGTCGTAATCGATCGCAAAAACGAAAGAATACATAATTGCGTTTTCACGAGTATTCAAAAACGAGCTTTTTATATCGCAAAAGAGTTTGCAATGATAAAGAAAAAAAATAGACGAAAACGTTGGAATCATGGGTTTCAAATTAATCAAGATAATCGCGAAGGCACGCTCGATGAGGAATAAATTTTTTACGCCTTTCTCACCAGAATAAGTTTAGATATATGTATATTGACGATAACTAAAGAGAAAGAGGAGAAACAAATGGGGGAAAAGATCATAGAGAAAAAAGTAAGGACGAAAGAAGCTTGTTTTTCTTTTCGATAAACACTTATTTGATAAGTGTTTATAAATGTTCAAAACATGTGGTCGAACGCATTGGGAATCTTTTAATCGAGACTTTTAATTCTTATCAATCGATGACCTAATAATGCGTTAATCCGCGTAAAACCGCAAGTAGGACTTTCAAAATGTTGAAGTGCTAAATGCTGAATCATTGAAAGAAATAAGATGAGGGGTGCTCGAGGACCGTCAAGTACGGCAACGTTACGACTTTGATATAATACGAAATAGAGGCGACGATGTAAATCATGCGAACGGGCTTCGTTCAAAGTTGGACTCGCTCTAGAAGCAGCCTTCGTTGGCGCAGGAGGTGATAGTGGAAGAATCGTTTACGAGGAAGCTAGCGTGGCTTTTAGGTCACTGTACGAAGCGGTTCAAGTACGTATGTGTCGTACATATAAATACGTATGTCACGTCTACGGTACGTATATACGTACGTGGGTGCTTGAGAGACACGCCTTATATACTACTTCGCTCGACCGAGCTATCAAAGCGATATCAATCCTTTGCGGCCGACCGTCGTTACTCGACGAAGGAATCGTCGGTCACTAGGTACTTTTAATTCCTCCAAAACCGAAAGGTTCTCTCTCTCTCTCTCTCTCTCTCTCTCTCTCTCTTTTATATCCAGCCACCCTCAAAGCTCTCGCGTCCCTAACATCGATCGATCCCGGGGAATAATCAGAGCACATGGCCTGAATAGACGACACGTCGTCGTCGAGCGGCACCTTGTTTTCCTCCTTGTTGTCCTCGTTGATTTAGATCTTAACGCGAAATAAATTCAATACGTCCGAGACGACGTTAAAGAGCATACGCGTATATACAACTCGTAATCATGTTAGAAAGAGAAAAACTTGTATATTTCGAATAGCATCGAGGTAGATATAAACTAACGATCGGTCATCATTTTGGTATTTCCGTCGGTCGATCTCTCTCCGAGGAATCGAATAAATAGGACGATAAGCACGAAAGAAAATAGGAAGAGACGATCCTCCTCACGAACTTGACCGTCTTGACGTAACCCTGAAAGTGTCGATAGGAGAAACGGAAAGACGCCGCGATTCGTGAGTACATAGAGTCGGTGCTCTTCTTCTACTACTACTACTACGACTGGCAGCAATGCTCAATGAGAGCTCCTAAGATTTGCTTCTGTACGGACGCATTGACGAGAGCGCACGATCAAAAGCGTACTTACGTACGCACGTAGGAGGTGCGTGTCAAGACCACGATGCGTGATATCGTCGCTCTTAACGTAATACTTTAAAGAGTGTACTTTGTAAGATAAATCGCTCGGGAAAGTATTATTTCAAGGCTGTTATCGAGAATTTCGATGACGACTCTCTTTCGAGAATTTCATATCGGGGAAGATTATTCTTTTCCCTTATCGATTATCGACGAAAGATTAGTTATTCCTTTGCTAAATGACTTATTAATTACAAGACGAACGAAAAACATTACGAATCGAGATATATCGCGCGATGAAATTTTCATCGTCCGGCTAACATCATAAATCGAAGGATAGAGAGTTTCATTTTAAAAGCAATAAATCTTGAGGGATTTTCTTCTCTCTGGATACTTCGACGAGATTCGACGAGCGACGAACGGCGAACGAACAATGGATGGATTCTAAGAGGAACAACGATATTTGTCGCGCGACCTATTCGATTTCAAATATGTATTTTAAATTTCGAATGTATATTTTAAAGTTAAACAAGATTCTTGGTAGGTGGCAAACGCTCTAAGACAAGATTTTAATATTCCTGTTACACGTTCGATCGGAAATAGCTCCGGAATTTATCTCGAGTCGGCGTTTATTTCGGCATCGAGATAGACGCGCGACAACTTTTATAATACGCTCCTTCCTAACAACTTATACGCGAATCACTTTTTATAGCATATTTATAGCGATTTAATATCTGCAATCGAACGTATTTATACCTCTATCGCGAATCGAACATAAAGATATCGATATGTTTATAAGCTTTTCATAATTTTATTAAACCAAAAGGCGTTAGATAATAGCTTTTATGGTTTGCGATAAGAAAATACTTTTTATACCATTGGCTTTGTCTCGTTGGAAAAACGCCTGCGCTTAAAAATAATTGCCATGATTATAATCGTATCAATGAATTTTACGAGTTTACGTCCAAATAAGTCAACTATTCTATAAACAGCTAATACAGCTTGAACTTTTCCTTATTTTTCTTTGCGAGCAAGTTAAATTTCGAGCCAGACTGTAGTCCAAAGAGTGTAAATAATACCAACACGATGTGGTACTATCAATAACGCTCGCGGGCATTGCTTGAGATCCGATTTATCGACGAAACTTTGTCGAGAGAGAGAGAGAGAGAGAGAGAGAGAGAGAGAGAGAGAGAGAGAGAGAGAGAGAGAGAGAGAGAGAGAGAGGAAAGGAATCCGATACGGATATTTGCGTCGTTTAATCCACATCGTAAACGCCCCGCTGCCCATTTATGGCGTTCATTTGAATTCTATCAAAGTATTGTACAACGCAAGAATAACATCAGTTGAGGCCTGTTAACAACGAAACGAATTTAGAATATAGATTAGAGAAGAGAGATTAGGCCTTTTTCTTCTCTTCCTTTCTTTTTTCCCTTCGTATCAACTTTGAAATTTGATCGCGTTTCGCCGGTTGATCGGTTGGTTGCGCATCTGCTCTGCAATGGACGATAGATAGGCGCGTATCGATATGCGCGACGCAACGAAAATATTAAAAGAGCGCCAAATATAGCGCATTCGATAAATTAAGAGACGCATTCCTTCATCAACTTAATTAATCGCGAGCGAACGACGCAGCACGGTCAAAGTAATTAAGGATCGACCGTGATATCCGTTATCGATGCTTCCTCGGAGTAAAAGCTAATATAAATGCGATATAAGGTGATATACAAACCTCGTAGAAGATCCATGTGGAAAAGAGGGTCTGTACGAGATTGTAAACGATTAGGATACGTCGAAGATTGAACGGTTTTTTGTTTTCCATCAACTTCGGTCCTATTACTTTACTAAAGTATGCGTAAAACAGGCATATGGCCATCGTTGGGAAGGGACTGCTCATCATCACCCAGTCGTTTACCCTAGGATCTGAAAATAATCAACAACAAATGAATTAGAAATTACAATTACGCCTCGTACAGGTGCGATTTTTTCAATTCGTCCCCTCGCGATCTCTCTCTCTCTCTCTCTTCATTTTTTCGACCGTTTGTTTCGATTCACCCTCGTATCCAACGACCAATGCCAGCGATTAGTGTGACACGAATTAACACCCGGAGAACAATGGTTATCGCGATAGTTCGAGCATAGAGAATACGGATGAAGAAAAGCAGAGAAACGCGGATAGTGGAGCCAAAAAAGTCATTATTTCGCGTTTGTTTACGTAATTTACATACGTAATAAAGAAAATTAACGATTAACACGTCTCGGAATGAGAAAGGTCTCGAAATGGGAAAGGTCTCGGACGAGATAAGAAAGTTCTGTTCGAAAGAAACAAAAGCTTACTTTACACCGATTATGCTAATCTTTGTCGCAAAGCGTTTAAAATTTAAAGGAAGTAGTTTACGGTATTAAAATAATTTAAATAACATGAATATTATTATCGATAATAATAATAGTTACGTCAGTTAACGCTAAAAGTCTAAATTCACGTTTGCGTAATCGTAATAATAATTAATTGCAAAGTCATACGTACTTGTTTATCCAAAAATACGATATATATCGTATTCCATTCGATTATTCGCGCAATCATTTCATCCTTGTTCGAGGGAACAAGAGGGGGAATATATCTATGTTATAGTGGAATAAAATTTGTTGCGTGCTTTTTACCCGGCTAAACGGTAACCCCTAAGAGAGAAAGAGCGCATCGTCGGTCTTTCCAGTAAATTAAGTTTGCGCTCTTCGTGTGACCTCGTCGCCACCTCGGTTGCGCACGCGATGGACACAAGTTCATAACACACCTATGTATATAAACGCGCCTATTTTTTGACCCTCCTCTCGCTCTTACCACCAACAACCCTCGGAAGTCCTCGGAAGGTCCTGCAAAGGAAGCACACGACTGGCCGTAGTAGGACGAATCAACAGGGATGCGCTTCATCTTTCCGAGTTTCGTGGCAGATACCGAGCGGATTATCGATTAAATGGGGGACCGAGAGAGGGAGAAGACTAGCATCGAGCAAGTACTTTGCACCGGTGGTAGAGTCTCTCGTCGGTGCGGATCGTGGAAGCGCAGCCAAGTGTCGGGAGATTGCACAAAGAGCGAGAGCGAGAGCAAGAGCGAGGGAGAAATCGTCGAGCTAAGCCTCCCTGGATGATCGTCGTTCGCTTTAGCGCCCCCGCTTCCGGGATGTACCTAGAGTTTTCCAAGTGGCTAAAAGCGCGAATCCCCGATCGAAGCCCTCCTCCAAACTTTTTATTGCCATCTCTCCTCTCTCTCTCTCTCTCCTCCCAAGCTTTCCCCTGAGAGCGCACCGACCCCGACTTCAAAACGGCCGCGTGCTCTACTTTCGTCCCGTTATGACCATAATTTTTTTCTCCTCTTTCTCTCTCCCTCCTTTTATTTTCGCCAAAGGCCGGCCGTTAGTTTCTTCTCGAGGCGCATTCTTCTCGACCACCGGACTACCGGCTTTTCGTCGTTCATTCTTACGCTTTCTCCGAAAAGTATTTTACGAGGGCGATAATATAGAAAGAAAATGAAACGTATAGAATATACATATAACCGGTACGAGCCCTTTTTCTTTTACATACACACACACCCCTCGTCCCCTCTCTCCTCGTTTTTTTTCTTGCCTTCTTTCTCTCTAATTAAGGGATAGCATCGATCAAGAGAAGGCGCCTCTTTTAGCGCCTCTCCTCTACTCGCGCGAACGAGTACGAGCGCCTAACGAAAGGAAGGAGAGCGCACTAAAAGTATGCAAAGTGTGCTTCTGCATGTTCAGCCTTTGAATGCATTATTTCCGATTTGAAAATATTCGTCGAAAGATGAAAATTTTATTTACATAAGTTTGCGTGGGGCGACGGGCGAAGAAAAAGAGAAAAATGCATTTTTGCATTGACCAGAAGCTACCTTGGCACATTATTTTTGCGGTCTATTTTTACGCTACCAAAAGGTTTTTAAAAGACGGAAAAGGAAGACGAATTTCGTCGATTCATCGAAAGGAAACGTGTTTCGTGTACGAGAGCCAGCAATGCACTCGTATATAAAAATAATTTGCACAAGGTCGTTGACCTTTGTAATTTCATTTCCTATCTATTTTAACAGTCCGATAAGAATAAATTATTAAACCTCTGTCCGATCGCATAAAATACTTTTGTTATTGTAACAAAAAGGCAGATATTAAATCGCATTAACATTGTATTTAAATCGTACAGATTCAAATCATCGATCGATCGCGCACTTCCTTTTTACTCGATGATATGAAATAAACGTTCAAAAAAGATTCGTTGAGCCAACCAAACGAAATAATTGAAACGTCCATTTCTCATCAGAGTTTTTCATCAATCGTAAGAAAATTCAACGTACGCGTAACAATTCAATGGCATACGACGCGTGCTCGTTCATTAAATCAAAACTATCTTTCACCGTCGCGTTTACAACGCGGTATCAAAGAAATACCGTGAAATATTATTTCGACTCGCCGTTTCGAACGTATCAATATGCATTAGCGAATGTTAAAACGATCTACGATTTTGAAAGAGACAGTTTCTTTTTTACTGTTATTACGAAGCTATAATAGTACAAAAAACCGGCCGAACCAGATTCGTTCGATCGATCAAGGAACATATAAGATTAGGCGATATGTTTCAAAATATCGATTTTGTTCGACCGACAAATTGACTTTTAGGTGTTTTTAGGTTGAACGGTCGTCGGCCACAGCTGCGAGAGTTTGGAGTCGTTTGGATCCGTACGCGCATACCTGCTTTTTCTATCTATCGTATGTGCACGGAATTCTAAACTTTGTCACCAATCTTTTCTTCTGTAATTCATAGACTCGATTTTTCCATTAATGATGATTCTTATAAAAAATACTGGGTACGACATAAACAGACGAATTATTTTAACATTCCGATTAGAAAAATTGTACCAGTCGTTTCACGATGCCGTCATCGAGCATATTAAACTTCTTGCGAAGGAGAAAAGAAAAATTGACAGGAAAAATGAGAAAAGGCTCAGGTTTGATTGTCTCTGAAGACGTATGACTGTTGAGGAGCAACCAGACTGCTTTACGATGTCGTATCGACGATTATTTTTTACTATTACTCGGACAAAGCGATAGATTTAATAGTTAGATCTTTCGTATTGCAAAGCTCGTGTGCCATGGCTATAAAAGCATGAATTGTGCAGCGAAAGTTAATTACTTATTTCACAATATTGATTCTTTTGTTGTAAAATTTTCGCACGTAGGAGGATCTCATTTTTTAATATTTTTCAGTAATTTTTATTAAGAGAGATCGTTTAAAATATAAACTAGTATGTGGGCAAGAGATAAAAAATATTCGTTTGATAGATTAGTTTCAAGTGTATAGATCTTCAAAAATAAGCTGATTTTTCGAGCGCTCTGATCCTTTAAACCTGTGCGCGATAATCCGTGTCGCGGCTGTTACATAAACAAAAAAATGTTACAATATATAGCATAACGGGCGAAAACACTTTCCTTCTCCTTTTACATATACGATTTGTGACCCGTAATGGCTTCGCATATGCGTATTCGTTTATACAGAAGCCACGAAACGACGATTATTGCAACAATGCTGACCGTAGCGCGCCTCATCGAACTCGTTCGACATTGCGAACTCTTTTGGTTCGCGTGCCACTTTCTCGTACCTGCTTATAGATATCATATACAACGATTAACGCAAACTCTAGTTTCATCGACGGGAGAACAAAGTTTGCTCTTCGACGACGACGAAAGTCGCAGAAAAGAGAGCGGACAGAGGATTATCTCGAAACGATCCACAGCCTCCTCCTTCTCTTCCGACGGCATTTCCAATCGCATTAGCTACGCGCATTAATTCCTTCTGCCGGTTTATTGCCTAGCGACGCCTAGCCTCTACGGAGAGAGCACGGATCTTACGGCGCGCAAGGAAAAAAAGAGAAAAACAATAAATGGAACGCGATGGAAGAGCGTGATCAGAGGGAAAGATGGGTAGGTGTTGGGAGGCGAGGGGAGGGAAGGAGGGGAACGAAAAGGAAAAGAAAAAATACAACTTGGTTTACAACTCACCGGACTTATTGTCCATGAGATCCCTGTAGCCATGAATCAAATCAGCCACGATATTCGTCATCTTGATTCAGATCTGAAATAATAATAAGGATCGATTAAACGAATACGAATCGAAGTACTTACAATTCTGTCCTTTAATTACGCAATCCGAGTCGAAAAAGGCGCGTTAAAACTAAAGTTCCGATCGTGGAAAGACATTTGCCAACGATTACGCCTCTCTACGATTAGAGAGATTTACGATAATTGCGTAGAAGTATACTCGGACAACTCCAATAATTCTTTTCTTTTTGCCTTATCATCTGATAGCGCACGCGAAATGAAACAAAGAGGAAATTGAAAGGCACGGATCGAAGGACACGATTGAACTTTCGGATAAAGAGGGATAAGGTGAATATAAAAACTGGTACTACTAATACTTAAGCCTTTACGGCATAACACATTACCATCTTGTTGCCTGCATCCCGATTAAACGGAACGATCAGAAAGTGATCGCATGCAGAAACGGGGAATTCGTGTGGAAGGGAAAAGATAAGAACGCGACGATAGTAAAACCTACTCGTCTTCATTTTTTCTTCCGATCGATGAGAAGAAATTTTACGAAACGAGGAAAGAATAAAACAACGTGGGCAGAGTAAACAAGATGGTTCGAAAGGAGGAAACACGAAAATATGCGCTCTTCTCGGCGAATCTCGTATTCCATCGGATTTTCGCACATCGGAGGTGTACTTTGTAACGTACCGCGTTATCTCGATAATGCTCGAGACATTTCGGATCTATCTCGAATTTATCGTCGGGAACCGCGTTAAAGAGAGAGAGAGAGAGAGAGAGAGAGAGAAATGTTTACATCGATAAATCGAACAATTGCATCGGGCAAGAGGCATATCGATGACGCGGCCAAAACCAATACGCTCTCTCTCTCTCTCTCTCTCTCTCTCTCTTTATGGCGTTTGCAACCGGTTGTTTCTTTTTTCCTTCGTTCAATAAGATTTCGCTGCTTACGTAAGATAGTAGCGTGCGCGCGCGAGAGAGAAACAGAAAGAAGTATAAAGTAAAAAGTAAAAAGTAAAAAGTAAAAAGTGTGTCCATTCTCTTTCTTTCTTTCTTTCCTTTTAGACACGGAACAGGATTTACATTTCGTAATGGTTCGGCTACATCCGCCGGTGATTTCGTCCGCGTTTCCCTCGAAGCTCGCGGGCCTCGGTAAAACGTGACCGCCGACGCGAGGAAACCACTTTCTAAAGTAAACCGTCCGACAGGGGACGGACGGACGGACGGACGGACGGACGAATGAACGAACAAAATACGTTCCTTCGTCCGTATTACGAGGTGCGAGCGTGCCCAGAAAATAATCCTTTGTCTTTGCGCGCGTTTCCTCGGCCTAAGTTACGAATCGCTGATGAATATGCGACAATAGGGAACAGAAAAGACACTCGAGAAAAGCTCGTAGCTTTGATAAAAAGCTTAGACGATTATCGAGCGAACGATTTTTCTTAAACATTCGACGGCGTTTTCGCGCGGACAGGTCAACTTCCTACAGTTGCGCCCTATAGTTTCAATTATAATTCACAGAATGACGCGTCGCTAAAAGTGCGCTCGATGTTCATTCCATATCGATCCAACTTTTTTTTCTCCTTTTCCACCCCCTTACGAGTCAAGGAGCGGTCAAGGTGCGTGTTTCCCTTTCGTGACGTATCTGGCGCCTAAGCGACGCGGAGTCTGCGGCAAACGGGGAAGAAATGTCGAGGGAGAGAGGCGAGTAACGCGCGAGTAGGATCGGTTCGCGCTATCGCAATCGTAAACTATATATATATATATATATATAGACATATAATATAATACTATTGGAAACGTTCGATTCGATCGAATATATATACATGTTCGGCACGCAATATAATTAAGATGGCGAAATATGTAAATATTTTCGATTCATTTCCTCGAATGACGGACTCTAGAAAAATTATCTCTCTCTTTCTCTCTCTCTCTCTCTCTCGTTCGTTCGTTCGTTCGTTCGGCCGACTCAAACTTTCTCTCCATGTATTAGATAATAATACAAGTTATGTCCGAAGTGATGTATCTCGAGGAGCAAAGTACATATACGCGCGAAGTTCAAATGAGAAATTCCATCGCCGAAAAAATGACTCTCGTGTGGTAGAAGATATCTTGTGCGTAGAAGATATCTTTTATATACGAAATTTTCGCATTCGAAAATATTCTATATAAAGGAATCTAGATTATAGAAAGGGAAGAAGGCGGAAATGGTTTAAGATAGACCGTTAGGTTAACTCTTGTATTCGAAACCGTTAGGTAAACGATATCGCATCGAAATGCAAATTTCGTAATGTATTAAAAATGGAAAAGAAGTTTGTCCTGCTGACCGAGACTCGAACGTGGATGGCCAACACACGGCCGTACGGCGGCCAACGACAACGAAAGAATAGAACACATCGTAGGGCGCGCTCGTTACCCGTTAGTCGGCGGTCGATGCGATGGGACACGTCCACGAGGAATTGCTCTCGAATTTCTATCTATGTTTTCAGGATAGTACGTGCGCAAATAACACTCGTCTCTTGTCATCTCTCCCCGTGCAGAATTCTCTTCCAAGAGGAGAAACGGAGAGAGAAAGAGAGAGAGAGAGAGAGAGAGAAAAAAAAGCGTCGAAGCAGGTAATGTGAACTCTAATCGCGTTCTCGGCGCGTCGAGTGTACATCGAGAATCGATCGCACGTCCTAACCTTAAAAGGCGCGCGCTACCAGGCACGCCTCGCGAGCGCAAACGAATGATCGTAAGGTAAATGGAAAGACGACGGTAGGACACTAACCTGTTTTTTTCTTTTTTTCTCTTCTCGTCCGTTTTCTCTGTCCGTTCTTTGCCTCGCGTTTTCTTCTTCTCGGCTCGCTTCCAGAGGAATCTCCGATTTTCGTAGCGACACGGCACCTTACCTCTCTCGCGGCTTCCTTCCTGTCACCTGATCGAACACATAAAGTCCACCGAGTCTTTCGCCAGAAAAATTCTACGATCGATTGAATCGAGTCACTTATTTCTCTCGATCTATCCCTCTCCGGCTTTTTTCTCTGACGTCTCGAGCGCCTATCTGCTTTTCCTCTCTCTCCTTCCCTCTCTCTCTCTCTCTCTCTCTCTCTCTCTCTATCTGTCTGCCTATCTATTTCCTTCTCCTTTCTTCTCGGCCTTTTTATATCGCGTACATCCACACCTTAGAACGATTATCATAAAACTGAGGAAACGAACGACAGCTCCGAAACGTTTACTAAAGCTCTTTTCTACCTCCACCTTCCTTTGGATCTTCTTTCGCTTGCTTCGTTCTCCTTCTCCTTCTCTTTATTCTTTAGCTTGGTGCAGCGCCCGAAGAGGGGGGAACGGGAGGGCGAAAATTGAGTAAGAGGGAGAGAGATGATGTTGCGCGCGCGCTTTCGCATAAGCAGAGAGAGAGAGAGAGAGTGAGAGAGAGAGAAAGAGCGAGGAAGAAAACGCGAGTTCCTCGGTAGCTCGCTCGCTCGCTCGTTCGTTCGTTCGTTCGTTCGACGTTTCTAACCAACGCAAAACCGAATTTACGTGTCCCCAAAGGAAGCGAACACTTTTCAATAACTCGCGCGACCTACCGCTCTCCTTCTACTCCTCCCCGCTCGTCACGACCCTTCTCGCGACACGCGACAAACGAGCAAATGTATATCCAACGACACGCGTTACTATGACTGACCAAACTCAACCGGACCGATCTTTGCGCCCTCTACCCATTTCACCCAGTCACCTCTCTCTCTCTCTCTCTCTCTCTCTCTCTCTCTCTCGCTCTCTGGCTCTTCCATTCCCTTTTACGATCGAGATTAAACGGAAGGAGAGATGGAAGCATTAGGGTCAATGAGAACGCAAGCGCCATCTTGCGGTATATATCTTTCGTTCTTATCCCCTCGAATCATTTCTTTTCAATGTTTTCTTTATCTACGCTCTTGGACTTTATTCGTTGGGTAACGTTCCGATGGATTTATTTTTAATTCATTGAGAAGAACCCTCAATCGACGCATGATTTACATTCTTAATCAATTGAGAGATAATCGTATTCGGGGTTGGAAGTTAACGCCATCTTTTAGTCGTAGATCCTTTGCGAAGAAAAAAAGATAAGCCGTGATTTTGTCGTCTGTTACGCTTCGAGAGAAAGAGAACGAAGGAGATTTTAAAGTCGAGTGAACGTCGAGCGAACGTCCGAAGCATCGCAACTCGATGCCATCTCGCGCAATTGTATTCGATGAATTATGCAAGTTGAAGATTATTTTTCTTCGTTTTGCGGATTTCTTTTTCGACAAAGCGAATTCGTACGTCCTAATAACGTTTTAACCCACGTGACTCCTACCTTTGCGATCATACCACACCTTCCTTTCTTCGTTCGAAATTTGCCCGCGTTACGAATTTAGGTTATCCTTCGAGATTACGTATACCTTTAAATTTTCTTGGTTCTGCGCGTTCTCGACGGTATATACCGTCGTCGGTCACGAGGCTTATTCGAAAAATTTCTTTACGTAGAACGTATAATAATGTAGTAATTTTATATGATATTATCACTTAACACTTTTATTATTATTTACTATTCATACAATCAAATTAATAACATGCGTTTCTCGATAAATACAATTCCTTCGACGTTTGATCGAACGAAGGAGGGTAAAGTAAAGTTCAACGAACAAATGAAAATCAATTTATCTTAAAATTAAATCCATTTTGATGACTGCATAATTACGTACATTATTATAATCGCATTTTTATGTTAACTTATGACGCACTTTGATCAGATATGCGCATGCACGAGATGCCAAAGTTCTTTTCGTGTTCACGTGAACTTTATACTCTTGAACGTAAGAAGTAATCCAAGGATCTTTTTTCTTTTGAAGAAAACTTCTCACTGAGGTGTCCGTTATAATCGTAACCATAATAAATCTTATTTTCAATAATAAATTTTCGTCTCTGCAGATATTTACACAAATTATTATATAAATTAAATTCCTCCGAGTAATTACGTTAATGGTAAGATCGCATACCTGCTCGTCGTATCGATAACACTTAAACTGTAAATATAACGAAACGCAAAACTTTGCGTATTTTCATTTATACGTAATTTCGTGAATTGTATAAAATATTAGTGCGCCAAGTACGACATTATCGAGTCGATAGTTTCGAATTTTAAAAGTCTTTCGGACATTTTCGTTCTACGCGCGAATGCCAAGCCTATATCTACGTATTTATATACGACGTGTTAATTCTTACGATAATAAGAATGTTAAATTTTATATCCGTACGACGAATTATCTTTTCATCAAGAATATTTTCCAACTTGAATTTTTTCTAAAATAAGGAGAAAAAAATAGAAAGAGAAAAAAAGAACGTCTTGGAAGAGACAGGAGCCTCTAAAAGCTAATGAATATGATTTTCTTGCGAAAGCCTATCGACGTTCCTACCTTTCGAGTGCCATTGAAACGTCCATATTTGATCGCGTATAGTCTTCGTTGTATCCTGTTTGACACGTTCTTAAGATATTTTACGTCAATTCATTGTTCAAAGGTCTAACGTGGCAATTATTTTGTATACTTTTGCTGATTATATTCATCGACGACGTAATGCCGATTATCGACATTACTCTTTAACTACGAACTCAAGGTTTCTCCTCTCTCTCTCTCTCTCTCTCTCTCTCTCTCTCTCTCTCTTCCCCTCCTCCTCTCTCAATAACCCTGTACGAAGATCACGCTGTGTATTTGAGCGCGAGAAAGAGCGTTTTTCGTCGAGACAGGTAAAGTGCAAAAAATACGGAAAGAATTATGAAATAAGACCCGGTCGGTCCTTCGGACATAAGAGAGAAAAAACAAAAGTACTAATAGACAGACACACTCGAGAGTCGACCGTCTCTTAGAGATTTCGTAGTCGTACTTGAGAATTCGAAGAATCTCTCGATTAAATTACATCGACTTTCTGTCTTCGAGACTCTCATAAAAGGAGAATCCATTTAGCTGGATGTCGCGTATACTCTAACGAGTCCTATAGTGATTGCATAATTAGCTAGAATCTTCTTCGTAAAGATCGCGCGTTTAGATCAAATGGACTTTTATCGTCACCTTCCGCGAACGGCGCTCTTTTGTAAACGCCTTCTTGGAGTACGAGACGAGTTCGAAAAATGGCATCTCAGCCGTAATAGCCGAACGTACCCTATTTACCAATACCTTACCGTGGTGCGTTCGTGTTGACGTGCACGTTCACGTAGGATAGATACGCGCGACCTTCTTTCCGTCGCGTGCCTCGTGCCACTTTCACCATGGCTACTTTCACCATTGAAAATTAACACCGGACGCTTCTCGGAAACGCGAAGCGCCTATCCGAACCAATAGATTTTCGTTCGCCACGACTATTATTACCTATCTCCGTCCTATTTTCCTTTTCTTTTTTCATATCTCGACGATTCCCTTTTAAACGACAATCGCCGAGAGTAACGCTACAATAACAATAGACAAAAGTATGCACGATAATACAATATTTATACATTTTTTAGCGATCGTCCCTTATTCGTAGTAGCTAAATGTTTCCTACTCCCCCCCCCCCTCCTCCTCCGCCGGTTCCGTTGTTTCCTCAAACTGATATCAGAGTGCGCTATAACGTAAGCAAACTTTCCTCGTATCTCGTCGACAAGTAAGAATACTGCAATCGCTTTGCCTCGTGTCGCCTCGCCTTGCCCAGCTACATATATTTCCTTGATATATCCAAAGCGGATCGATAAAACGGAGAAAAATCTTTTTCTTATCGACAAGACTGTCGCGAAAAGGACAAAGATTATTTTCAATCGGTAATTTAAGCTTTCAATAGTTGTTAAATAAATATGTTCAATAATTATTTCGTTGATCGTATCTGAACATGTACAAATATACCTACCATTATATATAAAATTAGAACGAGTTCTAATCGCTAAGGAGAGGCTTAACAAGAATCGTTTTATTTCGAGGTAAATATCACGTCAATCAATGCTGTCTAGGTTGCATGGATTCACGATTGCAATGAAAAAAAAAAAAAAACAAATATTTCTCGACATTCATTTTATTTTATCCCCTTTATTCTTTTTATTTATCTTTACTTCTTCTTTTTCTTCTTCTTTCCTCTATCGTAACACGTGCCGATTGCCGTGCGTCACCTCATTGCGTCGCATCAGATCCAATATAATGAAAAATGAAAAAGTATGGATTAGCACGAGGCAATGATTATCACAGATGAACAACGTATCGAGCTGAACATCGTTTTGGTTCGAAAAAAGAAAAAAGAAAAAACTCTTTCGAGCTTTTCAATTTCCCCCAATGTTTCGAGAATGTTCGGGGGAGGAAATATAGTCTTTTATGAAAATGCGCTGTTCCCGTCGACCCTTCGTGAGGAACGGAGCTCTCTCTCCCTCTCTCTCTCTCTCTCTCTCTCTCTCTCTCTTATCCGTGGGATGCACGCACACACGCACGCACCGCAATGAAGAAAGTCTATTATTTGCGCTACCGTTTCGAAGAGGATTCCGCGTCGATGCGAGTCTCGATTATAATAGCCGATCAGCGTCCTTATCGCATTTGTTCTTATCGCGTTCTCATTCGTCGGACAATCCTCGGTTGTCGATAAAAACGCGATTTCTTAGGCCCTCGTCCGAAATGTACCCGGTCGCCATTTTGTATTGATTCGCATAAATAAGATCGTTCTTCTTAAGACGATTTTGCACGGACTCGCGTTCGTACTTTTCTTCTTTCTTCCTTCTCGCTTCTTCTTCTTCCTTATTCCCACTTTCCTTTTGCTCTTTCCTTATTACGTTTTTCTTCTTCTTGTAAGCCCCGACGTAAAAGTCACGGAACAAGAAGTAAAACATGATCGCGTGCATGCCGATCCACCATACGAAAGCTTTCGGGTAATTGCAATCGACGAAGAGCAATTGGAAGGCGTGAATTATGACGAAAACAAATTGAATCATTTGCAGGCTCGTCAAATATTTCTTCCACCATAGATACGGTTGGATCTTTGGTCCGAGAGCAGCGAGGAGATAATAAGAGTACATAATAATGTGTACGAACGTGTTTAAGAGGCCGAAGAAGGAACTGTGACCACCTGAAAGAAAGGAAGAAGAAAAGAAAAAAGAGAAAAAAAGAAATTATGCATTTGTAGTTGCAACGCCCGTTTAATTCATACCTGGTGTGAACTTGACGCCGAACCAGACCGACATTGGCATGCATCCATGGTGAATCACGTGCAACGTTGAAATGTGGTTATTTTTCTTTCGCAGAACAAAGAAGATCGTGTCCATGAACTCGGTGAACTTGGAAAAGTAGTACCACCAACAGCCACGAGCCATTCTCATTGCCATTGGATTGTCCGAGTAATCTACCGGTTGGCATCTGAACGAGTAGACTCCCCACCAACCGGACGCCAAACACTAGAGAAACGATACCTTTATAAATTCCGATTCGATACGTCAGAATATTTTTCCACGGCATACCTCGTAAAACAACCAAGAGGAAAAGATCACTTGGAAGAGATTATAAAGTATCATGAAGTTTCTAAGGTCGAAAGGCTTGCGATTTTCCATAAATCTTGGCCCGAGTACCTTGACGAAGTAAGCGTAAAATAAACAAACGAAGAGCGTAGGAAAGGGATCGCTCATCATGGCCCAATCGTTGACCCTTGGGTCGCTCTTATTGTCCATTAAGTCCCGGTAACCATCGTAGATCGTTCGTATTATCTGTGCCATCTGAAAAATCAAAAACTATCGTTAAGGACGTTCGTCTTAAACCAGCTCACTCGAGTTCTCTCCTAACGAATGAATTTTCGTGACGCAAACCGAATATAGAAATCTCATGGGTTTAGTTGACTCCTCCAATCTATGATACGAACGGAAGGTCGTACCGTATAGTTCGCGTTCCGCACCTTTCACCGCGCGATCGGATTCGACTCCCGAGGATTTAGATTTTCTAGAAAGAACGAGCGACTATAGAGCGTCAACTATACGAGCTCCGTGATAGAAGGAAAATAATGTCGCGAAGGGATGGCGTAAGGGTTAAGATCAGGATTCTTACGAACGAATTCCTTTCGTTGGAAGTGAAAAGATCGATCTTATTCTTTCTAATTCTCTTAATTTGATTCGGAAAAAATAATATATATATTAATCATGAAAAGAGAGGAAGTTTAAAGTATTATATCCCTAAAGATATCCGCCTAATAGTACGACGTACACGACGTACAGGACCATCGGCAAAAAGCCGATTTAACGGCCGAAAGAAGACTCCTAGGTCTTGATCGGTTTATATGAGTTTCGGTTTGACCGCAAATTTCCCTTCTTTCACACATTATTTTCATTCTTTCGATCGAGTTGCCATTTCTCCTATACTCGTCTAATCAGATAGATATAGTTTCGTGAGACATCCTAAGGAAATGTCGCGCGTACAAACGTGCGGGGAATTCAAGAACGCGGACGAATATAAGAATCCCAATAATTCTTCAAGATCTCGACCGGTCCTGCCAAACGAGTTTTCCCCCTTGGCACGTCTCTATCTTTTCGGCTACAATCGCTTCTCGGATGACCTTCGCGAGTCCTTCCTCTCTTAGAGAGCCAAAGGGCGGCTCTCAAAAATACGAACAAAAGTAAATACGTGCTTGCTCTTCGAAGAGAGAGAGAGAGAGAGAGAGAGAGAGAGAGAGAGAGAGAGAGAGAGCACAACCGGCTCTTTGTCGTTTCTTTCCCAATAGCATCGATAACGACCTTTCTTTCTATTTAAACGTCTATTTGCTGTCTAGTCAGGCGTCTCGCTCGTATACGCCACATTTCCATCAACGAGACAATAAAGTACCGATCGCACGTAAAACACATAGCCGAGTTCTATCCACCGACTCGGTACAACTATATCTGTCTGCAACTTAATCCCGTACATAAAATACGCTCTCCTTTTCTGCGCCTTTTCTTTCTCCGCCTTCAAGGAGTGATGATTCTTTCAACGCAAACAAAATGTTCGATAATCCAGGTATTTCTCAGACATCGCTCGTTAACGCAATGAATTCAATGATTTTATCACGAATTAGCGATTTTACACGCTTCGTCGCTTATGTCATCGCAGATAAGTATTCACGAAAGTTTCTTTGCGCACATGCGCAAGAGCGAGATAGAAATTTTCCTTATCACCACGACTAAGAGTAAAACGTAGATATCGTTGAAAACGAAATTCCATGAGGTCGAAGATTTACATTTGGTAGAAGGATCGAAAATAAAAAAGAAAACATTTAACGAAGAGCACGCACAGATACCTAGCGTAGTAAACGCGAGATCGGTTAATATATTTATAGAAGGAGACAGAGAGAGAGAGAGAGAGAGAGAGGGAGAGAGAGAGAGAGAGGGACAAGCGCGTTCCAACGCCGAATATATATATATATATATATATATATTATTCGTTAGGCAAACACCTACGCTCAGAAGCGTTGCAAAATTCGTATGTCCTCGTACTACCAATCGAAAGAGATCCTTCCGAGTTTAGTCGAAAATACACAATAACTTGCACGATACGAAGAAAATATCGAATCGCGAGATAAAGAGGAACGTGCGATCGGAGCGAAACTTCGAGTATGACTAAACATCTACATTTTATCTCCTACCGCACTCAGCACGTGCACTTACTTTTCCGTTCCCCTTCGAACGTCATCTTATATTATCCTTCTAATCTCGTTATTTCATTTTTCAAGCTTCAAAACTTACATTACGGTCAAATTAATCGAGAACGTTATTGTTCGAGCAGACCGATAGCCCCTATCTATTTGAAAGTATCTTGATGCTCGATCAAGGATACCTCGAGGTATACCGCAAGTATGCGTATCGAGGTATGCGTTTATCTAACAGGATGAGAAGAATTAAGCATTCGACACGTCGCACGTTCGTCATTATAATTATAATTATATAGCGAAAATATCATTACTCGACGAACGTCCCGCAACATTGTTCTTTTAAGCTCGATTCGCTTTTTCCTGGAACAGAAAAAAAGAAAAGAAAAAATGAAGAAAGTACAAATTCTTCGACGCGCTAGATCGTCGCACGCTCTCCGCTTAAACTCCCTTCATTTCTATTTACTTTCCTCGTAAACTCGTTTAACGAAGTGGACGAAGCTATTGCCAAACTCTTTTATTGACCTTCAACGTCCAAGTTTAATCCTCGCTATTGCTATACGATAAAAGAGATCTCGGTACATTCGCCCTATATTTTCCCGATCGATATTATAACGATCCTGGATTCTGTGACGTATAAGGAGAACGTTCGAATAGGAAGAAATAAGGAAAGAAGATAAAAGAATGCTCACGTTTTTGAGTAACGTGTTAATCTTGAAATTCGTTGGCCCGTTATGCTTGACGCGCAAATCAGTTCTGATAATTCAAGATATTTTTGTGACTACACCTTAAGACCAACTTTGCCGACGATCGATTATCGAGGATTTTGATCGAGGAATAAAAAAAACGAAAGAAATACGAAGGAGTTCGTACGAAGTAAACGAAATAAAATGAAGAAAGGAGAAATAAGAAGAGGTTAAAGGCCACGTAAGGACCGCGTGTTGCACCCGATTTGGCAACTTTCTATCCGTGCGAGCACGTTTGAGCAAACTGAAGTCTCGTAGCTTCGAGCAATGCCTTATATCTCTTTAGAGGCTGTAGAAATACACCTGTTTATTTGCACGCTCGACCTGCTGCTCCACCACCTTTGCCACCATTGCCACTTTCCTCTTCCTCTTCTTCGTCCGTCTCTTTCGCTCGTATCTTTTTGCATGTTTTACGATTACGGTAATACGCGGAGCGCGATAGCCTTGGTATTGGCGGACCATTAACCGCTTACTTTTTTCTTTTTTCTTTCTTTCTTTTTGGCCACCGGTCTCTTTGCCCGCGAGCGACGCGGTCGAGAAACACATCCGAAGAAGGCAGAACCCGTTTCGGCGGATACTACTCCAGACCCTTCCAGGGCTCGCTCGGAGATTTTAGATCGTTGAATTTTAATATCAAAACGATCAATATAGAAGATCATCGCGAAGCAAAGGCAAAAGAAGGTTACTTCGACGAACAACGACGACGACGACGAGAGACGTCACTTTTTTTTCAATGACGTGGGGGGGAGGGGGGAAGGGGGTGATGGAGATAAAGGGAGAGAAAAAAAATCGTAGCACTGTTTTACGAATATAACATGGTTTGCCATGGATCGCCAATTAAATTTGAAATATACGATAATTCATAACTCTTGTCTTTCGATTGAAATTCAATTTTTAACTACTGATCGATCGTGTTATTGTCAAAGAAAACAGAAAGAAAATTTGAATAATATTTGATATTCATGATTATTCATGAATATTGCATGATATTCATTATTACGTCAATACAATTTGAAATTGTAAATTTTATATTATCATTATTTTGACTCCTCCACAATGTACATTTTCTCGTTTTAACGAATCAGTATGTCTTGCATATATAACGTAATTATCTATTATTATCTAACGAATATATTGTTAATCAAGCGCGCGACATATCCGAGGGATTATTTTTCCATCCTGCGACCGGTTTCCGGCTCTCAAGTAAGAAAGTGATAATAGTGATAGTTATTTGTAAGAAAGGACTCGCGATGTCCTTCTATCCCATTTGCTTTCGAATGAAATTTCGATAGGGGCGAAACTTTTAATTAAACTTTACGTTACGTACGTACAATAGATATGGCTCGCGAGGCTATAGGGAAATTATATTGTACTTTGAGAAATTCAAATTTCAACGATTCCCTTCATTTTTCCCTATATCCTATCTCGCTAAAATCAAGATTGTTCGGAAATAGCGTACGTCCTTTTAATTTCAATTTCACCGATTCGACGTTTCATGAAAGGATCATGAAAGAAAAGTAACTTTACAAGATAATTATTCCGTTTGCGTTCCATCGTAGGCGCGATCGTTCATTCACAAGCGCGCCATTGGAACGACTTCCATCCATTCTACTAACCTTTCGTACTCGATCCATTGAATTTACGACATGCCGTGCTGATGGCCATCGAGCCGATTCTAATTACGAAACAGAGGGAATTCGTTTTTTATCAAAAAAAACTTTGTCGTCTATCGTATATTTCTTCAAAATTATATATATATATATGTATGTATGTATGTATGTATGTATGTATGTATGTATGCATGTACGTATGTATACATGTGTCCTGCGTTATGCGCGATATGACCATTTTAACTCGAGAGGCGAGACGACTAATGTGCTTTTACTTTACTTACATCGAAACATAATCCTTGCGCGTCGATCCCAATTACGTTCGTAACGTTGTTACAAGCGTAGTAGTTGATACGGTAGGCAGGACATAAAGAGAAAGAACGATCCAAGAATCCGGATATTACAAGAGAGTCTCGCCAACTTGTTTACATAACTACAGTGCAAGATGGAATTATGCTCGATCGTATCTAGGAGAGAACACCTATGAGCAGAACGGACTTCTCTCTCCTCCTCCCTCCCTCTTCAGGATGAGTAAGGGAAATCGATGCGACTTTTATCACATCGCGTACGTTGAATAAAGATGTAAAGCAAATTCCAATAAAATATCGATCGTTATTTTTTATTTTCTTTAATCTATTATGAGACATATCTGTGCCGCATTTACTCGACCTTCGCTTCGTGAATTATATCGATTTACTCTTTAATTAATGTCATTACGAGATAGGTTTTGTTCGATCGATATCAACTTCTCGATGTTATTTATCTCAATACCATCTACTTTTTCTTTTTCTTTCTTTTTTTCATATGTTAAACTAGATAATAAGAATAATGATTTATAGCAATAATTATTTTCCGCATGTAGACATTCGAAGGAATATTAACAGATCAAAGGACAAGGCTTTTGGAATTTTTTACATGTGCAAGGAAATCTATGTAAGAGGGAAAAGAGCAACCGTTGACGTCAAATTTCACATAATTGAGAGTTGGCGATCGTCCTTGGCCGTGCCATTCTACGAGTCGATAATTGGCCCGGAGAACACTGAGCGATTATAGTTTGCGATTCTATTAAAATTCGTTACGGGCCAAAATTATCGACGGCGTATTTACATGCGCCGCATGTAGCATAATATTATCATATAAAATTATCATTATTAACGACGACACTTCTAGATATGTATATCTTCTTCTTATAAAAAGAACAAATTTTTATTCGATATCGATGATCATTGTAAAATATATTTTCTTCCCAAGAGATATGAATATGTTCATCACTACCATGTAATATTTGTCTTCAGTTTATCTACTATAGACTTTAGAATCTTTTTAATATTCAAGATTTTTATACACAAATTTATTGTCTTCTTGACGATCGTTCAATATTCTCTTCCGCAAAAATTGATTCTTTCCTAATCGATTTATATTACGTGTATGTAAATAAAACTTGTTCGATCCTTCGCTTTGAGAGAAAAAAAATAAAAAGTGACAATCATCGAGGTCGTTGCGTTCAAAAGTGTCCAAAAATATTTTTTGTTCGATACGTATATATATACGTCATTGATCTTTCACCTTGGTTGGTAAACGCTCATATTGGATGAAAATTAAATTTGATTTGTTCCATAACTTATTCTCTTTTCCGATACTTCTTTTGCAAGTCAAATCGATCTGTTGATGGTGTAAATACCGATTATGTCGTGCTTGCGAACCCCTAAAGAAAGCTTCAATTAATCGCAATACCAATGAAAAACTATATGTCAGTAAGATAGATTCAAAAGATAAATAAATGAAACAACATATCTATCGAGTTCTTATTCGAGAATTATTCGGAAGAAGTTCGGAAAAGAACCATGCAAACGATTCTTTCGTTAATAAGCGAGAGGAAGAAGAAGAAGAAAGTATTTTTATAATGATTAAACCGTGTAAATATTATACCTCGCGATCAAACGTATCATTGTCAATTATCTACGTTTATTTGGAAATTCTTATTTCAAGCGTGAAATTCAATTTTTCATTGTCCGATTACATAGCTTTTTCTCTCATATCGAGAGCTTCTTCGTTAAATTCATCGTCCAGAGATGAATGTTTACTCCGTATAATGCGTGTTATTAACCTACAATCTTGCGAGACTAAGAACCCGCCAACTTTCAAATAATGATTATAGAGATTAGGAACGGCAAACGAAAGATTCGCTTCTCGTCGCGTTCTTTCTAATTGTCGCGAAAGCGTAATAGGACGATGAACGTCACTTTCGTCTGGATTGCGTCTCGTCTTTCCGTCCTTCTCTCTCTCTCTCTCTCTCTCTCTCTCTCTCTCTCTCTCTCCCCCCTTCCTCTCTCTCGTACATGCCTTTAAGAACCCTGAGAAGGAGCGATTTAATAAAATTTCTGTCGTCGTATCTTTCGTTACCGTTCTTATTCTTTTTGTTACTTACACTTTCGTTTACTGCTCGCTTTTGTTCATCGCTGTTGGTCATCAGAAAGAGAGAGAGAGAGAGAGAGAGAGAGAGAGAGAGAAATAAAATGTATTGTAAATGTATTTTCACTGGACAGCACGATGCAAATCATCGTCAATATTTACAATTCGATATTTCAAAGAAACGGACGACTCGATCGTATAATAAAAATCATATAAAAAAAGTATAAAGAGACTTTTTTCAAGACGATACCGTTGGTAGTTTTTTTTTTAGCACGACTACCAATATAATTATATTTGTTTACAAAAAGATATGCTGCGCAAGTAAGTATGGAACAGTCGTTTGGACTGTGACACCTTTTCTAATCGACTTCTTACATAGCACGTACGCGAGGAATGTTCCGGAATTCCTATGGTCGTTCGTCATCATAGACTCCTCTTTACAAGACGTATTCCTATTCTAACGATCAAAGTGCTTTGAGATCGTACGAGTCTTTTTCTTTGACACGTTTTTTCACTTCTTTATTTTTCTAGGCAAATTTCATTGTCTGGATATTTATTGTTATCTCGTATGCATTAATTAGGTATATACAATTTATTACATAGGTAATTAGAGGGATGCTCCCTGAAGCTCCCATATAGCATATTTACTTATTCATCATTTTACTCATTGGTTAGCTCATAGCAAACATATTTCCTATGCAAAAGTTTTGCGAATATTAACTGTTATAAATGAAAGTTTGCTACCAACTCGCGCACAACTTTTCTCCTTCTATTCTATTTGCGCGCTTTTTTATATATGCCATGCATGCATATAACATATTTATAAAGAAAATCATTTCGACTAACGGGACAGCCATTCTGGTTACGACTGAAAAAGCAAATAAGAAATAGAAAATAATTGACTGAGATATAAAATGACAAAAAAAATAGGTACGTCTATAAACCCTTTACGAGATAAAGTTTATCAGATATTTCATTCGTTATTGATTCATATGTATCAAAGGAAATAACAATTAATTGATCATTTCTTTCGAGCAAAGATGAGGAAAAAGTAAAGAAACCGTACACGATTTTACAATATCGCTCGCTATCGAGAGAGATTCTTGCCTATCTAATATATCCTCGTATTACTAACGATACGAAACCTTGGAAAATAGGATGTAACCGGAAATAATTCGCAACCAAAGATAGCATGCTACGGTGCCAATGCTCCTAATATGCATCATGGAACGACCTTGAGAGAAGATAAGCCTTGGTCGAGCCATAGTCGATGGAAACGATCCTCTCTCTCTCTCTCTCTCTCTCTCTCTCTCTCTCTCTCTCTCTCTCTCTCTCTCTCTCTCTCTCTCTCTCTCTCTCTCTCTCTCTCTCTGACTACGATGAAATTATTCGACGAATCTATATAGGTAAACGCCGATAAAAGGAAAAAAATGTCATTTATGAGTTATTATGGGCCGCGAAGAAAATTAGATAGATTTTTAAATGCGAGATTGCGATAAAAGCCACACGTGGTCATAATGAAATATTATCGATTTCTATCCGTCTATTAACTTGGGCGGAGATTATTCTCCAATGGTTTATTATTTGGCTTAAAAAAGATTAAAAATAAGGCCGATCATGACTTAAACATTTCAAGAATTCTTAAATAAAAATTTAAAAACGATTATTCATGAAGCGGCTATTTCGCACGCACAGTAAATTAAAAGACAGGAACTTTCGTAATAAATTTCATCGCTTTTTAGGATTAATTTAATACCGATGTGTGTGTCTCTTTGTAAATATTCACATACGTATACATACGTATATATATATATATATGTACTATGCAGCGTGCATAGACACATACATGTGCATTATGCGGACTTACCTACAAATATACGTAGATATGGCTAAGAAGTCGAATGACGATAATCTTACGAAATCATTCTTTTTTCTTTTTATAAGTATCTTATTGCACGTATAAAATATACATATTTGTTTCTCGTCAATTTTTTCTCTCCTAGAGAGCAAAAATTTCATTAAAATTCAGGCAACCATTCGAATAAAAAAAAAAGTAAACTCCATATATTTTTCACGTGAAATATGTCAATATTTATATATTAAAGATTAATTAATCAATAATAATTATTAATAAACTTTTAAAATAATCAATAAAATATGCTTTTTATTCTATCATTAGTTGGTAGATGTATGTAAACGTCTGTCTATCGTTAGTCAAATATTGCAACGAAAAGTGAATTTTTGAATAGGAAAGCATGACGCGCAAGAAATTACCTGTTATTTGTTTTATATTATCGAAGATAATTACCAGATGGCGCGATGCGAAGGAAATGCTATTGTTTCCATTCTCGCCGCTAGATGATTCGTCTCAAGATCCACCGAATTGGTTCGGGAGGCGCTCGTAATGAGCCAATTCGTTTCCCCATAACGTAAATGCACTATCCTGTAAACGGTATCACAGATTTGGCATAGGTTCCTTGAAAATCACTTTTCGAAAATCTGAACAATTTAATCAGATTATACGGACTTTCCTTTGTTTACTAATTCATCAACAATAAAAATAACTTTAACGTTATCGATTTAGTGTGAATTGCGTCGGAAGTTGGCAGCTCTGATCGATACGAATACGACAGGGAGAGAACGCTTAAAGTATTCCATTATATTTTGGAAAATAATAATGAAATGTAATAAAGTCGAAGAAACGGATATGCGTTCGTCATGAAACGATTTATTTTGGATTAGCTGAAATAAATATAGGCTATCGTTAATATTTCGTGAAAATAAAATGACGCTTTTGTTGTTTTATATGATCGCTTCAAGGTCATGATAGTACACATTTGTATCATTTAATTCATACAAAAAAAAAAATATTCGTATATGCGTAACCAATTTTGTCGAAAATTAATTGTGTAGTATGCAGCTTCTTATTAGCTCAACGAAGAGTCACCATCCTTGTACTAACATCCTTGGTAGCTATTGAATACTTACAGATTTGTCGCCACCTACACATACATACACACACACACACACACATATATATATATATATATACACACACATATATACAGATATATAGATACACGTGTGTAAACCTGTTTAATTTAGTCATCTTCCTCTTCTTCCATGGCTTCGGATGTGTTGTTTCCTAATATATCGAAGAAAAATTGTACATTTATTATTTATCATTTGGACAACGACTGGAATAAGATTTCAATAAGGAAAAGGGAGATACCGTTCTGAAGTCTCTCTTCTCCGGGTATATGCCCTGCTTGTAATAATTTGCTAAGTCGCTGCACCTCTTCCAAGGACGTAGCATTTGTTATAGCCTCTTTAATTTTGTTACGTTCGTCCGCGCTTGTTAAAGGTTTATCCAAAGACGTTCCTGGTGCTTGCGCCTTTGCCTTTTTAGCTATTTCACGTACCATTTCTTTGCCTCTTTTACTTCTAAAATATTCGATAGCGGCCTCTCGTTCTTTTTGCTTGATTTTTCTAAAATCTAATAGTCTCAACTGTGGAAATCTGTAGACAACGTACTGTCTGTACTGCGGCTTCGCAGACACAGGATTTTGTAATAAACATAAATTTGTAAGATGTTTAAGCGGTATTAATGGATCCAAATCGCCGAGTTCTTGAATCATATTTCCAGTCAACATTAACGTTTCCAAGTTGGGTATACAATGTTCCAAACCTTCTGCGATTCTGACTATGCGATTATTATTGAAAAAAAGTGTTTTGATTCTTTTCAAATATGGAAATCCATCAAGTTTTCTAATATCATTGTCGGAAAAGTCTATTGTGTCAAATTGATCCTACAATGAATAATAATATTACTTATTATATATCATTAACGATCCAAACAATGGAATAATATTTATGCGCAAAGAAAGATATGGAATATTTCGTACTAACCAAAGTTGCTCCTAAATTTTCTATCGTAGGTATTTTGTATCCTAAAAAATAAGGACAAACGAGTACATAAACAATATTGCTATAGTCCGGTTTCTAGGTTATGTTCTGAAAATGACAAATGCAGGCCGTTTTTATTTCAGTTTTCTACTAACCTCTCAAATCCAATTCCCGATCCCTTACAGGATTAATATATTGCATCGATTGTTGTATTAGGTCCGGCGTTAATTTCACCATTTCTCCTACGATAGCCTAGAAAAATAATTTAATTAAAGGCAACAGCAAGATTGGAGCGTCGTCGACTCCTGAGGTTTCCGCGCATGCGTTCAATCTCGCATATCGAACACACAATTTTGGCTCAATATTCAATGACCGTCTTCTATTATTTTAACGATATATTCGAATAATCGATAAAAAAAAATCGAACAGAAAGAAATGAGATAATATGAAGTTTAGTATACTAATAAAAAAATTGCTTCTACTCCTACAAAGATATGAAGCTGCTATTCGCTTCTACTATTAATCAAATATCATAGGAGTCGTCGTCGTTGCTTTTCGAACGATATATGCGGAAGAGCAGTATGTTGGTAGGATGTTTTATATATGGTCGTTTTCTCTTCGGTGCCTTTAAAATTTTCCTTTGATCAGACTAAAATGGGTACTTTATGGAGTGCGTATGTTACACATCCCGATACGATGCCAGAAGCAGAAACTGCGCCGACATTTGATCCGTTGTATGGATTTAAAGACGGTCGAAAAGCTAGAGGTAACTATTCGAGGATCGAAAATATAACCTAATAGATGCTCGTACCAATTTTTATTATCTTCGTAATCGGTCTATCCGTTTCCAATCGGATGCATCTCTGACATTTTAATGGACATTTTTTCGCATTCCAGTAGTTAATATTATTATTATTTTTGTAGTTAATATTACGTTCGTGAAAAAGAAAAAAAAAGAAAAAAAACAATTGTGACATAATCGACAAGGTTCCATATATATATACGGACGAATTCATTTCGATGTCGTATCGGTCATTTTAAACGATAAATACGATTATATCTGTACAATAATCTTTCAATATGTAAAATCATTGCCATGATTTTTCCAGTTATGATTGCCACGGATGCAGAAATGAAGGCAGCGAGAATACCAAAAAAATTACGAGATTATTGCGCTCATAAATTATTAGAATTGGAAGATTGCAAAAAGTATAATTTTCCTATAATGAACAGATGTAGCCATCAGACTCATGCTTACGAACAATGCCAATACGAAGAGTAAGTATAATAACGAGGGAATTATTTAATTTGTATATCTTTTAACATGTCTCTTGCTCTTATTCCAGTTATGTACTGCGGATGAAGGAGTTTGAAAGGGAACGCAGGCTTTTAGAAAGACAGAAGAGAAAGCAGCAAATGGCGGCTGCTTGAAGGAGTTGCCTCGTAGATCTATAGGAATGTTGAAATTTATTACTCGCTATTTAGAATTCGCAAGTACAGGTCCTTTCCTGTATACATTTATTTATATACATATATGTTTATATATATATGTACATTCATACACGCACTCACAAATATGTATATATGTATGTATGTATGTATGTATGTATGTATGTGCACATACATATAAATATATAGTGTAAATAAAAGTTGATAATTGTAATAAACCGTTCTACATAGTTTTATCATTTCAGCAGTCATGGACGACTTTCATGGCGGTTATAAAATAAAGAGGATACGACTGGAGAGAAATGATATTGTAGTTGGCGTTACAAAAGGAGAAAATACAAAGAAAATATTTACAAAACACGTAATAACAATATTCCTATCGTCTAGATCTTAATCTAGATAGTGGTTCTTTCTTCGTGCTTCGCGAATAGGTTGTCGATATCGTCCTTGGCATTTTTAGATTTTCAGAACCGGCAAGGCTCGTTTGCTTATTTTCTTTCTTCTTTTTCTCGTAATTTTTCATTAGGGGCAATTAAAACAGTTTAGAAAAATTACTTCTCAGAAGAGATCATTTTAGGATCGTCTAATTTTAATCGAATGTGTCAAGTAATGTCCTTATTGCGTATACTGCCTCGTCTTGTGACGCTTTCGTAGGAACAAAGCGACGGGATAAAAGAACTTTATTATACAAAGCTGCATGTGTGAATCGTTTCACTTTGGACAGTTTTACTTTGGCTTAATCTCTCTCTCTCTCTCTCTCTCTCTCTCTCTCTCTCTCTCTCTCTCTCTCTCTCTCTTTTTGCGCGCGCGTACACTCGGAAGAGAGAATTTATCGACCCGCGTTGCGTCCTGGGTTGCGCCGTCGCGCGACCATCTCATCGTGCGTCCTATCGCTATTCGATTTCAAAGAAAATTTAATCCAGGCATTCGCCGTTGCTCGAGCGTCGTCGATCCTCGAGGAAGGTGCCAAAAAAGTGATATCTACGCGGATTTATTCGTTCGTTCGTTCGTTCGTTCACTCTATCCGCTTATTATTGATTCTCTTCGAAATTTTATTTGTTGTTTGTTTTTGTTTCTCTTTTTTTTGGCAATGGTCAAATGACAACGCGAAGGAGGAAAGATTTTTTTCTCGTCGATAGCATCATCGAGATTTGTCTTTCGCGAAAGTGCCCTCGCTATTTCGGAAGCAGTGATGATCTAAGGAGAAAAAGGGAAAAGAAAAAATTGCATCGCTCGAGAATTCGTCGCATGCAAAGTCTTCTCGAGAATCCTCTCGAGAGTCCTCTCGAAGCCATACATCTTGCTTTGTCGGTTTTTTCTGTGTATATGATACACATATGCGAATACATATGTACAGAACGACCTTTTAGAAAAATAGCCGCGTTAAAATTCGCATATATGCATACAGGGCTGTCAAGAAAAAGGGATTTAGAAATTGAAGAACAGATCGACATCGGCCAAAAACGATATGACAAATTTTTATTTTTTCTTTTATCCTCTATGAGCCAAACAAAAAACAAAGACCTTTGTAGGCGCAACCCTTTTCATTTTGCGAAATAAGTAAAAATCCTTCGTGTCGCGCATATAGGTATAGGTACATAGAAAAGAAAGAAAAAAAGAAAACAAATAAATAAAAAAAGGAAAAATGCCATCTATCGCACATACGTGTGTCGAGTCGAGCTCGCGAAGAATCGGAAGTGGCACCTTGAGAGAGAGAGAGAGAGAGAAAGAAGAGAGAGAGAGAGAGAAATAATAATCGAGAAGAAAGGAAACGACGACTTCAACGATCGATCGTTGAAAATTTGGCTTTTATGGTGATATGACCGGAGTTTCGAGCGAAAAAAAGAAAAAGAAGACAGGCAAAAGATAAAAAGTGAAGAAAAATATTTTTTAAAAGCGCTTTAAAAGACCGGCAGGAGTTTAGAAATATTATACTCGATCGATTTTCTCTGTCGCCCGTTTTCACATTTTTTCAATCTTGAAAGGACATCGAGATCGATTCGATGAACGAAAGAGAATTCGCGGATTGTCCTTGGTTCCTCCTATCCAAGCGTTTTACCCCGTCTTCTTCGTCGATTCCTCCGAAGCTTCCTTACTTAAGAGGCCGTATCCTCTTTTTTCAATTCCAATTAATCGAACGAGAAGAGGAAGGCGAAAAAATCCTATTTGCTCTCTCGCCTCCACTTTAACAAAATTCATTCATGTTGTTCGTGAAAACGTCCTGCGTTTTTTCCTTCGTTCCTTCGTTCCTTCCTTTCTTCCTTCCTTCCTTCCTTCACGTTCGCGGGGTCCCGTTGAAACGCACAATTTTTAAAAGAAAGAAGGAGAAGGAAGGAGAAACAACCGCTTTCCCCTTTCACTTCCTTTCTTTTTCCTCCTCTTCCTTTCTCTTTTTGTACGGCCCATCCTTCTCCCAATCTCAATTCATCTTCGTCTTATCGATCGACTTCATTCTGCGATAGGCCCGCCGATAAAAATCGGAGAAAAGAACAAAGAAGATTGCCGAGTGAAGCAGTAAGAGGATTGCGACCAGCTTCGGGTATCCGCAGTCGAAGATCAAGGCCTGCGCGCTATGCACGAACACTAAAAAGAATTGGATCTGAAAATGAAGAGGAGATATCGCCGATTAGGACCCTCAGAAATAAAACTATTCTCGGTGAGCTAACGGTGAGTTCTCTAATTTTTCCAGCCCGTCTCGAGGAGAAGGAATGGAAAAGAAATAATTCGTTTCTCAGTCATTAAATCGTTATTAGTCGTATGCGAGTTTATGATCGCGTAAGCGAAGGCGAAGCAAGGAGCGTAATGAGAGAGAGAGAGAGAGAGAGAGAGAGAGAGCTCGAACAAAAACAAAAAAGAAAACAAAAACAAGCTCGATGATCGAACAGGAGTTTAAATTATTTACATAAATCAAAATTATTAATATAAACGAGAGGCTTCTTGGATATGCACGGATATGCACACAAACGATTCCATATAAAAGACGGTGATTAACGGTTGTCGTTGCATCGGCATTGCCAATGTTCTAGCTAATACTTGCTCGGTTTCTCTCTACCGTAGTGTCGTACCGTAGGTATATCGGAATGCCTAATTATTGCGCCATCGCACGACCTAGTCGTCCGAGTCCGACTTAAACGTCGGAGTCAGAGTTAGGTAATTGCCCAACGATTGCACTTTTCACTTTTCCTCTGGTCCCTCCGGCCTCCTGCTATCTCGCCATAATACGTTCGCCATGAAATTTTGCCTACGTTGTGCGCGTGTGCTCGAGTGGGAGAGAGGCCAGAATTGGCGCCCGACCTAGGAATCTGCTCTCTGCGAGATCGAAAAATCAGTGTTTTGCCTTTAACACTGGGCAACAATTTGACGTTCCATTGCGAAATGGAACAACCCAAATTGCGCTCGCTCGCTCGCTCGCTCGTACGTACGTATCATTCATACATTCGTCGTTTCTTTTCTTTCGTTTAGGAGGAAGCTAATCCATAGGCTTACCAATTGAATCGTGGTGAGATGTTTCTTCCACCACAAATATTTTTTATATTCGGGTCCCATGGCAGCCAACATGTAATAAGCGTACATGACCACGTGGACCGCGTTGTTTATGAGATTTCCTAGGGTACCGTGTCCACCGGGAATAAATTTAACGCAAATCCATGTCTCCAAAGGCGTCAAAGAATGATGATATAAATGTAGAAACGTCACTTGACTCTTCTTCTTTCGTAAGACGAAGAAAACCTGTAAATTCGATCGTTCAGATCTTTCCTTTTCTCGTTTTATTTCCTCTTTCGTCGGCTTTAAATAATCGATCGACTTAAAATATTCGAGCGCGAATACTTTACCGTGTCGGCAAATTCGGTAAACTTGCTGATAAAGTACCACCAACAAAGGTTCGCCATTCTTAAAGCGGACGGATTGTGAGAATAATCGACTGGCTGGCACTTGTAACTGTAGTCCAACAGCCATCCGGACATCAGGTGCTACAAAGGGAAAGGCAGTGAGGTAAGAACGATTCGAATAGTAATCATTTTGTTTTTTCGTACCAAGTAATCGGCTCGCCCCCCCCCCACCCACCCACCCACCCTCCCCTACACCCCCCACGTCTTCCCCTACACCCGTTCCTCATTCCTCGATGATCCAATAGCACTTTAACCTAATCAGGCCTACGTAATACTCGCTTGTCATTGCTACGATTACGTTTTCATCTGACTTTCGAATAGTCTCGAGCCCTGTCGTTGAAATGCATGCGTTAGAAATGATTCACACGTAAGTGCATTAGAGGCAGGCAGAGCTTACTCGCTTCATATGCTTTTATCAGACACTTCATATCTAATACCTCCGTGTTATTTACCTCCCGGCGCGAGAAACGCATTACGCGTTTATAACGGATCATCGCTGATATAATCGAAGAAATTTCTTTTATCACTAGTCTTTCCTTCCTTTCATTTTTCGACGTGGAACTATTGTCCAATGGACATATATATGGACATAAAATATTTTCTAATCTTTATGGAAGATCGACACAACGAGAGCTACGATCTCCGCAAGTGTGGAGACCCGATATGGGACATGTAATAAATGTTTTTCGCGTTTCGAATTTACGAGTTGGTCGTCGTCGTTGTCGTCGATGATTTTCTCAATAAATTAGAAGAGAAGAAAAAGCTCGTTCCGTAAGTTCGGCTAAAAACCCTCTATTAAAAACGTTTGATTTCGCGGAATATGTTCTTTTCGTTTCTTGATCTCGATTTATATAGGACGTTCGGCTCGTACTCATGCGTCGCGTCGTCATAGGGAGAAAAACGGAGAAAAAGAAAAAAAAAACCGGCCATGGATGGATTCCCAAGATATCTCGAAAAAGTCGGCTCGAAGAAAGATTTAATGCGGATCATTACATTAAAATCGATCGAGAAGAGATAGATTCCAGATATAAAGGTGCTTCATTAAAATTAGATCTTGGCTGAGATTTGAGATTGAGTTAAGGAGAGAGATTTAATTTGATTACCTCGTAAAGCATTCCCAGAGAGAAGATGACCTGGAAGGCGTTGTAGGCGATGAGAACGTTTCTGAGATTATAAGGCTTTTTGTTGGACATCATACGTGGGCCGGCTATCGTCACGGAATAGAGATAGAGTAGAACTATGACGACCGTTGGTATCGGGGATTCCATAAGAGGCCAATTGCCAACCCGCGGATCCGAGGCGCTCGCCAGAATTTCCGTGTACTGTTCGAGGGCCAATTTGACCAAGCCTTGGGCACCGACGAACGTTGTCCGGTTCCCATCAACCATCTCTCGCATCGGTTCCGGTTCCCTCTCGACCACTAACTCTGCCGCTGCCGATGCCATTTCTGAAAAAGCGATCGATCTCCTTGAAATCTTTCTTCCTTACGTCGTTGCAAACAATTAAACCAATGTTATTCCTTTTTCAAATAATTAAGCCGACGATGGGACATCTCGCCTTGAGTAGACACTTTTAAACGTTCCCGTTCGTTTAGGTTCTTCGCAAAAGTAAACGACTTTTCATTGAATATCGTCTCCCGATCGTTGAGTAATGAATGAAATTACGCCGTATGCCACGCGTACCTCGTTAAGTTGAAAACAAATCGGATTAACAAAACGGCGAGTTCCTATTCCGACGGATCTATTCGTACGGACCTCTCGTGTTCTCGCGAAACATGGCGAAAGTAAAATGTTGCCATTGTAAGAGGATCGATATCGATCGCGGACCCACCGTTGAAACGTGTTTCTCATTTTCGACCCACCAAATGCAATATTTCCAGCCGCAAATGTTTCGCACCGTTGAATCCGTTAAACCTCCCGCCGAGCCTTGCCTTTTCCACCATCCTCCCGGAATTTCACATCTCTTTTCTTCTCCTTCATCGTGCCGTCTTGTAAACGATTCATCGTCCTCGACAACGAGTACGTCCTGTCAACTTGAGTCTTCTGAAAGACCATCCGACGTAAAACGTTGGAAATATGATTCGCCGATGATTTGACGATGCTTCCATCGTTAGATTTTCTCTTCCGTTTGAGCCCGATATCTACGTAATCGTACTACGAGAGATTGTCTTCCTCGTCCGCGTTCGCGTTAAATAACCATCGACGACGACGACGACGACGCGAGACTTTATTAATATCACGATAGTCGTCAGAAATTGAGTTCGTATAGAGTCGAAAGAAAGAAAAAAAAAAAAAGAAAAAAAAAGTAAAGAAAGGAGAAGGACGAGTATATATATATATCTCTCTTTCTCGGCCAATTTTATCGAGCACACTCAGGGGAAAGTAGCTTCGCAAGCGAGTGCTTCGATCGGACCTAAAATTCGCGAATCTCTAGCTTTGCACGGTACGCGTGATGGTAGAACACGCTAATTTCGACGTAGTTAGACACGCAACGAGAAGTTGCCGAGCGAACCAGAAAGAGTTGCTAGGCCGTTATATCTCGGTGAAGGAAGGAAAAAAAGAAAAGAAAAGGAAAAAAAAAAAAACGGAAAACGCTCTCGTCCCTCTCTTTTCGCTTTTATCGAAGAATAATGAAAAGTAGGTAGAGAGCAATAAGGCGTTACGACCAACAACAAGGTTGCTCAATGTCGTTGCACCGTTCCTTACATTTTATGAGATACTTTTATTATACTTAACCAAAATAATATTTTACGTCGTTATAGCATTCGTATACCCGATGTTAAATCTCCCCACGTCTAAATAACTACCTTGTTTTGCGCTGCGGCAATTTAATAAACTATCGTGCAATCCGTATCGCGTTATGATCGTACAGCTTTTCGATCGTATTTATTAAGTAGGTTAAAGTTAATTGCCGTGACAGGGAATGAAGTAACTCGCCTTTTGATTCGAGCTCGAAAATTGGCATTATCGCGTTGGAATTCGATTAAGAGGTTTAGACAAGTTTCTGCAAGTTCGCACGCAATTTACCTTTCTACCTACGTACTTACCTACCTACCTACCTACCTACCTATCTATCTATCTAGCTGGTTCCTTGCATTTTTTCTCCGCTCTTTTTTTCCCTTTCTACGAAGGCCTTTAACGAGGCAAGGTTAAGCGAAAGCCCATTGTCCAAGCTGGAGCCGTTCTCTCTGTAGCGTTACCGACATAGCGAATTTTCATCGGCAAAATTAAATCACCATTAATAAACATTAAATATTTACGTAATTGGAACGTTTAAATTGGAGGAAAGGTTTTTGTTGAAGAAGACAAAAGAAAAAAAAAACAGAAATAGAAAGAAGCATCGTTAGGTGAAACTCGATCAAGTCAACTCGATTCATCCTCCGGTAAGAGAGAGAGAGAGAGAGAGAGAGAGAGAGAGAAAGAGAAAAAAGTCGATCGCGGGCGGTCCAGTATTTCTGGGACAGCTCTGACCCAGGTAGTAGTACGTAACTTCCCTTTTCCTTAGCTCGGCATTGACACGGATGCCCGACGACGAACGGTATTTCTTCGAGAGAAAGTCCAGTGGAACGGGTTACGGAGATAAGGAGGAGGATGCCAGAGGAAAGCCGGTTAAGTGCGGGGAAAAATAAAGAAGGAAAGAGAGAAAGAGGAGATGCTTTTTATTCGAAACGGTAACTCATTTTATCTCGTACCATCGAGTCGTCAAAATGAGAGGCTCTTTCAACGTTGGCACGAGGATGAGGACGATTAGACGTGCGACGTATCGACTATGTACCGACTTCGTGTTAATAGGTAAGTAGGCCGATTCCACGGTTTACATGGCCTTTTCACGTTTTTCTATGGCTCGAGCCTTCTCCTCCTCCTCCCTTCCTCCTCCTCCTCCTCCTCCTCCTCCTCCTCCTCCTCCTCCTCCTTCCTTGGCACGCAGCGAAATTTTTTTTCTCCACCGACATCGACGCTTTTTACTTTCGGATTCCATCGTCCGCGATCGTAACGCCTGGCCATAACGCGTTTTCTCGCTTTACGATCGCTTCTTTTTTCCTAACCGTTCTAACGGCTCAATATTCATTATCGAAGTTTGTACAAATAGAGACGAAGCCCCGAGCGAATGAGAAAGAACTGGCTTTCGTCGAGGCAGTTATAAGATGTCGTCCGCTCTCTTCGGATATTATATCAAACTCTTAATACTCTTTCCGCGTTATAAGGAATACCCCCTTGGTTACGTCGTTGATAAGGATTACCAACGACGATGCGCTAAATTAGATGGCTGAATTATATTTCGATCGAAGACTTTGAAAGTTCTCCTCCTTCTCTTCCTCTCAGAGGCCAAAGGGAAGAGAGTTTTTTTCAGAATGAGGAAAGGGCGCACCTTTACGGACCGACACGAGTCGAAAAAAAAAAGAAAAAAGGGGGAAAAGAAATCTCGACGATCGGAGAATCGCAAACTGGAATATAATTTTCTTCTTCTACGTCGTTAAATTGCTTAGGTCCATCTGCTTATCTTTCTCATCGAATAACTGGAACACCAGCCGACGAGGCTTTGCTCGATCGTAAATACGTTTTATTAACGAAAAAGGACTTCCATCTCGAAGGAAGGAAGTCAAGTTAAGAGGAACGTCGATTAACGAGGTTAACGATTATACCTAGCGACAAAGAGACGAAAGAGCGAAAAAGAATATTGAAGTATTGACCGAGAAAGGAGTGAAGATATTTTAAACGATTCGAACCTATCGATCGAAGATATAAACTGTTGCAACTACAAATCGAAATAAATATTAATTAATTAAATGTTAACGACTCGATGGGGCTTAATGCAAATATTCGAGTAGACATTCCTCGTGTCATTCCTTCGTAGCATTTCCTCCTGGAGGAAAATTAAAAATAGACGCCGGTCGAAGGTGCGTACGATTACCTCCTTTCCTCGATAGTTCATAAAGGAGACTCTTGCAAAACGGGAGAGTTAATGATGTCCCGTGCTAACTCGTTTATTCGATTAGCACAAACGATAATTTTACCGATAACAATCCAGATAACAAAGGAGGAGACGTTAATTGTTTCGAACTATGCCCATTTGTTCTCAAACAGATCTGTTCCCAAACAGATCTTATCCATTTTATCTTTCTTACATTCGCGTGCACAGTACCTTTAAGCCGCACCTGCTTCTACGAACACGGTCGATTTGGCCTTTTCGAATAGATCGCGAGATCTCGACTTTTTCTCTGTACTTTGATCGTTAACTCGAAGAATGTTTGAAAAATAAAGGCAATTTTCAAGTTCGCTTACCGCGACACGCGATCGTCGTACCTCGAGCATGTCCTCGAGTATCGTTCTATTTAGGTGATAGGCAAAAGCGATCTTTGCTCTTAGCTAGTGTATACATATAATATCTAGGTGCTGTGTGTGTGTGTGTGTCACGACGCAAGTAAAGATCGAAGAAGACCAGCTGGAAGGCGAGAACGTCAGATGAAATCACATTAGTCAGTTTTCAATGGCACGATTCTCTCTCTCTCTCTCTCTCTCTCTCTCCCTCCCTCCCTCCCTCCATCTCTTCTCTTTTCTCTTTCTTTCGAGCTCTCCAAGAGAATACGCATACGACGGATTTTCTCTGTTGGTAAGAAACGAAGACTTGGATTCGTCTTCTTCGCTTTCACAAGGAAAGCTAAATGTCTGAGCGTTGCAAAAGTAGTCTACGACTTCGAAACGATGCGAGTAGCGTGTAATACGTATGCTTCTTCTTTTGTCCTGCCCATCTCTTTCATTATCTTCCGATTTATGATCGACCATTAGCCAAATCACGCGATTAACAGGGAACTCGTAAAAGGCTTTTCCTACGCTACTAGAGCTCGGACGCGAACGTTGTTGCTTGTATTTTCTTTCAACGAATTTACTTAGAATTTACCAAACTAGAATTAGCATCGTCGAATAAATCACGGTTTTTATTTTATTTTCTCGCCTTGACGAATAAGCTCAATCTACTCGTACGATACCCACATATATGAAACTTTCAACGATCATTATGTACTTAATAATTCAAGTATATCATCGAAAGCGACACTTTGTGCCTTTCTTTAATTTCATATTCTCGAGATGACCCGATTTCTATGGACTTACTTCTCTCCGACTTTTTCGGTCAGACTTCCTGATCTCGTTCTATCTATGTGGAACGATCGATCGTCATTTTACGAATATTAAATTGACAATGCAAAGTCAGATCCGCCTGAGAAAAAATCCTACGCATTTATACTTTTTCATTTTCTTCTTTAATATCGAAGAAAAATGTGGAAGATCGTGAACGCGTATAGCAGGAAGACTTTTCTTTTTATAAAGGAAAAATGGCGATTGATCGGTTGAAGGTTTGCGTACGTCATGTTAAATGATTTTCTTCTTTTCTTTTTCTCTTTTTTTTCTTTTTTCTTTTTTTTTACTCGCCACAAACACAAGCCGAGTAATAAACAATTCAATCGTCCAATTATTAATTTTATTATGCACCTTATTATGCACCGGCATATTCTAAGCGTATCGAAATTAGAAGATAAAGAAATCGATCGAATTGAGATTGTAATTTCTTCGTGAATACGAACGTACGTTTTCTTTTTCTTTGTATCTTTTACGAAAATTATAATCGAGATCGGCTCGATCAACCTTGTGCCGAATATTACAAGACGAGTTTCGACGAGCCCGTTGTGTAACTATTAGGGAATAGCGTGGCGGAATACGCTCATTGAGAGAGGTTACATATATTACGTGTATTACGCTAGGTAGTTGACCATGCAACGCGAAAATACCTTATCGGCCATTCGTTTACGAAGAGGATGATTATGGACGGACGAAAGCGTTCCTTTTGATCTTTGACTCTTCTCGAAGCGACATTAAAAACAGAAAGATAAGGAAAAGAGAAGAACAAGAAAAGAACATAAAACCTTGAGGATTTTTTCTCTCAAGCTGCGTGCACCTTAGTTAACACCTTAATTGCCAGGTGTGTTCGAACGTAACAAAAAGGAACTTACGAAATCGAAATAGAACGAAGTTACGATGTTTTCTTTTCCTTCAACGGAACTTTCCCCTTTAATTCGGCCCGATATTTCGGGAGAGCAAAAAAATGTGAGAGCAAAAAAAAAAGAAATAATAATAATAAGTGGAAAAAGAGATACGAAGAGAAAGGTAATCGTCTCGATAACGAAACTATTTATATTTCACCCGTATTGCGAGTTTTCGTGCGATAAGACGAAAACTCGTTCGAACGTACGCATGCTCGCGAGCCATAAAAAACGAATGAGAACGATTTCCAAATTAGTTTTTCATCTTCTCCCTTCGAATTTACAAACCAGTAAGGTTTGAAAAACGCCCAATGGCAATGATCGAGAAGAACTTCATTTTTTCTGGTTGGAAAAAAGGCAAGTGTGTATCGTAAATGCGCACATAGTTGAAACGCGCTCCGCCGGTGATATCGTTCTACTTGCTCGCTCGAGCGCGATCCATCTCAATAGCGATCAATCACCAGGACATTTTCTCTCTCACTCTCTCTCTCTCTCTCTCTCTCTCTCTCTCTCTCTCTCTCTATCCCTGAAAAATAAGAAAAGATCTTGAACGTTACCTATGCGTTTCCCAATGAGAGATCGGCTCACGAAGGAAAAGAATTCGGACCGCTCGAGGCACTGCACTTTATTCCGAGTCGCGTGGGAAACACTTGAAAATCTTGCTTCTCCTGTTCCTATTCGAACACTAGGTTTTGTCCGAAATGCAAGAGCCTATGTTTGTTCATCGATACGCTCAAAATTGCAAAGTCTTTTGCCTCTGCCTGCCCCCCCCCTTCCCCCGAATTTCAAAGATCCACGATCCAGAGGTTCGAACGACGATTAGGCTCGACGACGAATAATATACGATGACGTATGGAAGGATGGCGCTTTTACGAGTCGAATATTTTCACTAGTTCCTTTCTTCCAGCAAGTGTCAAAAGATAAGAACGGATCGATATAATTGGGAGGATTTTGTTATCGTTCGCTCGCACACTCTCGGTAATTCTTTTCGGATGGACTCATTTCGTGGTCCAACGGACGATCCTGCGCGAATAGTCTGCACGATGCTGAACTCGCGTCTTAAGTATTAACTGACCTAGTGGGGTCCGACTACGATCAGGCTCGTTGTCGGAAAGGTGGGGACTTATCGAGTTCAGGAGCGGGCTCGACGAACGAGAGAGTTCTTCTTGATCGATAAGAGTCAAGGTTACTACGTTTGGCTCACAACGTTTCCTCGAGATCGATCATATCTCTCTCTCTCTCTCTCTCTCTCTCCCTCCCTCCCTCCCTCCCTCCCTCCTCCACGCTCTAGCCAACGAAAATCTTTCGTAGATGAAGCCTGAAGAGAGAGAGGGGGGGGGGAAGAAATGGTACTATACCTATACTGCAGTATATTTATTTTAATGTTATACCAATATAGTAATGCCTCCTGGTAAAAGTTCAAGATACGCTTGTCTCGCGAATCACGTAAGAACGATTTGTGCATCGATCGTAAGAGTTCAGGTGAGTCACCTGTAAAGGTCAATCGAGAGACAAACGTTTGCCTATATTTTATATTGTTGATACGCGAAGAGTGCACACGTTGCAACGCATCTGTGCCGAATAAAACGGACGTTTAGCTCGTCTATGGACGCTCAAAGAGAAAATATTTTACAATGGCGTTTCACCACGGATCATCATCTCCTTTTTGCCTCGCTCAGTTCGTACGAACGCAAAGCTCTCTGTCTTCCTTCGGAGATTGCTTTTGCTATCGACGGAAATCACTAGTTTGTCCTTTCGATCGATTTACGAATCAAACTCATAAATCGTAATTCCACCATCTCCATTTTTTTTTTACGTACGTAATTCTTTACGTACTTAAAATACTCTCCTATGGTTTATATTCGGGGTATTATCAAGTACATTTGGATACCACATTGTTCTGTTTTCGTATATAAAGTTAACAATAAAGTTCGATACATTCTTAGATTTGCCATAATTTTCTGCATACGGATATCGGTCATCGTCGACTTGTTTTTTCCTTTTTCTTCTTTAACGACTCTTATACGCGCGCGCGCTCGCATGAAACCACTTTTATTTAAGCGAGGTAAAATGAATTTTTCCTTTTCACGCGCGCGACCGGTGCGAAGTAAAGGTTCGTCTTGATCTCGACGATTTATTCGCATATGCCTACACGGAGAAAATCCGCTCTTCTCTTTTTCTCTCGTCCCTATTGGGATTGTTGTGTTAAATTAAATTCGTCTTGCGCGACACATTGCCGACGTATCAAAGCTTGAATGAAACGGCACAAAACGCCGATAAAAAGAACGGCTACATCGAGATGTGAAAAAAAAAATGATGGACTATCCTTTATTGTTTTCCTGTTTTCTTTGGATCGATTGTCGTCGTCACGCAACGTGACGATAAATCCTTCTTCACGATATCCACGTGGCTATCGACGTACTGATTACATAATTTTTTTTCATCCTATGTCCCAAGTAACGATTATAAAGGTATTATTGAAGTAGCTGTGAGGGCTCGAGATAAAGTGAAGTAAAAAAAGAAAAAATTCAAGTAGCTTGAACTCCATTGATATCTTCACCTAACGATCGTAACTTACAGGAACTTAACGATCGTAAATTAGAGGAATTTCGCGCATGTCGTCGGCTTTTTATCGCGCGCTCACTTTCTCGATCTCTATTATACGTAAAGTAGATAAATTTAAAGTTATCGTCGAAGGTGTCCTGAATATATAAAGATCAAAGGAGAAATAATTAAATCGAATAAACATTTCCCCTCAAGGCTATTATTAGGTCGCACGAAAAAATATCTGATCTATCTAATGCTTATTTTCACCTATCCGTATGCTTATTTTCATCTATCTTCTTACGGTGATTTTCCGCGAGACATGGATCAATGGGAAAAATAAAGATCATTGCGATGGACGCGATATGCATTAATCGTAATTATTGCTCATGAATCGATCGTTTATGTCGACGCATTTCTTTTCAATGTTTATTCTTGCGATGAAGTAATAAGATGCGTCGCAGACAAGAAAATAATACGTGAAACTGTTTTCTTGTTTGTTAAAAAGTATATAATTATAGTAGTTTATCGAGTCTTGAGTCGTCGCGTCATAATTATTCCCCGATACTACCTTACAACGAAAAAATATATTTACCCGAATGGAATCATCTTATTTATTATTCTATTCGGAGGAAAAAAAAAAACAAAGAAAACTAAGTGTACTTAATGAATAATTGCGCGTAAAATCAAAACTTGAAGAAGAAAATAGGAAAAAAAAAAGGGAAAAAAGAAAACGGAGAAGGGTATATATTCTTTATCGAGAAATAAAAAGATGATCTTTGGACGTCACAATCTCGGGCACGTTTCTTTTCATACACTTACATTTCTTTTTGCTGGCAAAAAGTCAATGAACGTGGAAATTCCCTTTAGAGAGATTGCGTAAACGCGTGCATATAAATTATCCCGTAAACGTTGCTCCCATTTAGATAGATTAAAAGAAACGTCATCAAAGGTCGCAAGATCGACCGAGAAAGGAATAATAGAGAGATAATTGCGAAGGTACATCCCTAACGCTTACGTAATTGGGACGGTCGTTCAAAGATATTCGAGCGCGAATCGATTCGAGAGACGAGCCCCTGAAGGCGAACAACCGGTGATAACTTGCGCCCGGAAACTTTGCACGTTACTCGACTTTATTATTTCTATTCTCTCGATCTAAGCGAATCGGTTAGATTACGAGATTATTGTTACGTTAGTTGGTGTTATCTGAAGATTGTACTTTGGACTTTTCCACGTTTTTAAACGGTCTAAAAACGGTACTCTATATTTTTCTCTCCATTTTTTCTCGTCTATTTTCAAATCTATCTCCAAAACAATTCTAAAGGGGCCGTTTTATACGAAAGAGTTATTGTTAGAAGAATTGGGATCAAGTGAAAAAGTATTGTATGCGGAATAACCAATCGACCCAACGATAGGAATCGTTAGGAAGCATGTACGTTCTTCATTTAACTAGGATCATTTTTTTTTATAACCAAACAATCGTATCCCCGATAAGATTTATCCCCCATAATCCTTGGATAAACCTTATCGATGGCCATTTTAATTTAAATCGGCCGATCTAAACACTTCGAATTTGTTTTTACGATTCGTCGATCGTAGTAAATCGTCGATATATGCGGGAAAGATGCGTGCACTTATATCGAATCGTACGGTGATCATCGGGATCAAAAAATCAAACTTTGTCAAGTTCACGTATTATCTGAACGTCCTATCCAGACATACGTAAAGGAACTTTTTCCAGGACTATGATTTATGAGTAGAATTACAGAGAGGAATATTTCTTCTCCTTTTTTCTTTTTTTTTTTTTTTTTTTTTTTTCTTTTTCCTACTTTCTTCCCCCGTCCTGCCCCGATTCGACAGTTGCATCGCACGGATTCCGCGTAGTAATAATTCGTCACGTTCTTTTATAAATTTCATATGTAAAAGAAGCCAGCCGTGAACCTTGACTTTTTGACATTATCATTTCTACATCGGCGTTGCGCGCTGTCATTGTATGCCTTCGGCCAACGGATATTGCGCGCGCACGCGCGCAAGAAACGACGAAGAAATTCCAAAGGCAGCTGACGACGATGCATGACGACGATGCATGACGACAATACAAAAATTAAGCGAACCGTTTCTTAGCTTTTCTTCTCCTCTTAAATTCTCGCTGGAGACAGACGACTTTATCCGATTTAACGATTTAAACGTCAGAGCGCGGCCCCATAGGACGCACTTTTTCTTTTGAGTTCCGATAATTCATTGAATATAGTTCGTTATACCTTATATATCGTCCATATTTTCGAAAGAACCTTCGTTCGGTTTAATACGTCTTATTAAAATATCCCCTTCCCTTCCTTTTTCGTAGGAATCCAGACCGAATATATATATGTATATACATATATACATAGATAATTTGGGCCATTGCTAAGGTACAAGTTGTCTTTATGTGAAACGGGATTGTTTTGAGAGAAAGGAAAATAAAGTTTCCGGGCCGTTGAAGAGTTAGGCGTCAAGAGAAGATTAATTAATTGGACAGACTTGGCAAAGAGAGAGGATGGCGCAAGAAATAGGGGGGATCGAAGGGAATCGGTTACAAAGTCTCAGAGAATATTTGTCTTTCTCTGAATGCATCTCGCATGCATATTGCGACATACGTAGAGGCAAGTAAGTGGAGCTGCTTCGCGTAAAATGCTTCGTCATGTGAATTGTTAGGAGCACTCTTGCGTTCTGCACGCAAAAATCCCGGGAGCTCTATTTTCATTTCATTTCTAATTATTCTCGATCCTGTCGTACCCTGAAGTCTGAAAGGTCCCAAGGGACGTTACGGAAGACGGGGCTCGAATCGCGGAGCCGTTCGCCTTGACATATTTCTTACTGATTGAGATTTATTTCGATGATACGTTCCGTTTCGTACGCAATTACGGTTCCATGAGACCCTTTATTACTTACTCTCGGCACCGTAATCCACCGTAGGCAACGCGGCGAAATCTAAAAGTATTTACGCAACAATCGTTACGATCCTATGCGAAGGAGATTGATCGTTTCATTTTCTATATTATCGTTCTTATCGTTCGTTACACCATCCTGCACGGACACACACATACGCCTAAACAGGTTAGTCGTTCTTGCGCGAGTACGATCATCGTACGACGCATACGAGAAAGAAGATTGAAATATTCACTCGTACTTTCGTTTTTCTCGTATCTTTTTTTTTCCGTTGTCATTTATTATAATGGCGATTAAGCCTGTTGAACATATATGATTATTAAATCGAAAAAACGATTTTTTTGATTGCCTTTCTTATCTTCTCATAACTTATTAGCTCGTTGTACGAAGTAAAAAAGAGCGAATGCTTCGTTATTATATTTTTTATGTCACACAGTTACAACGAAATAATTAATTCGACGTTAATTCAATTTCATGGTATAAACAACAAATACGTTAGTGTATATGATTCAATGTCCTTTCACGACGATTCTATTTTGTTCGTCGATTGACATCGAATTATTTAAAATAACGTAATTAATTTTATTCTCATTCGAATTTTCAATATATGTCTGTATATGCATGTATACGACCGATAACAATTTTATTTCCCGTTGACGTCGACTTCCTGACTTTATTAAACGCTCCTGACTTTATTATATGCTTTATATCTCGACTTTACATACGAACCTTTTGTGTCGCTAGCATTACTTGCATTCGTTATTAATTATATTAATAAAAATACATCGTATAAGTTGTCGCAACTTTTCTCTCTCTTATAATCAGAACAGGTTTACCTTTGCCTTAGGTTTTACCCTTTTATGCGTCTAGCTCTCAAGCTTTTTACAACTTGATCAAATCTCTCGACTATAGTCCCGAGAAACGTCGATGGATAACAAACACGCCGTGTCCCCTCGTTCCTTTTACAACGATTGAGAAACAAAGTATCATTATTTCTAATGCTATTGAATGAAATAATAAACAATTCTTTGCATGCTCGTTCGCGACTAGCCGCGGCTTGAGTCAAACGACATTTATAAATATAAAGAAGAATGAAAGATATCCAAACGAAACTTAAGCATAAGTGCTTTATTCATCCCATTTCCATTTAATGATGCAACGATCAATAACGTCAACGCCATCGCAATGAAATCTGTTCTATCATCATCGGTAAGATTCCGATAATGACACGTAAATCCGAAATAATGAATTGAACGGTAAATGCGAACGATGTACGCGATTATACAACTTCTATACTTCTCCGCTCTCTTGACGTAATCACCGGCTTCTTCCATCGTACTACTTGCCAAGTAGAAAAAAAAATAAAAAAAAAAAAAAAAAAAAAAAGAAGAATAAAAACAAATCGGACGAAAGTTTCAACGCTTCTCCTACCTTTCCAACGAGAACTTTCATTCTGGGGAGGGGCGGAGAGAGCAATCGTTGCGGTATGAGTAGGTAGGAACGTACATACGTAGATACACGGGAAGAGAAGGGAGACGTAAGTTTAATCTAATTGCAGTTGAATACCCCACTTCTTCGACTTATACGCAAGACGGTATAACAGGTCGCGTGCGCGAGCGCGTCTTTCGAGTTTACTTTACAATCGGTCGGACAGTTGTACGTAAACACCGGTTCGAACGCCTCGATCTCTTCTATACCCTTGCTATTCGCCAATTCTTTTTTCTTCTTTTGCCTTTTTTTTTTGTTTTTTTTTTTTTCGAACAGATCTTAATCGATAGCACTTCGCGTACCCGCCAAATATCCTCGAGCTCCTTTGGAAAAGGAAAATAGGGGAATCGAAAAAGGTAGAGAGAGAGAGAGAGAGAGAGAGAGAGAGAGATCTTCAGCGTTTGCACGTTTCTTTGATTCTGCCAGCCAGCCGGTGCCTCGTTGACTCGTATCACTTGACTCGACCGGGCTCGATTCATTTTCACGGTAAGATCCGACAAATCCGCTTATTACGAATGTGCAAAATTCCTTCCTCTTACGGCCGTTCTGATTATTCGCCCGGAATGATTTTCTCCGTTCTTTGGCGTGAAATTATTTCTCGAAGATACATGTGCCTGCCTGTCGATATCACTTACAGACGAAAAAGGATTAATTACTTATAGCGAGGATTAAAAAGGAAACGAGGGAGAGAGAAAAGAAGAAAGAAAAACGAGAGCTGACGAATATAAAAGTTTTGCTTTCTCATCCGCGCGAACCTGTCTCTTTTCGAGTTACATCGAGGAAAATCTATTTGCGGAAACGGTTCGAGCGAGTTACGGCACGCGGAAATTACGAGTCGCGCACCGAACTCACCGGTCCCATAATAATACCGTAATCCTTATTCTCAGACATCTCGGGGCGGGGATTATGGGGCGGGGGGATAAGGGTGGCGAGGGAGAGAGAGAGAGAAAGAGAAAGGCAAGATAGTATCGCGCGCCGTGCCTAGGCGCGGATCGAAAGCCGCATTAGAGTGACAGAGGAACAACGTGCACTTTTTGCGATCGCTATCTCGATGATATTAGCAAGCTCGATTGAAAGGAATCCGACGAAAATCCGCGAAACAGGCACGAAATTCATTCGCGACGAGAAGGAAAGAAAGGCTCGGAAGGAAGAAAGCGTGGCGGGAAATCAATGTAACGACACAAGTGTCATCGCATGGTCGCAACTCGAACCGAAACGAATGGACTCATTCGCATTATTTCCCATACACGGAGAACATCGTTCCGGTGACAGTCTCTCATCCATTTCCTTAGCGACTTGTCCAGATTCCATCCACGAAGAAAATTCCATCGACTCTTTGTACGCCTGTGCGTGAACCCATACTCGACGTAATCCGTCCAATTTTATATAACTTGCCTGGAATGTGAAATCTTTGTTATTGTTTTGTTATGACATCGTCGGAGTTGGGGGACGTCGCGAGGTGATGACGCGCCACGATTCAAACGCGTCCTAACGATCGTTCGAAAATCGATAGACGAAAAGGAAAAAGCTTTGTTCTCTCTCTTTCTCTCTCTCTCTCTCTCTCTCTCTCTCTCTCTCTCTCTCTGCCGTTTAAATTGCAAAGGAAAAGGGTTGAACGAGTTGGGAAAAAATAAAGAAAGAAGAAGCAAACCAGACGCGACGGTCGGTGACCCCGTAAACACGGACGTATGTATATGCTTCGGCGTATGTATATATTCGCATGACTGACTTACTTGCGAACCGGTATTCCTGCCTCCAGGGTACCAACTGACATGGAAAAGCGCGACTGACAGCGGAAGACAAAGACGCCGTTATAATTATCTATACGTTGGCATACATTTGTTCTCTTATTTTTTTAATCGATAGAAGATCGTGTCCCTCTCTCTTCATCTCGATTGGTCAATGACGTTCAAAACGAATGTTAATAATTTCGCGAAATTCCAATAGAATAAGAAAATCAAAGAGATTTATTAAATCGATATGAATACGTTCGAGGAAAACATGTGCATGTCGTAAATGCGTGTAGTAAGACGCAATCGCAGTCATTATCGTGCGCTTCACCACGCTTCGTTGCTGATTCTCTTTCTGTCGTATCCTGATGAATTTAAATGATGCCGAATTCGATGGCGCGAGATCGTCTCGCGTGTGTCCGATCGGAACCGAACAAGTTTCTTTTCCGGAAAACGGCGATTTCTTTGTCCTTAGACTTTCGTAAGACCGTTCCCTGCCTCTCTCTCTCTCTCTCTTTCCCCACTCTCCCACCATCCCTTTACTTCTCGAGTTCGATCCGATTAGAAAAACGGCTCCACGGCCAGTGCTAGCCGATATAGTCGAGCCGCTAGGTCAGGATCGATTAAAGTCGTTAGGAAAGGGGCTCGCGCATTTCCGTTCACACCTGCTGCTGCTGCTGAATGTGTATCATTTCGACGAGGAGCAACAAAGGCTTTATCTCATGCAAAGAGCGATCATATCTTTTCTTCTCTTGATTCCAGCTAATCCTCCAAATGAATATCACCGGCGTACCACCGATCGACAAAATGGCCAACATCTATGACAATTCGTTGGTCCGATTTTGGCACTTTATTTTTCACGATCTCTCGGGTAAGGCTCGACGATCAAACGATAGTCATTTCTATGCTGCGTACCTACCTTGATTATTATACATACCGTACGTTATAATCGTAGATCCCCGAACACGGAATTGGTTCCTCGTGTCTTCACCGGTGCCAGGCGTCAGTATCCTTATCGGTTACCACTACTTCATCCATTCCTGGGGTCCTAAGTACATGGAACATAGGAAACCGTTCCAAATGAAGAACATTCTAGTCATGTATAATCTCATACAGGTCTTACTCAGCACTTGGATCTTTATCGAAGCACTCAACTCTGCCTGGTTAACGAAATACAGCTTCAAATGCGAGCCCGTAGATTTTTCGGAATCACCGGATGCCCTCAGAGTACGTTATAGAATTTTATTTCCTTCTAAAGCGTGTATAACTCCTAACACGATTCTTTTTCTCTCTTCTTTTCCCTCTTTCTTTTTTTCTTTTCCAATTTTAACTATTTCAGATCGCACGAACCGTTCACATTTATTTTCTCGCTAAACTGACGGAGCTTCTCGACACGGTCTTTTTCGTTTTACGAAAAAAGGAGAAGCAAGTTACGTTCCTCCACGTCTATCATCATACCGTGATGCCTATGGTAGCCTGGGGTGCAACGAAATATTATCCTGGAGGTCATGGTACCTTCATAGGTAGGTACAAAAGTTTGTTACAGGGGGAAAAAAAACACACGCACGCACGCACACGCACACACAAGAATAAAGAAAGAAAAAAGAAGAAAAATGAACGTTACCTACGATTCGCCGCTACAATTGACCATTGCTTTTTCCAAGGTCTCATCAATAGCTTCGTCCACATCGTGATGTACACGTACTATTTGCTAGCCGCATTATTGCCTCAATATCAAAAGTATTTATGGTGGAAGAAGTACATAACAACGTTGCAAATGGTAGGTAATTGATAAAAGATCTACGACCAAGACGACGTTGGAAATGATGAAATTTACGAATCGATGGTAATTCGCAGGGACAATTCTGCCTGGCATTCTTGCACAATTCCCAGTTACTCCTATACGACTGCGGTTACCCAAGGTGGTCCGTCATTTTAACTCTTCCAAATGCAATATTCTTCTATTTCCTTTTCTCGGACTTTTACAAGATGGCCTATGAGCCCGATCGAAAGAAGAGAAGTGCGACGACGGTGAACGGTAAGATCGAGTCCAACGGTACAGCGAGAAAAAGGAATTGCAACGATTTCGAAGATACGTCGAACGTTTCTTCCATTAGGAAGATAAAAGGAAAGGAGAATTAATAATTCGTCGGATATTTCTTACGATATTTCTTACGTTGTAGGGTATTACTACGAAATTTCATAAGATAGAAAAAAGGAAAAAAAAAAAAAAAATAGCAAGAAGAAAAAAGAAAGAAAAAACAACCGAGGGAAAAAGGAAGCTCATTTCTTCGTGCCAAATCGAATTTCTTCGAATTGAAATGGATTCATTAAGGATTATTCATTTTTACGCGCCCACACGCGGTCGTCAATCGTTTTCGAATCGATACGAACGATTAATAAACGAGAGACAAACGTTCTGCTCGGTTGACGTTAACATTAACTTTTCATGATCGCGAAGATAGATTCCTTGTTACGAAAAAGAATTTTTCCAACTTCTTCCTTTACTCCAAGTATATGCAGACGATATATGTATATATATATATATATATATATATATATATATATATATACATCTCCTTCGATACAATCTTATCGACGGCTGCCAGAGAGGCAGAGAGAGAGAGAGAGAAAACGATCGAGAGTAGGAATAGATCGACAATTGATATTTCTAAAA